AAACGTTTACAAGTCATAAAGTGGGCACAGTAAAGATTGGGAAGAAGTGACGTAACCATTCCAATACTCCATGTTGAATGGACATAGCTAGTGGAAGGCAAACAGCCAGCCTGTGTTACACACTGTATATATTGACACACTGGGATGTGCGCACACACAGAGCTGTTGACACGGATTTCCATAGCTGGGGCAGACAGCTGGCAGATGAGGCTGGGTTTGGCTGGCACATACATTGAGGGTGGGCAGAGACCGGCACTAGACAGATGGCAGGTGTTAACTCCAGAAATTGACTTGTTGTCTAAATATGACATTGAGCACTGAGAATGACCAAGAAAATAACAGGATTGTCCTACACACTTATAGGAAATACGTGAAAAAAACATAGTCCTAGAGCAAGATTCAGATAAACAATATTTAATGGGCCCTGTCACTAAAATAAGAGATATTATATAAGATATACACACACTCTCTTACTCTCTCTCTCTCTCTGAGTTCACAGTGAATTTCAAATTTAGGGTAGAATTAATTATTAATAATAATGGAACATAAAACCAATTTGGAGAATTTTCCCAATTAGGGAATAAATTTGGCATTCACGATGACTTCCTAGTAATTCACAATTTATCGAATAATGTTGAAAGGTTGCAAAAGGCACCTTCACATTTGGTTTTTTTTAAAAATAAAATAGATTTGAATAGAGTAATATCCTGTAGTCTATTGTTTAATCAGGACTGCAATCACCTCGTTGATACATAGTTGCACCTATAGGTTAGAATAGTGCAATTTTTGCATGTCTGGCAGAGCATGATGGGAAATATCTGTACCACCAGATTAGTGCAATAGTAGTCCGATCACTCTGACCTCCTAGCAAGTGGTAAGGTCATCTGTTTAGAATTTACAGCAATTAATAAAACAATGATAATCACTTGTAGCTTGTGTTAGCCATTTTTCTTATGATTCTCAGTTTTCTGTATATTAAAGATTTAGCAAGTGAAATTGAATCTAGACCCAAGCTCAGCCAAGGCATATAATGCATGCTTCAACTTCAATATTTAGGCATTCTAATGATATAACAGTGCATCCTGACGGTTCTCTCAAAGTAGGGATAGACTGATTTGAAGTTCTGCCGATTATTTGAGCCAATATTCAGCACTTTACCAATAATCGGTATCAGCCATGTAGGTTACAGATATGACCGATAACTTACTTACCTTTCCCAGTCATCTCATTCTGTTATTGACAATCGTCTGTTATCGGCAATCGGCCCGAAAGGCAACCGATAATGGGTATCGTCATCAGCTCTGGAAAATGTATATTCGGTCATTCCCTAATGCAATGTATACAGTACTCAAATGGACTTATTTGCAGTTGGTGTGTGAATGTAAAAAAACATGGACAAAATGTCAAACAGTAGTAATTTTATCTTTATCTGCAACACAATATCACATCTGCCAGAGCTTGGTATAAGTACAGTTATTAAGATCGGTACTTAAAAACTATCTGAAAACAACTAATAACAGTTCTCATGAACATGGACTACAGAGGAAGTGGACAGACTCTGGATGACGACAACTAATAAAACAGGTCAACTGGACTTACTTTGGAGGACAACTAAAAACAACTGTTCGTGACCTCCAGGAAAAAAATCTAAAAGGACAAATGGACATGATCTGCAAGACTACAGGCCCACTGGACATGCCCTCCAGGACAACTAATAACAGGTTACTGGGACAGACTGCGGAGGACAACTAATAACTGATCAAAATGATAGAGTTTGGAGGACAACAAATTACAGGTCAGTGAGACAAGCTCTGGAGGACAACTTATAACGGGTCAGCGGGACAGACTCTAGAGGACAATTAATAACGGGTCAGGGGGACAAACTCTAGTGGACAACTAATAACAGGTCAGGGGAACAGACAAGATAGAATATGTAATAACAGGTCAGTAACAGATTATTAAGGACAACTAACAAAGGTCAAATGGGCATGCACTCCAACACAACTGATAACATGTCAACTGGACGAACTCCGGACTGCTAATAAAGGGTAAATTAATTATGCCATTGCTTAGAGGAGAAACCCTAACATATTTTTGGTTCTAAGTCTTCTGTTTTCGACTTCCATCTCTCCACGCAGCACGCCTTTTTGAAGCAGTCAGTTTTGGTTTAAGTCTATAGCTTCAAGACAAGCATCCCCCCCCCATTCAGTAGGCAAGGATGCAGGATAACTCACGGTTAACAATGCAGTAAGTTTTATTCAACATATTAAATAAAGGGCCTGAGAGAGAATGACAAGGAAAGATAATAGCAGAAAGAGGATGCGAGAGCTGGGGAGTGAGGGAGGGGGCGAGGTGAGATGTTTATAGAGGCGGCTGAGGGAGGGGGGGATGCTGTTGCCAGATGTGGCTCACTCAGACCCATCTGCAGTGTGCGATATCCGCTAACACCCGGCTGAGACTTCCCTGCTCTCATACTGAGCTCCTTATCTGCTCTCTGCATTCACAGAGAAAACCTTCTGCACAGCAAGTGGAGATGCAGAAGGGAGGAGAGAGGCTGAGAGACAGGCGAACGCTGTGAGGGAATGATGGAGATGTTTGGTCAAGGAGAGAGAACTAGCAAGAGATTTTAAAGAGTCATGAAACAGTCTAGGATAAAAAGCCAGGGAAACAGCGAGAGAAGAAAAAAAAACCAAACAAACAAAAAAACAATAACACCCCAATAAACTACCCTTTGCACCTCTGTTTTTGGTCCACATTCAATGTGTGATCATTGTTCAATAAACTAGATCAGTGACGGCCAACCCTGACACCCCCGATTTTTGCGAACCCCATTTTCTGTCATGTTCAGCCAGAATGTGGGTGAGGCACACACCAAGGTTCCATATAACTGGCTTACGAACAGAATTTAAATGGGAATTGAAGTTAGCAACTGAATCTTTTTTAAAATAACAGTTAGTCTATACATTCGCTAGCTGTTCGTTTACAATAATGCAATGAAACATTTTAGCGGGTTCTAAATATTCATAACATGACCATCATAAGAATAAGAAAGCATTGTGCATTAGGGGGCACCTAGGGTTTTGGAATATAGCCCGGACCAGCCAGAGGGGTTAACACTGTACACTAAGATTGTAATTTTACAGCTAGGATGTACACTATTGAAACCCCCCTGTCCCCGCCACACACGCACACAGCAACGAAAGGTTACAAACTTTAGAATGACATTGTGCTCTTAAGAAGATGCTCGACAAAACTTTCTGTTTTGTTGCCACTATTTTAGCCTATTTTGTCTGTAGGATGCAAAAAGCATGGCTGATCCCTACCCCACCCCCCATTTTATTTCTAGTCAAGTACATCCATCCTTCAATGTCTCAGGGGCAACACTCTACTTAATATATAGACCAGAAGCAGGTGGCCCAATTATTGTAGCCATTACAAAAAGCAGCTTCTGCTGACTGAGATTTCATATACCTTTATTACAGCAACCAGACCTCATGATGAACCCCGAAACCTTGATCGCCAGTCCTTGGAGGTGGCAAAATAAAGAGCTGAATAAGGAAACCTGAGCGCTACTTCAAGGCCCTGCTGAAAAAGGGAAGGAAGATATTAATTAAGTTGGTTCAGTTTGATGGTAGTGAAGATATAGGCAGTTTGTGAAATGATGGGCTGGGTGATGGTATAGACATGTACGCTTTTGTCTATTCTAGGTTCTGCCGGATTCAAACAGTTCCTTATCAACAGCACTGCCTGCCAGATTTTCCTTATCTACTGTCCCACACTTACACTTGGCCTGCAAGCCAACAATGGTATTAATACGGTTTCTGGAATCAGAGGGCAGATGTCCGAGACATCCAAAAAATATTGTGGTCTATAGTGCTCTACTCAAAGGGATTTTTTTTTGTTGTTTTTAAGTTTCTAAATTAGGTATTATGCTGAAGGTACTTCATGAGCATACCCTCACTGTTTTGCACTGAAAATTCTTATTTCTGTGCATTTATTTGCAACGACTCGAAAAAAAGAATGTAAAAAAAATTGATGTGTATTTAACTCCCAGAGGCCTCATTAACCACTCGAATATCATAGCACCCAGGTCAGATAGGTTAACCATTGTGCTGCCACAGGGGCCTGCAAGACACCTCAATCTGTTAATTAGTTGGCAGAGCGAGTGCCTGTCTTTTGGGATATGACAGATCTGAGTGCTGAAGCCATCCGTCACCCTAACAGAAGGAGCATTGTGTCGCTGGAGTGTCTGTAATTGGAGGTTGAGAGAGGCAGTGGATAGATAGCGAGCAAGTGACAGGCGGCAGTGACAGAATACGCTTCCTGGGACAGTGTGACACCAGAGGAGAGCCATCAATGACAAAACTGACCCTGGGCAGCATTGCCATGTCCTCACCTGGGCACAGTGAAGGAGCTGCACAGGGTTAATATCAAAGCATTTATTAAGATCCATGCCTAAAATTTCACTAACAAGGGCAAGTAAATTCAGGCACTCCAGATCATCTGACTACAAATCACACTATGCTCAGCCAATCTACAATAACTGAGATAAAAAAAGTTTGGATCCAAAACAGCCTACTTAGTTCCAGAAAATACACACAGACTCCATGTTTATGTTATAACAATTTACAATCAGATTTATTGCCATAGATGGGTCAGTGATGGCTAATAATTGCATTGCGCAGATAGGGAACTATTCAGCTAGCCTTAAAGACAGTGGTAGGCAGATGTTGTAGAAGCATTATGGCAGAGAGCAATAAAGTTGTACAGTAATTCCAGCTCTACTTTAGCATTATGCTACAAAGCAACCCAGGTAGCCTCCGCTGCCGCAGATCCTCTTCATGCATACAAATAAATCTATACATCCAGTTCCAAACTATGTCAAAAAAATCAATTTTTTAAAGACCAAAAGCATAGAGTAAAAACCAAAGATTATGTATATACTGTAAACCATCCTACTGAAATACTTTAAAAAATCATTAGATATACATACACAAAACACTTATTATTTAACACCATTACATACTTCATTTAGAGACTATGCCATGATATAATATTATTTGTTCCTATAGTGGGAGGAAGGGGTTAATAAGGCAGGCGCAGGTGTTTAGCTCCCCCTAAAGGGAGCCCCAGGTAGTGCAGCCTTAGCACGCTGTACTGAGAGGCAGGCAAAGCACAGGCAGTAGTGTGAGGCTGGAAGCCAGCAGAGGAGGAGGTAGTCGGGTTTGGGCTGCGGGATACCCTAAAACAGGGGACCAGGGATCCCCTACAGGCAACGGGACACCCTCAATCTGTTCTCTGGGACACAGCAGTGGAAGATCTAAACAACCACCCAACTCTACCCCAGGATTTGCAAGCTGCAGGACAGACACTCTCCATCCAAGACCTGCACCCCCCCTCCCCCCAAAAGGCTGTCCTGGCGACCAAGAGCGCAGAGTGGCGACTAATGTGACAGCAGGACAGGCAAAGGGTGACAGCTGCAGATTAAGCAGAGATTGTATAAGGAGGGTGACACTGACACACAGCGAGGTCCCCAGGATGTGACATGAACCACTAAAACTCTGGGATCTGACCAGCACTCAAGTCCACCTACAGCCTGAGCCCAGAAGGTGAGTGCCAGGTACCTTGTGTGAGCTGCTTTCACTGCTGTTACATTGTATCTACTCATACCTACCTAGCATTTGGTACAGTGCTACATTGTAATCCCCCTTGCATGCACTTTTTGTACTTTCCAATGATTGGGTGTAATAAAGGATTGATACATACAATGCATAGGGTAATGTCCCGTCTATAAAATCACAAATCAACTGATGCTGATTCAGCTATAGGAAAAAAACATTAAAGGTAGTTGCAGTTGTTCAGCAGCTTGGGTGACTACGTTTTGGCCACCCCTGATGTGAAGAGCACTGTGTGCAGTAACGGTACAGACTTTGCATCCCTCGCCCACGAAGCTTGCACTTTATTTAGTTCATGGCACGGATACCGTATTGTGATTTATGATTTGTTATTGTGGAGTGTGTGTGTTTAGTTTTTTTTCTCTGACACTGTATGGTTTAAAGAGAGTCCCTCTCTGCACATCACTTCCCCAGTCTTGCTGTCCCTAAGCTATTCAGTAATGTCACCACAGACTCCAGGGACAGCAGATGACAGCTTGCAAGGGACTTTCTGCTTAACTTCTGCTTAAGTCATTTATGTGTTTTTCTCGAATTTTGGTTTTCAATCGAATGGTTTTTTTTCTCGAGTATATTCATGTAATAAATTTAGTAACACGATCTAAAAATAATAACAACAACAAAAAAAAAGCATATGCATATGCTTGTTTATAAATCTATACACATACATTCACACACACACACACACACATATTGTGCAATAAAAATGTTGGGAAGGAAGCGTTTTTGCCACAATGTGACCGCAAAATAAACTATTACGAAATCAACCTGAAATGATTTTGCAAAAAAAAAAAAGATTATTATTATTACAAAAAAAATCCCATCTGTGGGGTGAATCAGCAGACCCCAAAATAGCAATTAGAATTCCTTCAGAGAAAGAGAGCTCTGACTCATGTACTTACTTGCATGGTTTTAATTTGACAAATTAGATGACAGATAAAAAATATATTAAATAAATCACATATCGCAGGGCGATGGGTGACACTTTCCTGCAGAGCTTGCACTCTAAATGTACGCTTATTTCCGTTCTGTGCATGTTATCACTGACAAGATCTGTGTTAGACTGAAAATTCTCCCGTCTCCTTTCTTTCTACACAATCAGCTTTGTCCTCTTGGTAACAATACACCATGTAATCTGCTTAGAGTTGCCTGTGTATTGTTTGCAGACTTTGTGTGTTACCAGGCCTGACACTGGCATTAGGAGTGGCAAAGACACCTGCCTATTCACAGGGTGGCAGAAGGGGTAAAATCCATCCTATCCATTTTACAAGGGATTATCTAACCTATGAGGGGTTTCTGTGGCACTGACCACTAAGGGTTTGTCCAGATGACATAAGATTGGGTATCAACCTGCAACAGACCTTGATACAGAGGTGTTTAACTGGGGGTAACATATGCTTTTAGTCTGGAACCCAGAACTACAAGAGTTATAGTCTACCAACAGCTGGTAATGGGGGCAAATATGATACCCTAACCATTAAATTTGCATGTCTTCCATTTTTACCATCATATATAATCTTCCTCACCTGACAGAGTGCACCGTTAATATGCATCATTTAATTAATCTTATACTTTATTATCAATTGAGACATATCACGTTTTCCGATATTCAAATGCTTTCTTTTTGATAGAGAAAAAAGTTGTCTTAAAATTGCATATGTCTTGAATTCCGAATACAACCAACGTGATGGCAATTAATCTTTATTTTGCTTGTAAATATTATGTAAAAGATCTTGCATAGAATAGATCTTGAAATATTTTAAGCTTTGATATCAGGGGTGTTGGGATACAGGATGGTGCCTTGGTATGATTTAATTGCCGAGCCCTGCCTTAGTACATGGCGATTATTATGTAACCTTGGCAGCCTCGACATTTCAGAATTATATTTTCCAAAGATTATGTATATACTGTAAACCATCCTATTGAATGATCAGACAGCTGTAACACTGACTGTGCATCATTATCAATGTGATTTAAAAACCATCTGAAGTGTTAAGGGCACCCACCACTTACCTAGGGTATGGTAAGTGTCTGTAATGACAATGAACAGAATTCTTTATCAGTTGCATCATTCAGCCACAGGGAGCTGGTGGGCTATTACGCCACTGGGGAACTTGGGATGCTTTTGGGGTCAACAATGTGATGAAGGGGGCAGTCCTGCTACACATGTACTATTGCGTTACTTAAGAAAGTGGCAATATAAGGTTTACCGCAGTAGAGAATTATTCAGTTTTTACTATACAGAGGTTGTCACTTAATGTGAAACTGTATTTATTTTACGAGTGATTAGGTAGAGGCAGTTAACAAACACAGTGTTTTTGTGTAATTGTGTGGTGTATGGGCAGTCTATCTCGCAAGGAAAGTGCAATATTTATTTAGAGGAAGTAATAGCTAATTCCCAAATATAAAAACAGTCAAGCTCTAGCTTAACATCCAGTTCTAGCAGACATGTCTACCATATGTTGATCTGTCAGTGTAAAGGTCAGAGTTTAAAGGGGCCAGATGACTATTTGAATGTATTACACCATGGGGTGCGTAGGGTAGTGAAGAATTTTAATCACTTGACATTGAGTGGCGTCAAATCAACAACCAAATTGAAAAAAATTAAAGCAAAAACAGCCTTGAAAAGAATCGCCGGCTCAGGATTGTTTTGCCCTGGCTGGGTTTTGCCAGCCGAAATGAAAAAGTCTGATTATCAATGCATCCAGCATGTCACTGAGTAGCGAATAAAGTCCTGGGTTTCTGTGCTGAATCTTCTGTAGAATGTTCCGACATCTTTTTTTTCATATATGTATTGCAGAGTAAAAAGGCTTTGTATAAAATAATAATTTGCCCACCCAAGGTTAAAAGCAAAAATCTACACTTGTGCAGTGGTGTTGCGTGACTTCGGGCAATGCGTTATTGTTTAATACGTTTATTACAAAAGCCGTAGTTGGGGTGGGTATGTGTACAAGGTTTACAAAATAGATCATGATCCACTGTGACTTCTCTAATTCCTATGAGGTAATAGCAAGATCAGACAAGCAGTACAACATTGCGTAATTAAAGTGACCAGTCCTGCATACACAATTTCTTACTCCACTGGCACTTGAGCAGTTAATAAATCTACTTTGAATTGTGTGCTTTTCAACGAATCCCTTGATTGTAAATATTGCATTGCGTTGAGATGCAAAAACCACAACAAAGATCCTTCTCACGTATGGGTTAAAGGTGGTTTGCTGTAAGAAGGGTCTGAATCACACGGTTTCATTGAAAGGGATCTGTTCCCTCTTATCGGGCAGAAGCATCAATCGCAGGAAGTCGATTTTCTCACCCTTGCTGGCAAGGAAGGGGTTAAGAAGCCTTTACAGATGTGGCAATGTGTCAGTCAGCAAGTAGTGTAAACAGAGATAAAGGGTCTGCCCTTGATAAACAGAGCAGTAAGGGGAGAAATGCATTCAGTCATGTAACTTCTCCTAACACACACAAACACTGCTCCATGTAAGTCATCAGCCAGCTGTATCAAGGCTGCCCCATCCTCTCCAAGTGCACTTTATCTGACTATCAGACACCAATCACTTGCATTATCAAGACTGCCACACATGTGTGTGCTCTAACTGTTATGTGAGACCGCTCTGATGGCTTGATACAAACGGTTTGTGATACAGATTACAGATTAGATTTCTGCATGAATCATATCACCACGCATACACATTATGATTTGACACCCCCTGGGGTAAAGCCATGTGTAGATCTGCCTCACCTGATAGACTGGAGTCAATATGCATTCATTAAATGGCCCTTCAAAAAAAAGAAAAAGCAGCCAAGAATTATTGGAAAAGTATCAAAAACATAGGAGGCATAGTGGAGAATATTAACAATTCAGTTATTTGGGCCTGCAATTTGCAGTTCCCTCTTTACTTCAGTAACATTTAATAGCAGTAGTTCCTGGTTAAAAACGCCTGATCTCTTCCATGTTCTCTTGCCAAATAGACCATTGGATCTAGAGCAATCCTGATATCAGTCCTAAAGAACCATCATTGAATTTAACTGGGTTCCAGTGGGGATATTGATACAGCGTTGAATGTGGACGGTTCTTGTCGAATGGTTCAAAAAGCAAAGATGTAGATTCAATATGATATAATTCACAATAGGCCCAGATCCACATGGATTCTCAAGACACCCTGAATTATTTCTCCACTGTCCAGTTTTCTCTAGGATCCTGAAGTAAATGGGGAAAAAAACAACTGAATCCTAAAAAGTCCATGTACCAGAATCATGTGTGCTTGCACAGTCCTGTTCTAGGATGTGATTTTGAACACATTCTAAGACAGGGCTGTCCAACCTGCGCCCCCCCCCCCCAGATGTTGCCGAACTACAACTCCCATGATTCTTTCAATGAAACATAAAGCCAGGGAATCATGGGAGTTGTAGTTCAGCAACATCTGGGGGGCCGCAGGTTGGACAGCCCTGTTCTAAGATAAGATCCTATTTTTGCAGTGTTTTGATTATGAGCTCTGTAATGATTGGCCTGTCAGTAATGGTGGGCGCACGCTGGGATGACACACGTGCCCAGCATCTAAGATTCCCTCCTGACAATATTTATAGGTCTTACATGTCCCATATGAACAGACAAAATAGCAAGGGAAACCCTGCAGAACTTTCAAAAATATGTACCGTTTTGTGTCTGTATCCTCTGATACAGCCTCTGTTTATCTTGAGTCCATACAGTGCTCAGATAAAGGATATACTAGAATGTGAAGCTATCCAGTGAAGGACTTTAAGAATGTGTTGGATAGACATAAGACTATCTTAGATATAAGAGACTAATGAAAGTATTTTTGAAAATTGGGCAGACTAGATGGGCCAAATAGTTCTTATCTGCCGTCACATTCTATGTTTCTGGGTCTTATCAGTTATTAAGCCAAGTGTTTTAGTTGCCAAACTGGGTGGCTAAAATGTGGTGCAACTTGGCCTCAAACTACTAAACAGAAGAGCCCACCCATCACAACCCCTCAAACGTGTTGGTGAGTTGCACAAGAAACCTGCTAAGTTCTGATGTTTAAATGGGGACTCATGTAATTACTGTATGTAATTAGCTGCTACTTTATGCTGGATTTAGGTGAATTCTGCAGGTTTCTGTAAGCTTAGCAATGAACTCAGCAGGACACAGGTTATTGAACGACCCATATGTGTTTAACTGCAGAGTTCACAAAAGCTATGTCCTGACTCTAGTTAAAAAAGAACATTCATCAGCCACTTATCAATGTTGGAGTGAAGGCATGGCCTACTGGGCAGACTCTCTCGATCCAAAAAGCCGCTTGTTCACTAAATCTAGCTCAAGTCCTGAAAATCAAGCACAATTGCAGTATGTCTGGCATCTGCTTGGGGCATGCATACTTAGTTTGCTCACTAATCGATGAGCAGTTGTCACCATCCCCCACATATGTCCATATTGATTTCAATGGGGGACTCAGCTGAAGAGTCCAGTCACACACCAAATATACCAACACTCAAGCTCACAGCGAGTTGTGTCTAGGTCACATTACTCTGGAGAGCTATCATTACAATCTGCACTGTATCGGCAAGGACTGTCCTTGACTTAACCCAAGAATTTCCGAGTGATGAGTCCTGGCCTTTTCACCTAAAAAATAAATAAAATATATATATATATATATATATATATATATATATATATATAATTTCTTGATTTGTTTCTCAGGGTAAACTGGAAGAACCCTAAGTGAACCACAGACTTGTTTGTCAAAATCCTGTTCTTGAGAATCACAGGCACCTGGTATTCAAGATTATATTTCTCTAAATGCCCAAAATGCTAATTGAGAACTGCTAAATTTTCTACATTAGGGTCCTTTAGTTTGACACCCCTGCCACAGAGATAAAGTGACATCAAACATGCATATATAATTGAGCGATATGATAAAAAATGATTTAAAATTCTAGTAATCTGCTATCAATATTGACACATTATATGTAAAAACATATCATAATTTTCTGCTTTCAAAGATTTGTTGTTCCCCCGTTCACCCGCCAGTGTACATTGGCTACATAGAGCATGGCTAGATATCAGCTTACGGGCAGGGCTCTCTCTACCTCTTGTATTTGTCTGTGTATATTGTACGTTTCTCCACTAATTGTACAGCGCTGCGGAATCGGTTGGCGCTTTAGAAATAGCAGTAATAAATAAAAATAGAGCATCCGTGAAGAATCTTCTAATTCTTCATTTAAGTTGTGAATTTATATCACACTATCCTAGCACTGATTACTGTTGCAAACTCTTGCCAGGATCCCCTCTGGAAATCACTGCCTTTCATGGTAAATGGATATATAAAGTTAAATAAATATTAAGCCAATAAAAAGGATGACATAAACTAACCTCTGAAGGTTTTTAGAATCAGATCACCTAGAGGACTAAAGACCGAGCGCAGAAATCCCAGCTGCTAAAGATAAGACAATTGTCACAGTGACTTAGTGGCCTAGGTGATTGCCTAGCGCACTGTTCTTAACCTTCGTGGGCAGAACTCAAATGTGGATTAATACTCTATTTTCCATTATAGGAAAAGGGACATCACATGTATCAGGCACCTTAGAAATGCCCACAATAAATAGTTTACTCTAGTGACTGTCTGATGCTGGCAATCTAATAAAGGATTTCCGCAATGTATCTTCGTATATATTGTTCTACAAACTCTAGAAAAGGGTCAATAAGCTAATTTTACAAATTAAGAATGGGTCGTTAAGTTACAGCCAGGCATGTAATTTGTTTAAAAAAGGGTAAGAGCCACTGGCCTGGATCTTATCGAGACACGAGTAGACCAGTCTGTGCTCAGGCTTGTTTAGTTATGAGGGTAAGTGAACACTGAAATGTGCAGCGACTTTAAACCTTTCCATTGCCCTTAATGTTTACACAGTTCTCTCCCTTCGGAGGCTTTAATAGTCGTATCTATTGGGACGGATTGACGGATTGGCAAAATTAGGACCTGGGCCCCTTGCAGACCAATATATATGCTGGTATACATGATGCTGTAAATGGGTCTTGACTTACTAACCATGTGCTAAAGGTTACGAGCCACCTTAAAGGGACACTATAGTCACCAGAACAACTACAGCTTAGTGTAGTTGTTCTTGTGTGTATAGCCAGTCCCTGCAGGCATTTTAATGTAAACCCTGCCTTTTCAGAGAAAATGCAGTGCTTACATTGCTAACTAGGGAGTGTGATGAAGGGGTGTAGGGGTGATGAAGGGGTGTAGGGGTGACAAATTGTATAGGGGATGATGAAAGGATGTAGGGGGTGATAGATGGTGTAGGGGTGATGAAGGGGTGTAGGGGGTGATGAAGAGTGTAGGGGATGATGAAGTGGTGTAAGGGGTGGATAGATAAGAGCTGTGGGGAAAAAAAAGTTAAATAATGTGTCCCCCCTCCCTGAGCCTTACCTTTGTCCATGGAGGCGGGAATCCTTATACCTGGTGGTCCGGTGGCAGAATAAGCTTGTTTGCACCCTTGGTGTGTGCAGGCCGTCCCACCTCTTCCTCGCCATGCAAGTGTCCCGAAGAGCTCCCTCTCTGGTCAGCCATGGAACTGCTGAAGGTCTGCTCCTGGAGCCTCTGACGATTTCTTTTAGCCCACGTGCTGCACTAGACAGGCACTGTGAGAGTCAGCCTGGAGGGTCTTTGATAAGGCACCTGGGATGTCTCTTAGTGTGCTACAATGATCTCAGCTGGGACCAAGGGGGTAACTTATTTAATAAAGGGGACCCGCAGAAGGTCATTAGGGCCCCTCGCCGAGTGCAAGTTGGCTGAGCTCCTCAGCTGAGCCATTAAAATACTGCAGGCAGACGAGCCCCCAAGAGTCTTGGGCTATCGGTTCATGACCGAAGTGCCCGAGTGCTCAGTCCGCCCCTGCCTATTACTTCACTAAGAGCCAGCAGTGTGCACCTTCAGATACGTAGCTTTTCCAGATCTCCTGTTTTTGTGCAAACATACAGTCATCTAGGAAATAGTCACCCTCAAAGTGACACTGTATTCACCATAACTGGTTTAGCTCATTAATGTGGTTATAGTGTCCAGAGTCCCCTGGCGCCGTCCTTCCATTCAATGTTAAACTGTTTTTAATGTTTTAAAGCTAGACAAGAGTCCCCAGCAGCCCATCCCTTCTATGCTGCTTGGGCTAATGAGGAAGCATTTGCATGTGCAGCAATCGATGGCTGTGATTGGCTGAGAGAATCAGCTGAATGCATTCAGCCTATCACGGTGCCATTGCAGAGTTGCATAGATATAGTTTTAAGGAAGAGTGTAATTTCGACCATAGCCACATCTCCATTTGGTGGTAAATTCAGTGTGAAATTGCTTGAAAACGGCTTAACACTGAAAGGAGGGACAGTGCCATGGGACTCCAGGCACCATAATCAATTCAACAAAAGGAAATGGTTATAGTGCCTACACTGTCCCTTTAACACCATCACAATGTCCCATCTCACCTCCTCCCTCTTAGAGGCCATTTTTAATACAAAGCAAGTATAATGTTGGGTATAGCAATTCCTTTGTTAAATTCTCATCTATGTAAATGAGCATAGATAGAAATAAACATTTCACAATATTTAATTTAATTATCATATTAATGTTTGAACGTTAAAATCAATGAACATTTTGGTGAAAAAAAAAAAAAAAAACTAAAAACCTTTTCAGAAGCGGCAGGGATGCTTGATAATTCTAATTTAGAACAATGTAGACTGTGAAGCTGGGTAATCTGGGTTGACTTGTTTCCAGCATGATCGGGAAATGATCAAATTTGTTGGAGAGTGTCTTCAGTTTAGATATTTTGACCTATAATGTGCAATTCCCTCTTCAATTATGTAATTTCTGGATTACAGAATGAATTCCGCTCTTTCCAAATGTTCCCGGGGTGAAAAGCCATAATCTATATAGGCATTGTCGCTTAGGAATCATTTACATTCAAAGGAAAGACATTTGGGAGTGGGTATACATGCCCCCTTATACCCTACACTATGGATGCAGTGGTAAAATACTATATTCGATAAAAGGAAAGACTTGTTGGGTTTTGGGGTAGATTATTGGTCATCTTGTAAAGTTGAATTAACCGGGCATGCTTTGAAGTCACTCTAATTTTGACCATATACACTCGGGGTTCTGCATATGCTCTGATAATCCAATTTTAGGATTATCTCCCCTCCAATCAACATTAAAAAGTTTGATAATTTCCTGCACATGGGGTTTTTGGCATTCCTGTGCCAAGATAATCAGGAATCATAGACTGGCATCTTGCCAACCTCAACCCTGTAGTGTCACACGTGGCCTTTTCACACAGGCATTTAATTAGTTAATGTTATAATTACTGGGGGGGTTTTCACGGACACTGGGTCATTGCTTTGGTCTAAGATCTGTACCCTACTCAAAGCTCTATGTCATTCTGCGCACACACACCAAGTTCAATTATCAGGGTAATTAAAACAGGATGAGTTAATTGGAAGTCATTTACATGGCAGATGGCTTTAATTGTTGTATCAAACAATTCACCTGTTTATATAAACAAATGCAAGGCGTGTGTGTGACAAACGCAGTGTGACATATAGCAATGCAATCGAGATCCAACGGCACAATTAACGGAAACAATAACTGAACACAAAACACACTGAGTGGCACAACAGAAATTCAGACAATAAACTGAAAATTACAACATCAGACATACCACTATATAACACTAACTAAAAATATACAATATTATCAACAAAGTAGTAATCTATTTATCAGGGGCCCTGGCGTGTGCCGCTTCATCTATCCTTTCTAGCCTTTTCTAACTCCATCTCAATACTTCCTTGTTCTAGCACAACTATTTTAACTCCTCTTTTAACTACGCTCTTAAACATCTCCAGTCCCTGCTAGTTGTGTCTCGATATTTTCTCTTTGCCTGCTTATGCTAGAGTCAGAGCCAACCTCCTTATGCAAAATACAGATTAAGGAACAGCACACAAAAGAATACCGTTTTAAATTTCACAAGGCTACTTAAAATCACCTATTTTAGATTGTGTTTTTATCACATTCATTTTGCATTATATATATATTCACAAGGCTCTTACAACAGATTAATTAAATACACTTTAGCTCATTTAGCACTATTTAATTTGTCTCCCACTTTGGAATTAGTATAGGACAGACCTATACTGGGGTACTGTGGCGTTCTGGTGGGCTTAACATGATATGGCCATATGGTGAAACTGAATCCCCATATTTGTTTGCTGAGATAGGTGATTTTAAGTAGCCCTATAAAATTTTAAACTGTATTTTCGTGTGCACGCTGCTCCTTAACCTGTATTATATATAAATGTTGGTCCCTGCTGCAGCACTATTGCTGAGAAATGCATGTTCCGGCAGTGCCCCCCCAATATCCTTCCCCCCCCCCTCCCCCGAACCACTCTGCTAAATGGGCCATAGGATTCTAAAGTGTGGGAGCAGCATGGCGAACATGTGAGTGGGTGCACGAACAATCTGTTAGAAGCAATATATTTAATAACTAAAGACAGAGAGATGGAATGACATGTTGGTCGCACAGATCAGAGAGGATGCTGGGTGAGACGCAGGCGTTAATGAACCGTCAGGTGTATTTACTTATTACCTCAGTACTGAAAACAAATGACAGGGACAAAAAAAAAAAAACCACTTTATTGTCATTATACCTGCAAAACTATACTTGCTGGCCATCTGCCTAGCAGTATATAAAGGGATGTAATAATTTACAGATTGAAAAGGAAGGAGACTCTGTTGACTATGGCCTTTCTAGTCTGGGAGTACCGGGACACGTCAGATTTTTTATGTTAAACACGGTCAGGCCTGATTACTGCCAGTGTGGGAGATATGAGGACTATGTCATATTACATATGATCGAGTCCCATTAATGATGTATATTCATTCCTTTTATGGCCTTTCCATCTCCCTCTATCTATACTGGTAAATTGCTTTGAGTCCCACGGGGAAGAAAAGAGATATTAAAATGTCTGCTGTCATTAAAGAAACACACACAGTGCGATTGATGAAAGTATCTCAAGTCTCTGCAGTAAAGATGTAAAGAGGTTAATGATGTAAATGAGTGCTGCAGAAATAAAAATAAATAGAAACTAAATACACATCCCAGTACGAGAGGGGTTATTCTCAGGGCTGAAATGGCCCAATATATATATAGCCCGGTTCCTCAGACACACACACCAAGTCAAGTTCGGAGCTTCACACATCTTTCAGAAGAATAAATCCAGAAGCAACATCTAGGGTAACAATAGCTAAGTGTAAACCTGAAAATCTCTGCCCAGAGCAGAGGGAGCTGACGGAAGCTCCTTCCCAGAGCTTCAGGGCTCCAGAGGATGTAACCGGTGCCCAGCAGGTTCTGATATGGTTTGACAATTTACTCAGGTGGGATACCAGTGCTCTCTTGGCACCATAACCATAACACTGTGCTGTAGTTGTTATGGTGCCTGTAGTGTTATTTTAACAAATTTTTATAGAAACATAATGACAAGATTGTAAATAAGACCAGATTCACTCATAATAGTTCGCAAAACAATGTCAAGTATAATGTAAGGAATAGTGATGCATAATAATTATAATGTCAACAGTTTAATTTACATCCCAGCTGCCTTTTGTCTCATGGTGAGGACACGTGTGTCGTGTGTATGGGAATGACCTGTGTTTTTACTGCATAATCCCTAACGAGAGGGTCCTGAGAGAAGAAGGAGAACACATAAAATAGAGTTAAAACAGAGAAAGAAAATGAGGGGAGGTAAAGAGAAATAAGCGGTTTAGCGAACCAAAGGTTGGTCGTGGTTAGGAACAAATTAGGAAGAGACAGAGGAAGGCCGTATTTTAAACCCGACCTCACAAATATATATATTCAATACATCTCTGTTCTGTAGGCTTGTAAATGTACAGGGACATATGGACCATGGCTTAACAAAGAGGTGATAGGCCTGTGGGCGTTTTTGGCCCCTTATTCTGCAGATTAATACCTACATCCATACACTGATCTTCAAAGTCGAGGAAGCTAATGCTTGGAGAGGTGAGGAGATTCTAGAATATCTGGCGTCATGAGATTCCAGCCTATCCAGAGTCAGGAGTTTGGTGTAATTTACTTCTTTCCCCCACACTGTAATCCTTGTTAGACCAGTGTGTGCTCGGTTTTGCCAGTCGGTACCCCAGCAGGGATTTAGAGCATACCTTGCAACTTTCCACATGACCTGACTCAGAGACTCTTAATAATGCATCTATTTGACCACCATAATAGCAGAGGGCCAGTGTATACAGTGTGTGCAATAAGCCATTTAAAGAGTTAATATTGATCCACACTAAAACCAGACCATATCAAGATTCATCACAATTACCTGTATTCGAATAAGAATTGGTAGACGATTGGTACGCCTGTGTAATCCTAACACTATAGTGTTTCTTTAAATTGAACTTTAAAATACACACAAGAGGCTCCTGCACGCTCTAGCAGGCTATTGACAGCGCAGACGATTAGAGATTCTAAATTAACCAGACTGTGCAATAAAGTGTAAACATTAGATGACTCTTTACAGGAAGTATTTAGGAAGGCTGTGTAAGTCACATGCAGGAAGGTGTGACTAGGGCTGCATAAACAAAGTGATTTAACTCCTAAATGGCAGCGTATTGAGCTGTGAGACGGCAGGAGAAAGCTCTATACACCTAAACCATTCCATTAAGCTTAAGTTGATTTAGTTCCTATAGTATCCATTTAAGTCTGTATTCTATATCTCCTTAGTGCTTGATACTCTCTACAATTCTGTAGCTCTATAACATAACAAGTCTATAGGGCTTGATTCTGCTGCTCTGTAAACCAGTATGAATAAATGTTTTATCTTCTTTAGCTCTATGACCTGTCTATAATCACTTAAGATTTGATTCTGCAACTCTAAAGCATAGTACGGACAGAATGCTCTGTATCACAGCAAGGCCCTAGGTTCCAATTCTGCAGGTATGGCCCGGTTAAGAGGCCATAGCATTACACGATTCACATTCTTAAGAGTCCCAGGACCAGCATTTTTCTGGCTGCCAGCTGCACTGAGTGTTTCCATAACACAGACCAGATGGAGCCCTGTGTCTCAGGATCTTATCTGGAGTTGTTCTTGGCGGGGGCTTGGCCCTGAATTTCAGGAATACTTTACTTTATTTAGGAGCAAGGATGGCTCTGGCTGAGATCAGCCTCCTAACATCTGCTCTGCATTTCCAGCCATTTAAAGAGCAGGGACTGAAGCTGCCAGGGAAAAGCTATTAACCCTTGCTCGGCTCCCACGCTTTTGTTTTGTCGATTTGTTTCCCCTTGTGTCATAGTTCTGTTTGTTTCTTGTTCAATGTAAAATTTCTCACGCTCTGTTCCTCTCCTATTTCCTCTTTTCTTTTTCTTTTTTTTTAGACGACTATATTTATCGGTTTCATCATGCTTCCTTTGTCATTTGGTTTTTCACCTGTACATCACTTCTGAAAACAAAGCTTGAGAAATCCTAAAATAGGAGATCTGTCCGCAAGCCCCTATACCCTTTGAACTAATAGAGGTAGTTTTCAGTGTAAAAATCCTGGCAGTACCCACATTACACCTACACCAAGCTACACCTGCGGTCCAAAAAAGGGGGTTTGGTATAGACTTCATTGTCCCACCCCTGCTCTCCCCAAAATGTCATAGACACTAATGTATTATAATGATTTACTAGCCTCAACACTCAAGGTATCCTTCTGCAGGGTAAACCACCACTGATAAAATGTCTTGAGAGCTCATTTATCTTTATTTTTTTTTAAAGTCATTTTTTTTGGTATCTTCATTCATGCAGTACTATATTGGCATTCTTTTGAATCAGCAGAGCCTGCTGGACACATTATTCTGCTTTTATACAAGACATCAGGTAATAAAAAGATTGCAAGATACAATTGGATATAAACGTGACTGCCCTAAAATACTTACTATCCTTTTATATGTAAACTGAAATAGCTCCCGGGCTAACATGTTTGCTGTCTTCTATAGAAAACACGTGATCCATTCTTAACAAAATCGGTTTTGTTTGATCAGTTTATGTATGGATGGGATGGGATGGAATGCAAGGATGGATAACTGGATTGAGATAATGAAAGATGGGTAGATGAACAGAAGCAGGCTAGAAAGGAGGTCCTATTTCTAGCCAATGTCTACGTAGGCCCACAGGTCTACCAATTCCTTGCTGAAGCATATTACACCTTGAATCATATAAAACCTTAAATATACCCAGGTTTTGTCCATGACCATGGTGGTTTGTACACTAGGTTGTCCTTCTAAAACGTATAGAACACTTATAAATAATATCCATTTTCTATAGGAACCATGCCCCCAATTCAGACTACCCCCAACCCTGAGCATGTCTGCAGAAAGGGTAATGTGCGAAGTAGGACTCTACAGCCTGGGCTGCCCTGATCTGATGGAATCCAGATGTCAAATTCACACACCAGAAAAAAAAACATGTCCAGCTGTAGCCCATTAACGTACAAATAAAAATAATCCGAACAGAGGCGGGGAGGGGTTGGAGGGGTCCTGGCTGGAGCCTGCTATGGGAGCTCTGGAGTTTTCCAAGACCTGTCAAAAACACTGCTCAAAAACAATCCCTGTGGTGAGAAGCAGTTTCTCATAACAGGGAGCCTCTTATCGATGGCACAGACTGAGATCACTTTGGGGAGGGGGCACTAATGAAGAATTCCCATATGTTTTCTGGGCTGGAGGTTGCGTTACTAGTAGAGGGTACAGACAACACACAGCCTATCGTGACCAAAAAAAAATTGTCAAAATTGCTTGTGCTCAAAAGACCTAGGATGCACATTGTCTGGTCTGTTCACACGTGGTGTGGAAGGGGTTAGGTATGCCAGCACGGTGTAGCCCCCTTCCCCCCGGGCACAGATCTCTGATCCTGTCTCTTGCCCTGTGTTCCCTTCTTTGGTCTTGGCCAGAGTTACACGGAGGACTCGGACAGCTCTCAGCAGCTGCTGCACACCTGTCCTCAGCTATCAAAAACGGTAGTGAACTGTATCCCTGGCAAAGAGTTATGCGGCGCGTCCAGCCAGGCAAGGGTTAATAGTTGTAATGTGTGGAAGGGGAGGGAGCGGGGGCCACAGCTGATCCCAGCAGCAGGTGTTTGAGGATTGCTTTAACTGCTGCTCTCTGTCTCCTTCTGACTCTCCCCCTTTCCTATAGCGTACTACCTGAATTATTATTATTTTATTATTTATATAGCACCAGCAAACTCCGTAGCGCTGTACATGGGAATGATAATCGTTCCCTGCCACGCTCCTTCTGGGCTCTCATGTCATGCTCTCTCTTTTCCTATTTTAACCACATTGTGTGTGTGTGTGTGTGTGTGTGTGTTTGTGAAAACGAACCCGCTGCCATTGAGACAAGTCCCTCACTCTCTTCTCTGTATTCCTCTTCGCAGGCAGCACCTAGGATACAGCAGATACAATGCCAGACTCACCGGCTGATGTGAAGACACAGACACGGACCACCCCACCCACTATGCCCCCACCCTCACCTGCCCTGAGCCAAGGGGCCAATCGCAGCTTTTCCTTCACACCAAGCACAAGTGAGAAAGGCTTACAATGACATGGGATCTTTCAACCAGGGCTTGACAAACCCCCAGGAGCCAGGGATTCTACAAATAGAACTGATGCTCAATAGCTAGCTGGGTTATATTGTATAAATCCCTGGCTCAAAAAAATAAAATAAAATTACACTTATAAACCATTTGCATATTGTGAACATGTTCCTGCAGACACAACAGATCTACGGAGAAATTTAAGGATCATATAATTATTCTAGAGTCTAGAGGGACGGTGGCCATTGTCACGGGTGGCCTCAGCAAAGGGGGGGCAATAGCAACCCAAACTTAGCAATGTCCTAAATGTAATATTGTTGGATAAGCTTTTCTAATGATTTAATATCTTAGATAAACATTTAAAATTTTCTTTATAAAAAGCATATCAATATATTAAAATATTACATAATTATAAAAAAAAAATAGTAAACAAAAATATTAAATCTCTGAACAGCCTATCCAAAACATAGACAAGCTTTACCGAGATCTGACAGACATTTAGGAAAGCTAAAAATGACTAATGGTTGCACATTTTCAAGTCCTAGTTGAATCACATGCAGTCCTACAAAAGATGAGTTTGCAGTGTGTCTGTACTATGTAGTGTATGAGTGTAGTGTATGAGAAACACGATTAATATTTTTAAGCATGCTTGGGTAGGAAGGTTTTTTCTAACATGATTGGTGGGCATGGCTGGCAAGTTCTTTCTTGGCATTCAAGTCTTCTAGCTATTTTTTTCCCCTTGGCAGAATGCCATGATAGGAGATACGTGTGTATTTGTAGGCCTGATGGGACGCAAGTTTCTTGATGAGCACAAGTTGGGTAAAAGGTTTTCTTGGAGGGCATGGCTGGTAAAACATAGAAACATAGAATGTGACGGCAGATAAGAACCATTCGGCCTATCTAGTCTGCCCAATTTTCTAAATACTTCAATTAGTTCCTGGCCTTATCTTATAGTTAGGATAGCCTTATGCCTATCCCACGCATGCTTAAACTCCTTTACTGTGTTAACCTCTACCACTTCAGCTGGAAGGCTATTCCATGTATCCACTACCCTCTCAGTAAAGTAATAGTTCCTGATATTATTTTAAACCTTTGCCCCTCTAATTTAAGACTATGTCCTCTTGTTGTGGTAGTTTTTCTTTTTTTAAATATAGTCTCCTCCTTTAGTGTGTTGATTCATTTTATGTGTTTTAAGCGTTTTTAAAAGGACATGGCTGCTGCAAAGTATATGTCTAGGTTGGCATATAGCTTGGTCAAGATGTGTTTGTTGGTAGACATGTCTGAGTATGAGTTGTATCATGGTGGACGTGGGGGTGAGGATGAGGTGTCTTAGCGGGCATAAAAATGGGTTAGATGTTTGTTTGGGGTGTACCATGAATATGTATGGATGAGTTAACTGTACAAAATGTAAAATATTTAAAATTCCTTATCTTTTCAAACCTACCCCACGCAGGGAGAAATTGATTGGATGTATGTGGGTGGGTATAGGCTAGACTAATGTTTATATTGACCAGAATTTAGTTGGAGGCTCAACATACCGAGTTTTTAAACAACTTCTTTTGGTTGGTCAGTAATTAAGATGTCATGATTGACTATAGTTTGGGTGAAGGTGCCTCTGTTTGTTTTGTTGGACGAACCAGATGGATGGCTTGGAGTGATGTTGCCAGTCACCGTATCCCTCACATTCTCTAGTTTGTGTATGAGCAATTCTGCTTTAAAACAGATGTTCTCTAATTAGATGTTGGGGTGATCTGATGGGTTTTACATTAAGCTGAGAAGGAACAGATGCGCCTGTGTGTATGTGCGTGTCTATAATCCACATCCACAATGTGTGTTTTTCTTTTTCTAATCCACGTGCATTACATTGTGCATTCATGATTGTTTGTGTGTGCCATGTTATTTTTGTGATACAATAACCAACTTGTGCAGAACACAAATAAAAACATGTTTGCAGGCTGCCAAACTTTCCTCTATGCAAAACAGGCAAAACATAGGCACACAGCCTGCAAACATGGAAATCACACACAGTGTCACTTTGGGATCCCACCTGTCAGTTGTGGGCATGTGGTTATTTTGGGCTCCTCTTTGGGGGGCCGCCCCTCAGCGTCCTCTTGGTGCCAGTGTATGTGTGTGTGTTACCGTTCACAGAGCAGATTTTACCACTGGGAGACGTTTAAAAGCTGCTTTAGAAGGTGGGTTAACAAAGCACTATGCAGAGCTCCTGTGTGCCCCCAGCATGCTATGTCTTATGTGAGAGTGTCCGTGCATGCAGCTGAAAAACAGACAGGAATGTGAGAAGGGAGGATAGGATCTGGGCATGTGTGAAGGAAAGGCTGGTACAACCATTAGGAGTGTGAGACATTTATACCGTCCAGTAGTGCTTCCTGTTCAGTTTATACACACCTTGTTCCTAAAATCAAATAATGGCCTGGCTGGATCTTTTCCTTGAGAACTATTACTGCTTATAATTCTCTTATCACACTGACAGGTGTAGATAGAATATATATAGACACACTCACATGTATGTCATGTGATATTGGCACTACTTGTATGTATGTATTATTTATATAGCACTAGCCGATATACTTTACAGGCAACATCGCCATACACAGAGAGATACAGAAAAAGAATAGAGTATCAGAGTTATTCCCTGAAATGATAATTGTAGGGAATTGAAAAAAATTTAAAATTTAAGGCCAAATAGCCAAGAATTTATCCAAGTAAACTATGCTTTAATTTCAGGTGTTTTGCCCTTATATTCAAAATTCACTTTGAACTCTCTTTGATTTCGTGACAATTAACACTTAAGGCAATAACCCTGTATACAATTTAATAATAATTAGAATATGTTGCACTAATTGGTACTTTACAGGTTAACGTACGTGTTAGGGCTATATAAATAAAGGATACATACACTATACATCTACTGTACTTCCCTGTACTGTAATGTAAGTGCAATAGCTATACAGTATGTATGCTTTATTTATGTACTACTAACAGGTGGACTTAACACTTTACAGGTTATATTACAGTAGTGAGGGGTGCTGCGAGTGCAGAAGTTATATAGTTTGTTTGAGTAATTTGTTTGTATAGTGCTAACAGGCTACTTAGCACTTTACAGTCTACATTACAGTAGAGGGAGGTGCAGGAGTTACATAATGTATGTTTTAATAATTTAACTATATACACTGCTAACAGGTGTACTAATTTACATTACAGTATAGTGGGTATAGTATGTGTTGCAGTTGGGCAGTGTGTGGTATATTTTATTTATATTATGCTACATTATAGTAAAGGGAAGGTGCATTAGGTAGACTAGGTAGGTGTTCAATATATTTTTAGTGGGGTTCAGTAAGCACAGTAGTTATAGTGTGTATAATCTCTCTCTATATAATCTTTATAGCAGGTTACAGATTACATTACAGGATAGGTGTGGAACGGTAGTGCTGTAGTCATTTAGTGTATGTATATTAAATTATTTATATAGGGCAAACAGTGTGCTTAGGGCTTCACAAAATAAGCAAGTAGAAGGAACTTTATAGTGTAAACAAATTTACAGTTTACGTTTTAGTTTATATTTGTATAACGTATTAACATAGTGCTAAAAGATACACTTCACACTGTAAGTTTCCCTTACTTTATAGGGACGGTATAATAAGTGCAGTATCTATAGAGTTTAACTAAGAAATGTATTTCGCACTTGTCCATAATGCACAGTCTAACTGACATTGTATGATGCCCCTATATGCACTGGTATGGCCAAGATTAGCGGGAGATATGTAACTCCTGCAGCTGCTACTATTTACAACGCAACATTCTCTCCCAATAATAATATAGCAATATAGGTGATGGGGAGATAGAAAAAGCACACTTCTGTTTCCCCAGCTCCCACAAGCTTCTTGTTTATGCTGACAGTCCTAATCCGAGTTAAACTAGAGCCGGGGTTTTTCACAGTATAGACTTAAGTTGTCAAACCCATGGATTGCATTGGTTAAAGTATATGCACTGGTGCTGAATTATATATTATAGTGTATTATAGCTGACTGGTGTGTTAGAGGAGGTAGTATTATTGCTATCTGTCAGACAGCGGAAATAATATGTCCCTCTTTTCCCAGTGATGAACGGAAGCAGCCATTCTCCCACCGCAATAAATGGAGCTCCTTCTACCCCCAATGGCTTCAGCAACGGACCTTCTGCCTCCTCTTCAGCTGCTTTAACGAATCAACAGCTTCCCCCGGCATGTGGGGCACGACAACTCAGCAAACTAAAGCGTTTCCTTACTACGTTGCAACAGTTTGGCAGTGACATCTCTCCGGAGATCGGGGAGCGTGTTCGAGCACTGGTGCTGGGACTAGTGGTGAGTACAGGGATGGGGAGTCATAAACTTCATCCATAAGAGGGGTCAGAAATGTTACACGGTTACCGCTTTACAATTAGAGAGGCAAGATCACCTAATGCACCCAACAAATAGATAACCATGTAGGTTTAGAGCTCTCGTCTGTACTGCACATTTTTCACATGATAAATCTTTAAAGTAAATTTTAAAGAAAATGGAGAATGCTATGAAAAAAAGGTGAACACAACCTGTACGTAAATTTCAATGTATTATTCAATAGTATAATTTCCAGAGACGTGTCAGTTACACTTTAAAACGACGGCACATCACAAAATGGGCAAACTGGTCAAGTACAAATGCATTAGGAATGTATAAATGATGAAAACAGATCTTAAATTTGGCTTATCTGTAAATAGATATACATATATTTCCAATAATGTAAAAATAACACTAAATGGAAACAACTTTGAAGGAACACTCCACACACCTAATGCACTTTAGTTTGCTGAAAAACTAATTTTACAAAAAGTGCAGATTTCAATAGAAATTGGCACTTCTATAAAGAACTTTGTTACACCTCCCCTGGCTGTCAATCAGACAACAGGTCCTATTACGTCCTCTGTTACTCAGCACAGCAAAACAAAATTCAAGAGGTAGTGATTGTCCAGAGCATCTGCCTTGCAAAGACTTTTCACTGAGCTGCATTGCGAAGTCAGTGATTAGACAGCCACGGAACGTCTGGGCGGGGTTAGAAGGGGAGGGCTTGCAAAGGTTGCAGACAAAAGATCTGTAGATTTTGCAAGCTATTTTTAGATCAAACCCTAATGAAACAAAAACATAATTAAAAGCATACTATATGTTTTAATTGGGATATATCTACTAAATAGTGATTTTATATTTGTATTTAGGCAGCTGATTGTCCCTTTAAGAAACCTTTAAATATAGTCTATTTAATGCAGATCCTTTAAGGAGACCTGTGTATGGGACATGGACAATGAAATAACTATATCCTGTTGTGTTGCTTTTTCAGAATTCCACACTGACCATTGAAGAGTTCCATTCGAAGTTACAGGAAGCCACAAACTTCCCTCTCCGACCCTTTGTCATCCCATTTTTAAAGGTATGATGAACTTCCTCTAACTGTCAGTTAGTAGTAGTCTTGGCGCACCAAGGCATATACCTCTATATTCGAAAATTGCCAAACATTGTGCAAGATACAGCCCACATTAAACAGATTATCAAACACTGCCCACATTGACATTTACAGAATCACTCATACCCATAATGATGCTTTGGCACGCTTCCCTAAATCTCATGCCAACCTTGAAGTATTCTGTATAACTTCCTGTTTTGTTCCACCATGTGACCATTGTGGAATACTTTTTGTGCCATCCAAATGGAAGTCAAAGTTTAAAAAAATGTTTTAAAAAACATTTAAACCCCCAATCTTGATAACCATTAGTGACATCTTCATATAGAATACATGGCACATGCTTTTTACTGGCATGCTACACTCAAGATTTTAGTTTGGTTTCTCCAGCGTCATACTTGCCTCCTGACGAATTCTACGTTTGCAGTCAATCATTGTAGCGTGACTTAACATTTCCCTGTTTTCCAGGCTAACCTCCCACTGCTTCAGCGAGAGCTCCTGCACTGTGCCCGCTTAGCAAAGCAGAGTCCAGCACAGTATCTGGCACAACATGAAAAGCTTCTCCTCGATGCCAGCTCCTCAAGCTCTCCCAGTGACTCTTCTGACCTCCTCATGGAGGTGAATGAAAATGGCAAACGACGGACTCCTGACAGGTAAAACGGCTCTCACATCATTGTTACAGGAATGGCCAATCTCTACTGGCCGAAACGTTGAGCATTAACAGTACCTCAGTAAGTGTAGCAAAAAGAGATTAAACAAACTGCATGACTCATAGTACATACATCAATGATTCCATATTCGGAGACCATCTGGTACAAGGTAATAAACAAAAAAAGAAACAAATGGTGCCCCTTCTCTTCTCTCCACAGACATCTTGTACAATGTAACTAACATCTAACTCTCCAGCTATTGTACAACTACAAACACCATGATGCTTTGCTAGCCTTAAGTTAGTTCTGCAACAACAAGAGATCTACCTTTTCACCACCTCTGCTCTAGCAGACACAACCTGAATAAGATGCACATATTACCGGGTTTCACTAGTCCCAGAATATTCTGTAAAGTGTTTTTTGTACACGTCTATTACTTGAAAATAGCAGGCGTTGCTTTGGGAACAAATAGTAGACACAAAATCTATCTAGCAGGGATTAACAAAAATAATTGTCTGACCTTTTTGCCGACATGTAAACCCCTCGTCCAGTCCATGTTGGGAATATTTTGTAGTTCTATGCTTGTGGCAAAATGTTTTGCTTTATTGCCAACTACTGGGTTAAGATTTTTGCTATTACGCACAAACTTTTTCCTACCGAAGTAATACAATTCTAGTAGTAAGCATGGCCTAATATCTTTTACCTAACATGGGCGAAGAGTTACAGCAAAGTGGAAATTTCAGTTGCTGTTAATTTTTTTTATTATTTCATTGTATTTAAACAGTCATAAATCAAAATATTTTTACACATTATAAAAGATTGTCAGGGTTAATAAATAAAACAAGAACTCTTTGGAATTCAAAGTTAATTTCTAATTTAAGGTCAAAATAACTGAATTGAAAAAATTCTCTACTTTAGCTGTGCTTTCAGATCAGCTACATTGGCCTTAAATCTGAAATTCATTTAGAATTCCTGAAAATTCTCACATAAGTGAATAACCCAGTATGTCTCCACTTCTGCCAAGAATGAGGGAAATTTTGGACACCTGTGCAATGTGTGTTTGTCCTGTCAATATCAATAGCTTGTGTTGTCTTTATTTTTCACCAGGACCAAAGACAGCATGCAGGATGGCCTGCACCCAGAGCATCTCACCAAGAGGCCGTGCACCACAAGCCCAGCACAGAGATACAGCCCTAGCAATGGACTGCCTCACCCTTCCACTAATGGACTCCCCCACCCCACTCCACCACCCACTCAGCATTACCGCCTTGAGGATATGGTGCTGGCTCATCACTACCGACACACAGACCCCCGGGAATTACGAGAGCGACACCGGCAGGCAGGTATGAGAGCCCTTGCGTTACAAGAATGCAGCTGCCAAGCAGGTGCCAATTAGGCAGTGTGCCAATCTGTTGATTAACGTCGTGCAAGACAGATGCCAAGCACATGTGATCTAGACAGTCAAGACCGATGCTTTTAGAGCTTCTTTACAGATCTGAACGCAACATTTTTTGGTCATTATGAACATTTCAGAGAAAATAGAACATCAGAATGATAGGACTGTGTGGCCATAATGAATCTGTTGCAAACAAATGCAAAGTATCATCTTTAGTTGTATGTAGTGCAATTTATTTACATACACGCAACAGGGCTACACAAACACCTGTAGATTACAGACTGGATTAGTCACTGAAATGCGAACTGTCAGGAGTCCAAAGTAAATTTCATATTTTATTGCAAAAGGGTCAGCAATCTTCTATTTTGGCCTAAATTTGAATTTCCCTGTGAATTAATTGACGTTCCAATAGTTCACAGTTTAGAGCAGGGGTAGGCAACCTTCGGCACTCCATAATGCTGGCAAAGAACCAAGGGAGATGTAGTCCACAACATGTGGAGTGCCAAAGGCAGTCTATCCCTGGTTTAGAGAAGCCCAAGTTAAGTTAGTTTAGTGATGATATGCCTTGGCATCGCAGAGATTTCTGGACGTTATATTTATTACGACCCTCCTTCTAAATGTACGCCAGACTGAAACAGAGAGGAAAAGCAAAAAACAGAAAGCAAGACATTAATTTTACATCCCAAGGGGTAAAAATACAGTTTTCCCATTATAGAGCAAGCCAAGCCAGAGCTTGATAAATTGGCAAAAGGAAAGCTAGACAGGATCAAAGATACCAGAGGAAGGCAAGCCAGGCCAAATCCATGAACGCAGAAAACAATTACTAGAAAGAAGGCACTATTGGTCTAAAAGGAACCACTAAGTGGCACTTATCATATTAAGTTAATTAAATTTAAGTAAACTGGAGTTCGGCAGCTGGAAGATTCAGGCAAGCTTCTAAGGACATAGAGTCCTGGAATGGGCGCTGCCATAACGCATTAGACTATTTAATGGAGGTGCAAGAGAAGTCTGCAGCACTACTGAGAATTTCCCATGATGCCAGCCAGTCTTAAAGGGACACTCCACAGCACCACGACCACTACAGCCCACTGTAGCCCGGCGAATCTTTTGCATAAGATTTGACTACTTCCTCTGGGAGGGCCCAAGATAACTCCTGTCACCATAACCACTTCAACGGGCTGTAAAGAATGCCAGGGTTAACCACAACTGCACTATGCAATATCGCACATGTGCATTATACAGTATAGATGCAGAGATATCTATAGTTCCTCCTGTACAGATATCATATTCTAGCAGATAGTTTGCTTATGTTGCTGACCCGTTCTCACAAGATCAAATATGAGGTCTGGGGCACTGTAATTGACACTCCCAGTCAAAAACCTGTGGCTGCATGTCTGTACCCCATAAGGTTTGCATGCCAGCTGCCCACAGTATGCCATCTGTTCCCTGCACGCCAACCCACTGTTCCATGTATCATACAAAACAGTAATCTGTTACCTACAGCTACAGCCCAATAAAACTCGCTCCATATACTGGGCACTCCTTGCAATTTATCTCATTATTTCTTAATTCCCAGCTGTACATGAGGTAATCGATCACAGGCTGACAGAGCGCGAGTGGGCAGAGGAGTGGAAACATCTAAACAATGTGAGTAGGCTGCAGGTGAGAGGTGGGAGGTTTGTGCCTGGCCAACCAATGATAGGCATGCATTGCACAAAGCCAAGTGTTGCAACCTGTTGATGTCTCTTGCTCTGTACAGCTCTTGAATTGTATAATGGACATGGTCGAGAAGACACGGCGTTCGCTGACCGTCCTACGACGCTGCCAGGAAGCTGACCGCGAAGAGCTCAATCACTGGATACGACGTTACAGTGATGCTGAAGACATGAAAAAAACAGTCAGCTCTACAGCACAGCCATCTCGACATCAAAGCAGCTCTTCAAGCACAGAGTCCTCGCCGGCAGGTAAGACCGTGTTGTCTGAAACCAAAAAAAGAGGCGAAATCCAGGCCCTTGGGACTGTGAACCATGGGGAATGTATAGCTTAATGCTGGCTAAGACCCGTGAGTTGTAGTTCAACTACAAATATTTTGTTATGCATAGATTTTAATCCAGGATGGGGAGAGGATTACATAAAAGATGGGTGGGCACCAATATAATAAAAAATCATTAAAAAAAACAAACTCACCTTTGCTCATACTTAATATTTATCAAAAGATAAGTACAGTAAATATGGGAGAGTTGGTTGGTTGGTCAGGTTGTGTTCCTAAAGGGTCCTCATATGACCAGGTTCTAAATAATTATAGAGCAGTTGTGGATGCTCTATAACTAAATAATTTCTAAACTTGAAAACAACACAACTGTTTCAGCATAAATGGCTGAACAGGCAAAGATGCTCAGAATTAAGTACTCAGCTAATAGTTTGTTAGTTATCGCTTTCTTGTATTTATCATCATCTGTTTCATGTTATTTCAGAAAACTCTCGGGACTTCTTGCACAGACCACAGGCTGGGTACATGCCGGAAGAGATCTGGAGGAAAGCAGGTGAGTGTGAAAAGAAGACCCAAACCTAACTTGAGATTAGTGTGTAAAAAGTAAAATGGGTTGGGGCTTACTTTAATTGGCATATACTGCTGTATCAAAAATACTGTTTTTGTTTTTTGTGTATATGCTGGATTTTCATTATTACTGTTAATAAAAGGCATATATTTCAACTGAATATGTGTACAATGCTAGCACCAAGCCACCCCTCTGAGCTGTCTCTCTCCCCGCACAGAGGAGGCGGTGAACGAAGTGAAGCGGCAGGCTATGTCAGAACTGCAGAAAGCGGTGTCGGAAGCAGAGCGGAAGGCTCACGAACTCATTACGCTGGAGCGTGCCAAGATGGAGAGAGCACTGGCAGAAGCAAAGCGCCAGGCATCAGAGGACGCAGTGTCTGTCATCAACCAGCAGGAGGACTCAAGTGAGGTAACGGCCACGCGGCTTAGAGCAGATAGCAGCCGCAACTGTCAATGAGTCCAAAAAAAGCAGTCAGCTATATAAGATGTAGGTCTACCATTTTGTGTAATGCAGAATAAAAGCCACTTTAAAAAAAAAAAATAAGCTGCAGTGGTTGTGAGAATTATGAATCTTTATAGCCAAAGCATCACTAACAGAGGATCGTGAAGCATGGATAAGTGTGTGCCATCACTGGGTTTTCCTATGACAACATATTCATGAAATGAATTGGTGACATCATAGGAATGTGTGTAGGTGGGCAACAAGCATTGTTAGTTAGTAGACCGTGCTCTGTAGTCAAATGTCCTGAGCAGTAAACAAAATAATTTGCTGCCCATTTAAATTGGAGTGATTGGGTGGAGAAATCAGGTCTTCCCTGGATTTTTACAGGCATGGAGCAGGCACTCTGTATCTCCTACGGTGTGTTTGGTTCCTGCATCGGCCAAGTAAAATACGACGTGACTGTGTTGACTTTAGAAGCTTGGGGGTTTTACGTTTTTGTAGTCTTTATATTACTATCATCCTTTAATGTCCTTCTGAGAAAGTCTTGTATTTTTAACACTCTTCCATGTCCCGTTTTATCCCTGCAGAGTTGCTGGAACTGCGGGCGGAAAGCAAGTGAAACATGTAGTGGCTGTAACACCGCACGGTACTGTGGCTCCTTTTGTCAGCACAAAGACTGGGAGAAACATCACCACGTATGTGGGCAGTCCTTGCACAACACGCCCAGTGCACCTCCAGCTCCTACAACCCCAACAACCCCTTTAGCCAGCCCCACCGCGAGTAGCTCTGCATCTCGCTCTGGAACTCCTGCCACCCCACTTCTCCTGGATACTGCCTCCCGCTAATCAAGCTGTGGTAACCACAGAATCCTAAGAAGGACAATAAACAGCCATGACTACTCTCATCCAGATCTGCCTGGTTCACACAGTTTGGGGGGTGGGTGGGTGGAGGGGACTTGGAGTCAAAGACAATGCCCGTCAAGACTTCCCCTGCCCCCTGTTGTGTCTGCAGTTGGGTGGGTGTGCCAATGGCTGTTTGGATTTAATCCAGGAATTCCTAAAAATGACTTTTAGCAGCTGTGGGAAATGGTCTTACAAAGAACCTCTAGCAGTAGTCAGAGTCCTTGTGAAGGACACCTGACCAGAAAGAAAACCGAGTAGGGGAAGTATTTAATTTACAACTGCTCTGAACTTTTTTGGCTTTAAAACAAAAATAGAATCCAAAAATAAAAGTATGAAAAAGAAAAAAAAAAACAGAAATATACAAATGAAACTACCTTGCTAGTCAGCCAAGAAATGTCTGATACCAAGAACACCTCTAAAATGAATCCCAAAAAAACAAATGAAGGAAAAATAAATCCAAATCCAAACATTGCGAGCCCTGCCAAAGCCCTGACCTGTTGAATAAAAGTAGAGGAGACTCTGTGGGGATTGCGGGCACTCCGCATTCTGGGATCTTGTAGCTACACGGGCCCCGTAAAATGAAGGAAAAGGGGCTGCTGAAATCTTTTCTCAGAAGCCTCCTCCAGAGGGATTACTTCACTTACAGCAACATTTGTATCTTCCTCCTCTACCTCTCCAACCGCAGATATCTAGTGACATGCCATTGTGAATGAGCCTCACTCCTCTATTCTGCTGGGATCTCGCAACACACAACTCTTCTTCTAATGAATTGTCCTGGAGGGAACAACAAATGGCAACTGGAGGTATATAATCTGTCCTATGCAGATAGGCAAACAATGAGAAACCTTGATAACGAGTCAATATTCCGCACCCCAGCTTTACTGCTCCTCTGAAAATGGTGAAGCTCTGATATGGATTTAGGGTGGAGGGCAAATACTTCTGGGAGGTTTAAATGGGCAGCCACAACCATCTTATCACTTTGGGCCATGGTGGGAAATGATATCAGAACCCCCTACGTTCATGCAGACTTTAGCCTATCTTTGTGGAAGATTGTACAGATTTTTTTTTTCTATTTATAAATACATATAAAAGAGTACCCATGTAGGGGACATGCGTGCAATATGAAAAGTGCAAAGCTACTGACAGTTTGGGGGAAGGTGACGGCAAACTTAGCATTAACACCATACAGAAAGAAAATGTAGCATTGGATCACGATCAAGCCTTTATTTCAGCAACATGATTTCCAGATAACCCTAAATAAAATAAAATAAATTATATTAAAAACACAACACATGATGTCCATAAGAAATATAGTGAACTAGGAAGAAATATGTTCTCTATGAAGATTGGTGTGATAAAGCATTTTCCATGTATAGGGAACCCAAAAACAATAGTATAATAATACCCCAAATATCAGGGATCTAGGGGACCACCCACAGAATCCCAAGTTTTAGAAATGTTTAATTAATCTTCACCATTTGCCCGGATTCCGAAACTAAGTCCAGTTGCCTTCCAAGGGGAACCTGGTAGAGAAGCTAGCCAAGTGAATTGCTACCAAGTGTACCAATATAATTTTAGCCCTACATTCAGTTTTTGTATTTTACTTCTGTGTCATCAGCCAAACATCACAACAGTCCCAGGGTCGTTGGGACAGTCTAGGCTCCTGTTCCACCATCCTAGATTTGAAATCTGGTCTCAAACTTTGAGGAACACTGTAGAAATATCCACCATAAGTGAAGTGTGAACTCATAATTAGGCAAACAGTGCAGACCAAAGTAAGAGTGTTTAGCCCACATAAAATCACTGCAACAGCACTCTGTACAAGGGCTACCCTGAGTATGGTGCACAACACTCAGGGGTGGTGCTTGTCCTTTACGAGAAATACCTCCCAATAAGAAGTAGGGCAGTGCAGTATAGAAGCAAAATCTGACTACATTGATGACAACATTGATATGCAGCATCCCACAGTACCTATCACGTGGATGCACACTTGACACTATCACAGCATCCATCTTTGATAAGGGGAGTCTGGTTTTCAAACGATACATTTGCTAGTGAATATTTGCTAGTACAACGTTCACATTTCAAATTATTTTTGAAGTGAGAAACACGTATAATGATTGCATCCAAAAACTCAAATCAAAAGTCTTTGGGTACTTACCTGCTAAACCTACAGTACATTTACTATAGTTCATCATGGAATTTTGCAAAACAGGTGCATTATCCCTTGGAAGTGTTGAGCAATTACTGTTAAGCACCCCGTGAGAGGTATTAAAAGTCTAGGAAATGTGAGACACCAAAGAGCCTGTGTTTTAATGGGTGCAGGAGGTAAATTCAGCCCAATTAATAATTTACTAACCCAAATGTTATTTAAGTAAAGGTTTACATAACTTGACACAATTTCACTTATTCAAAACGACATTGTGCTTTTTCACTGGGGGAAACAATTTTCCGTCACACTCTTGACATCCTGTTACATCCTAAAACAGTTCTCTGCTCAGGAAGCACCTGTAAGAGCAAGTGTAAACAAAAGTAGTTTCCCCCAACTTTCCAAAAAACAAACAAACAAAAAAAAAAAAAAGAATGTAATTTCATATCTTGCATTCGGTCAGGGAATGGAAATTTTCAAGGATATTTCTTGTAAGTTACAAAATGTATTTTAGCTACTATTTCACCTAAACATTGTTTTGTGCTGAGCTTGTCATTCTTGATCCACATAGGAGGGAGCTTTATTTATTTCTGTTTGTATGTATTATTATGACAAAGACCTAATATATAAAAGTATTTGGGGTGTGTAATATGGCAAACAGCTTCAGTGATTTCAGAGAGTTTTACACAATCTGACTTCCAGTGTTTTACAGTGTAACAAAGTGCTGTCTATCTTGTGATGCGCCGATTTCTCTTGGCACACATTCTGGTTAATTTCTTGGTACAGTCAAAAGGTTTGCACACCTTTCCTTTCAACGTAGTTTACTCTTCTCATTGAAGCCAGTCTTTTTTTTTTTTTTTAATATACATATATAAATATATTTCTATGTAAACACAATTGTTCTGTGTTGTAAAATAAACCATTTCGTCCACCTGTCGCCATATTAAATTTGGATTTGGGGATTTAGAGACACCAGGACCATTGACCTCAACTTGGACTGATTTGAGCAACTGCCAATGTAAGTTCTCCCACGCTACCTCCAACTAACTTCACCGCCCACAGTGGAAGTACAGACTTGTAAAGTTGCGCTTCACCTTCAAACCAAAATGCGACCATGGAAGAGGATTTGGATCTTCTGGACAAACTCTGTCCCTGATATTAAAAAAAAAAAAAAAAAATTAAACAGCTTTAAATATAATGTTCCAAGGGTCAATGAACAGAGACCTCACATTTGGGGGCCTCTTTTTTGTATCCCAAGAGGTTGTAGCTTTAAAGATGGCGGTGCCTATTTTGACCCGGCTCCGCAGTACTTCTTCCCAACATTTTTCACTGGCACCTGTGAGCTGTAGTGTGCTGTTTCTTCATGTGACACTGCCAACCCATGATGGTCCCAAAATGTCTTCTCCCCTCTCTATTGTTAAGCTTTGCCAGCAAGAACCAGAATTTTCTCCTCTTCAAAAGGTACAAAATAAAGTCCACGGATTAAAAGGCGATCGGCACTTACAACCTAATGGCTTTTGTAGCAAAAACCTCCTACTGCGGTGGGAGATATCTTGAGAACATTTATTATGCTACATAGGTAGTTTCTCTGTCCTGCCACAGCTTCACTAACACACCATGGGGCACATCTAAAAATACAACTTACAGGCCTATGTTAAATACAACTGGTTTAGATTTCCTAATCCTCCCATATAAAAAGCACACGGTGGAGAATCTGAACCCTATTGGCTTTTATTGATAATTACTTAAAATAGATCATGTATTTTGTCCCTGAAACCTGATTTGTTTGCTGGAGAGGCCCATGGAAGACTAATGTAACAGAACTGAATATTTCCAATTGCTTCTTTAAATGCACCGATCAGAACATATTACAGTAGTTGGAAAAAATGTGAGACTTTATACTGCTATCCATGCCAGCAAGAGGGTAATGCATCTTGCAATTTGGGGGCAAAGTGCTATATGTAGGTTTCTATGGGAACTGCACCTATTTAGCAATTTGCCTTACTAAAGAAAAAAAAAAACAGTGTTCTCCTGTTAAGACTTGTAGTCATAATTCCACTACAAGGAGAACAAACCTTATCTGCTCCAGCAAACAATCACCTAAGGTGTACAAGCTGTACAAATATTATATCACCCAGTGCTTATCCCTTTCACAACCTGGAAGGTTTGTCGAACACTGGAATACTCCCAAGCAGACAGAATGATGACTGACAAGTTTGTAAAGTCAAATAAGGTTTTGGTCTTTCCAGGAATTGCTCAGGCATCACAACATTCTCTGTTCAAAGGGTTGTATGTATAGTAAAAGCTAAAGTAGAAAATTGGTACCTAAAGGTCTCCCACCAAGATTTGTGGTCACTGTAATGACACTTTAACTTATTAGCCAATAAGGCTCCCTCACAGAGTATATTGGCTTCCCAGTCTGTGCTGTGTTACAAGCAGTACCTTGAAAGTAAGGAGTTTCTGTGTTTACTCCATAACAGAATCTTTGGCATGGAGCTGTACCGCAGATTTTACGATAACAATAAATGAATAAGTAAATTGTACCTTGTGGCCCGTGACCGCTGTATGCCTGGATTTCCACTTATGTGAGCATTGCAAAGAATTGAAGAATATATGTTCACACACATGGGGAGGAGAAAGCGGGGCAGATAGAATACTCGGAGCTGTGTATCTTTGCATGCTGGTATCTCGATTTCTTGTACGTCTAACATGTGGCAGCTGAAACCATTCTTAAGTTCAGATCCAATGTCTGTTCTGTGATCTGTATCTATGTCATAAAGGAAAGTTTATTATGGCATCTTCAAACTGTGTTGTCTTCTTTGAAATATGTGTCAATTTGTGTGAAATAAAAAAATGAGGTGTAGTTTAAAATGTAAACATTACAGTGTCTAACACGGAACCAATCACTATATAATCACTATTTTTGTTGTGGAATCAGTTAATTATTTATGATGGAGATTCCAAAGGAATAGCTATATCTGGTCAATTATGTCCCCATTGACAGGGTCATTCACCAAAGTGTGAATTGCTCTGAATTCCAAGTGAATTTCAAATGTTTTAACATTGAACTGAAAACATAAGTGACTGATTTTTTTCCAATTTGGCTATTTGGACCATAAATTTAAAATAAAGTTTGAATTTAGTTTAAATTCCTGACAATTCATCGATGAGTGAATGACGCTTTCAGTGCTTCCAAACAGAATACAGAATTCATAAGATTCCTGCAAAAATATGGAGATCTGGAAACCTAAAAGCGGGTCAACTTTCTCTTCCGAAATAAATCTCAAAAGGCAAAAACACCAATGCCTAATAATGAAATGGAGTAAGAATTAAAATATTTGATGTTACTTTTGTCATATAGAGTCTAAACAATCAGCATTACAAGGCATAGTGACATCATCATCAACGAGCACTTTTAACATCTGATGGAACTAAATTACGGTAAGTGAACAACTGGGAAAAGACAAGAAGATGTCAGGTTGATGTGCAAACTGTGAGGAGTAGGGAATAAAGGCAGGAAGTGATAGCGATCAGCATAGGACTAAAAAAACAGAAGGGTCATGAAATAATTAGTTACTAGGTTTGTTTTATGGATTATGTCAAATGTCCCAGGGGAAGTGGCTGATGAAAGTGAGTTTTTCACTAGTAGGTGGACCATTGGAAGGTACAATGACAAGTTCAGGGAAAGTAAGGAAACAGTGAAGTCGTAGTGAGTAGTGATGCATAATAGATGGGTGTGGAGGGGTGGAGATGTACAATGCGGTAAAGGGATCTGTATACACACAAAAAAATTATTTTAAATTGTGAGCTAGAAGATTTGAGTCCAGTAGAATTTTTGCAATAAGGGTGAGTCCATGCTTTCCATTCAGCTTTTTTGTAGATGATAGGAATTTTTAGGGAACTCTGTTAATGTACCTACAACAGAGGAAAAAGAATAGTGCAAATATTGTTGGATATTATAATGTGATATAATGGTTCTTATGCACTCACAAATTCCAAGTTGATAGAGCGTATTAAGGGTGCCTCCCCACGATGTAGATGGGGTTTTTTTTCTCTCTCCTTGAGTGATAGCCGATGGGGTATCAGGGTCAGCAAGATGATCCAACAAACTCCAACCAGATGAATACTCCAAAAGCAATTTATTCACTCTTAAGGAGGTATACAAACATAAAAACAGATTTAAAAAAAAAAGGCCACCGGTCCTACGCGTTTCGTCCTTATAAAACAGGATTTCCTCAGGGACCTCTTTCAATAAAATCAACAATCAAATGTACAATAACCAGGTAACAAAGGCATCCCCATTTTGTTCACACAGATCACTTTGTTCACTTTGCATTCAGCTATTCTGGTGTAATGGGTGATTTGTACCCTTTGTACAGATTTGTAGAATTTGTTTATAAAATATTAATAATTATAATTTGAAGATGTCATGGTGGCAGGAGCCTGAGTGCGCAGTGTTTCTGCTTGAAACACTGCACATTTAGAGTTATTTTCAATTGTGTGCCGGCCCACATGACTTTGGCAGCCCAGAACGCTGTTCCAGACTGCCAAATGTCAACTGCGTGCGTATTTTACGTCTGTTGTCAGCACGCTAGCAGACGCAATGACGAATAATCTCCTCACTTACGTGCAGGGCACCGGCAGGGGAAAGATTGCTTTCCCCTCCCTTCCTCCCGCCTCCCTTTGTTGCATTATTCTGTTTATGTATATACATATATATAAAAAAATCCCCCTCCATGGCTCAGATTGCGCACATGCACTCTGAGCAAGCAAAACGGTCCAATCACAGGCTTCTCCAAGTGAAACCACATGTGATGTCAAATTGAGAAGGGAGATCTGCGCCAGGAGTTTCACCTGGATTCAAGGTAAGTAAAAACTTTAATATTTTTACATTTTCATGCCGGGTGACCTAACAGTAATGTCGAAGAGGGCAGTGTTAGCATAAAGAGGCCAACTGTAGAAGAGGGTTAAAGCAACCCTTTAAATTTAAGATAACCCTGTATGTTAGGGTATATTACCATATATAACTGCATATTTTAGTCTAAAATTATTAAGCATAAAAATAGGCGATTTTACTATTTTATCATAAATTTGAAATTATCTTGGCAACATACCACAATACCCAGTTTAGTGAACACAATAGAGGTGCACAGCAATACGCTCTAGTGTTTATTCACTAAATAGCAAATGGTGGTAAACTGATAGACTAAATGCAAAGTTTGAGTTAAAATAGCCAATCTACAACTATAGCCGTGGGAGAATTTTTCTGAATCAGCTATTTTTGATAAAGTTAGCAATTTGGACTTTCAGAGGAACACATTTTACTGTTTCGGGAATGATCACACCGTCTGACTTTGTTAACTCACTAAACTCCAATTTATAGCAAACTTAAAGGGACACTATTGTCACCAGAACAACTGTAGCTTAACGAAGCAGTTTTGGAGTATAAATAATGCTCTGCAGTCTTACTGCGCAATTATCTGCCATTTAGTAGTTAAATCACTGTGTTTACAGAGCACTTGTCACACCTCCTGCATTTAACATGCTCAGCCTTCCTACATACTTTATGAAAAGAGAGATCTAATGTTAACACTTTATTGCACAGTCTGTTTAATTTTAGAATTGCATTTCCTTTCCTGCACGGTTATTGGCCTTCTAGACCTTGCAGGAGCCTCATGTGTGTAATTAAAGTTCGATTTACATGGCAGGGGATAAAAACCTCTAACGTAAGTTAACATTTGATAGAAAATGAAACCATTTGTTTTCATGCAGGCTGTGTCAGTACCAGATGAACTCACAAATGGCAGAGAATTAAGCAGAGAGACTTCAGAGCCATGACCTACACACTAAAACCGCGTCATTAAGCTAAAGCTATTTACATTTCAGTAAAATGCCACAGCGTGGTTTACAATTCTGAGCTCAGCAAATAAACCTGTGTGTTACGTTGTGAGACAGGCCCACCCGCTGTATGTACACGGGCCGGGTGCCCCTGTTCCCATGGCAACACACTTGTTCTGAACAGCCACTACGGTAGTTCCTGATTGTTCAAGGCATAACACGGAGGGAAGGCGCACCCCATCTGCAGTCCATTCAGGTAAGTATGAGTGCCGCCATCGGGTGGCTCATGCCTTGTCTAACCCCGGGCAGTAGCCATGTGGTTAATACAGCTATGGGAGGTTAATGCAAGGGTTAATGGCTGCCCTCCTGGCAAAGTTATAAATAGTATCACTATTCCTCTCTATGGCAATCTCTGACATGCTTTTTGAAACAGTAACAGTCTTGGGGGCCAGTCTCCATTAATGCCAGGAGAGTTGGCACCTCATTAATACCAGTACCCCTACCTCCCTCCCTGCATAAATACTGGAGTACTGGAGACCCCTGCTCAATTGTTTTAAATGTTAAACTCTTATCAGATTGATCAATATTGCTTCAGAGGAAAACTCTCGGAAAAAAAAACCTCTCTTTCAAATATTATGTTAGTCCAATAAAAAAGGTATCATTGCATACTGCAATACTCTGGTATTTTGGCATCTTGTCTACTGGACTAATACGGCTAATCCAATGTACACTATATATATATATATATATATATATATATATATAAATTATATCACCCCATTGATTTAGAAAGCAAGATCTAAACATTTTGGGTATATAAAATGGGAGCTAGGTACAATGTGTGTGTGTATTATATATATATATATATATATATATATATATATATATATATATATATATATATATATATATATACACACACACACACAAACACATTGTACCTGGCTCCCATTTTATATACCCAAAAAGTTTGGATCCAGCTTGCTTTAATTGTATGAAATTGGAGCAATAAATCCCTTTTACAGATATATTCAAATTAAATTGCATGCAATTAAAATTCACCATTTAGGCTACTAACATATAACTTAAAATGCTAGCAGTTTGCATATTAGTGTAAAGGTTTCCATATTTTCACACACCTTAAGAAATTTAAAACTACACTTACATTTGGGGAGGTTAGACATTTTGTGGTGCAAACACTAGAGAGAACAGGGTCAAATTGAAAATTACAACAGGAAGTGATGAGTGCAATAATAAATCCTTCCCCTGCTGATTTAGAGTATGTGTAACATGACTAAATAAAGCCTTTATGTCAGTAATCAAACCTAAGCGTTTATATTAAAAAAGAAAAAGATTAATACTCGCCCAAACAACCCTAGTGTGTGTAAAAAAAAAAAAAAAAAAGAGACAATTTATAGGGAAAAAAATAAAGTAGGTATAAATAAAATGGATGGTGCTGTAAAGAGATCTTATTATGATAATTTAAATAGTATTTGACATTTTAAAATGACAAAATGCTATTTTGTGAATGGTAGTATGGCTTTTCCCTCTTTGTCTTACACTACCCAAAAGTACTAAATACCTCCATGTCTACCTTTTACGGTCATTTACTCCATGTCTACCCTTTAGGGTTTTTCACTCAAATACGTGTTTCAGAATGAATTTCAAATTTTAGGCAAAAGACGAACTGAAAAGAACAATTTACACTTTTTATCGCCTTTTTGTCAAACTTTGTCAAGCCCACGGAGTTCATGGGATAAACACGTTGTCTATAGAGGCTCCTGCAGTTTCCTCTGTAGATTTCAGTGTTGCATTCTCGCGCATGCACGAGAGTACAGAACTGATGTAGGCTCCTATTAGATGAAGCACCAGAATCGAAACAGGATCACACAGAACAAGATGGCGGTGGCTGCGAGAGAAATGGTCAGGTAAGTAAAACTCGCCCTTCCCTGCATTCCACTGCTGCTGCACTGCAAGCAAGCAGCAAAGTCGCCATCGGGGGTCTCTGCAAAATATGAAGGTCACCAAAAGGTGACAAAGCTGATTAAACTGGTAAAAAAAAAATTTACTTACCGCCATTGCAAGACATTGCCACCCATTATTAGGTTTATTCATACACACTGGGCACTCTTACCTCAAGGGATTAAAATGTTTTCGGAACGGTTTAACCACCAAGTTGCCTCTAGCGGCTATGTCCACTCCTCCCTTGGCGGCACCCAGCTTCTGAATTTTCAGCTTCAGGAAATGCGGCATGCCGCTGGACAGGGGCGCCGCTGACTGGCTGAGAGCGTTCAGCTGACGCTCTCAGCCAATCAGTGACTCTACATTCACTAAACTGGCTTTAGAAAGAAACGTACCTTTTCCAAGCTAGTTTAGTGAATAGGGAATCGCTGATTGGCAGAGAGCATCAGCTGATCGCTCTCAGACAATCAGCGGCGCCCCTGCCCAGCGGCACTCAGCACTTCCTGAATCTGAAAATTCAGAAACCGGATGCCAAAAGGTGAAGACTGGACATCGCCGCTGGAGGCAACTTTGGGGTTAAAACATTCAAGAATTTAAATGAAGTTGCTATGGTGCCTTGAGTGTCCCTTTAAAGGGAAATAGATTCTCTGGAGCATATTTAGTAGTTCCCTTAAAAAAAAAAATTACCAAAGCGTGACAAATTGCAAATTATATTTATGTCTCCATGGCACTCTAGTGCAAATAAATAGTTTCAATTAACCCTAATTTCTTTGTGTTTGCATGGTGGGACTCATGTCTGCCAAAAATACAAACACTTATATACTAAGGCAACTTAACTACAGTATCATAGGAAGCATTATTTTAATTAAATGTGCTTTTTATGCCCTCACAGAAGTCACCTGGGATGCCACAGATACCAATTTTAGTAGCTGAAACTTATGGAGAACATAGAATATTATTCTCAAATATAAGAGAAGCGATGTTCATTAGCCAGGAAGACATTACATTTATTTTAAATTTTTAAATGATATAAACCCCTAAATATAGAGATATCTGAAAGGCAGAGAGAGGCAGTTTCTAGACACACAGCCTACCTAAAGCATCATGGGAACTGTAGTTTCCCATCCCCCCTGCTAAAGCTTGCCCTCACAGACTACTTTTAACACTGAGATAATAGGTCAGTAATCTCCAATGACAATGCTTTTCTGTCTAATTACACATTTGGCATGGGGGAAGGGGGAGTGGGGGCTATTCAATAAAACTGTGTTTTTTGTTTTTTTTTAGTTAACTGATCAATTGTAGTGAACTAATAAACTTAGTGAGCTGATCAAATTTAGGTTAAAATAGGCAAGTTTTTATTATAGCTGAGTCAGAGATTATTTTTCCCCTGATCAGCTGCTTTTTGGTAAAGTTTGGAATGTGACTAATTCAGTTCTGTTTAGTGAATAGAACCCATACCTCCTCCCCCCCCCCCGCCCCCCATGCCCCATTAGCCATTGCCTGCAGGCAGGTGTGAGCATTCCAGGCAGGGCCAGCAGCACTCCCATTAACCCCTCTCTCCCTGGAAGATCAATACATGCTGCTGGTGTGCTCAGGCTTCCTGCTGTGCCTGGCAGTGAAAGGGTTAGCAGGGGCAGATGCTGCAATAAGAGTGGGGGGAGTAGTTAGCCCTGTTTTCATTTCCTCTATCCACACACACACACATACAGAAGGCCAGCATTTTGCAGAGAGTCTGGTATGATTCAAGCAGGTATACTTTATTTTGGCTTTTTGTGAAATGTGCTTCTCTTGAGTAATCTCTATTGAAGGCTTTAGAAGAACATGTGTATGAGCCAAAGAAATGTTTGTAAACTTATTTATTTTTGCTAAATAACCCCCACCCTACCCCCATCCTATCCTCTGTTATCAGAGGTGGGATAGTGTGTGTTCTTGTAATAGGGGTAGTTTAGTGATTTAGATCACTGTTAGTATTGGTGAGGAAAAGTGTGTGTGTGTGTGTGTGTTTGTTTGTTGTGGTGGGTTTTTGTTTTTTTCACAATTTCCTCAACCCACCCTACATTTGGTAGATTACTATGTGGTCCTGGACACACATGTCACCATGATGCAGGGATCATGGTGGTTTATTATAGTAAGGCTCAGAGCACTATAACCATTACTATCAGCTGTAGTTGTTATGGTGCCAGGGATGTCTTGACTCTTTCCCATGTTAGTCAACGATCTAAGAACGTTTTGACTAGTTTGGTCTGCCAGAGGAGCTTCATTTGGCTCCACTGAGCTAAGTCCTTCCAGCTTTCGCCTGCCGAGGAGGTGATGATGGTATGAGCCCTATGGTCAACAGGTAACCACAGTAACTACTACAGTAGGTTATGGTGAAGTGATAAATTGATGCTTGTGGTGCAGTTTTGGTTTTCTGTACACAGAGATGATTTACAAACTGTATTTATGGCTCTATAACCGGTAGATGAATATGTTGGTGTTTACCTATGCCAGCTCACCCTAAAGTGTAAGGTTGGGAACAGGCAAATAAAAATTAATAGCTGCTATCCCTTCAGTTTTCCTTGATTCACTTTGTCATTCCAAGCCTTTCCAACCCCCCCTCCCTCCTGCACAGCAGGAGTCACACTCATTGTATGTGTGCATAGATTAAATTCCCACACCCACCCAGTTTTTGTTTGTTTTGGGGGTTTATACATGATGTCTTAAAACTCCCTCTTTTGCAATCCTCCAGCCAGTAATTGTTTTTAGTAGTATTTTTAGTGTAATGTTGTAAATTTAAATTATAGAATGGCTGTAAATTTACTAAACCCAGCTTGTGCTTTAATCTGATTCATGCATTGCACTGTCGTCTCCAGGCATTAGCTACCGTAACGTGTGGGGTGACCACAATCGGTTGCCGGAACAGTGTGATGTGCCTTGGGTAATGTCTGAAACAATCACAGAAGTGGAACCAGAACTTGGAGAACCGCCAAAGATAGAGGATGGCGAGGTGGATGACCCAGTAAGACCAATACTAAGCAATTTCCCATTTATTATCCTGGTGCCAAAGTGTTTTTGGTTTGTTTGGGTTTTTTTTTTTTCCACCAGCTTTGTGCCCGTTTGGCCCTCCTATCCCTGGCTGGAGTATCATCTCTATCCATGGCATGGGCATTTGCAAATACCAGACCCTAGACCAGGCTTATGCAACCTTTGGCACTCCAGATGTTTGGACTACATCTCCCACAATGCTTTGCCAGCATTATGGGGATGTAGTCCACAACATCTGGAGTGCCGAAGGTTGCCTATCCCTGCTCTAGACTATTGGTGCATAAAAACTCCCAGGATCCTTAGCTATGTGCTAAAACCTGGCTAATGATGGTTCATAGAAATCTTCAATGGCTAATGGCTGGAGTTTAAGTATTTTGAGTTCCCCCTTTCTTTCACACCTTCACACTATTCTATGCTAATCATTCCATAAACCTCTTTAGAGTGTTTCTATTTTTCATTCTCCAATGCCATATATGACAAATACCCATAGAAGTATCTATTCCCCCCTTTAAAGTCTGGTGGCTGGACTGGCACGTGATGCATGGCATTAGGCAAGTGCTACAGATGCTGTAGCCAGGCTCTCTATTAGCCTTTTTAGGGTCACTGAGCCATCCTTTTCTCTTTGCAGGAGCTGAAGGCCATTAAGATGAGAGTACGAGAAATGGAGGAGGAGACCGAGCGTCTTAAGGGACTCTCTGTAAAGGAGAAGTCTGTGTCAGCTAGCCCCCGGACTGGTACGATTCTTATCATTGACTGCCAGATTGATGTGTTTTTATATTTACATTTTCTGTGAAGATCACTTTAATATTATAAAGATTTGTGGTTTGTTAAAATTGTGATGTTGCTACTAGGCAAAAAAGCCACTTCTTACAAAAAGACCCTACATATGCACTGCAATAACTTTGAGAAACAACTCCCCATTATACAGTTTGCTTATTGGTCTGTAGATTTCCACATGTCTTTTTCTTAATATCCTTCCCCAAATACTGTGCGGTGATCATGAGATCCTTCAGCAAGATAATTCATCCTTATCAGAATCATATCTTGCACATCCTTTAAAATTCTCTTATCTCTGTAGCTCTGCCTCTTGTTTCACCAGGCATACCCCCTATACCTTTGAGTGCGGAAGAGAAGAAGGAGGCTGACCAACGATCTGTCTATGTCGGGAATGTAAGTTGTTTTTGATGGTGGGGTATTCACCAGTTCAATTATTTCAGTCTTGTTGAAGAACTAGGATATATACATACTAAACCATCCTTGTTCTTTTCTACAGGTTGACTATGGAAGTACTGCCAAAGATTTGGAGTCCCATTTTAGTAGCTGTGGCTCAATTAACAGAATCACTATTCTGTGCGACAAATTCTCCGGACACCCCAAAGGGTAACGTAATAAAAGGCTGAGATGTTTGTAGCAGACTCTATCGTTGGTCAGGATACACTCTGTGGACCTGGCAGCAGTTAATGCATCTAAGCTTTTCCTGTATTGTGCTAAATATTCCCTTAGAGACCCTTTCTTTAAAAAAAAAAAAAAAACATATTAAAGTAATCCCTTCCCATCTCTATGCTCGTTAATGAGTTTCACATTTAAGAGATCCATGATTGTCACATCTATATACCAGGATAATCTGTCTTAAAGGTATAGCTTACATTGAGCTACACTCACCCCGATTTCCTATGTATTTAGTCAAAGCTTGCTTTCCTGTATACTCAGGCAAGGCATCCTGGCCTTCATCTCCTTAATAAATTACACAAGAATTCAAGAATAACAAATGATTATCCCATCATGTGTATCTCACTCTGCACAGAATTTTTTTTATTTTTTTAATTTTTTTTTAAATTGCCAATTATTTCACTCTATGGAACTTTAGGGCCAGAGCACATTACTACTTTACTGGAAACCAAACCTGCACTTGTACAACTTCTAGTAGTCTAAAAATTTTTTACAAAAATTCCCCCAACCTTTGATTTGCATTTGTTTACATTAAAGTAAAATTGTATATTGATCACATGTTACAATGCTAAATCTCTTATCTGTAAGACCTTCTCAAGTCATTGCCATGAATGTTCCTTCACATTGAATCATTCCTTCAATGTACAATCAATGCTCTATTCCTGACAGTCTTTGTCAGCAAGATATACATGTATTTATCTTCCCGCTCCCCCCCACCCCACTACTAATCAAGTGGGGTTTCCAGACCCATTATGGTTTGTCTTGATGGGCAGTAACTAAAAAATATTTCCATGTTAAACATGTTTGTGGAAAGCAATCTGTCCAGGAACAATAAAATGGACACTATAGGCACCAATGCGACCTTAAATTACCTTTTGGTTTATAAATCATGCCACGTTGTAGGAGTTACATCACTTAGACTGTGCAGTGCTAGCCACACCTCTCTGCTTGTGACTTGCGCAGCCTTCCTAAACACTTCCTAAAGAGAGATCTAATGTTTACACTTGTGACTTGTGTAGCCTCTCATTTATAATTTTTCTCCTGCTCTAATAGCCTTCAAGCACCTACAGGAATCTCCATTGTGTAATTAAATTTCAATTACAGAGCAGGAGATGATTTAAAAACAAACACTTAAGGTAAGTTGAGATTTGATTGAAAATTAAACCATTTTTCTTCATGCAGACTGTCGGTCACAGCCAAGGGGGTGTGGCTAGGGCTGCATGGACAGAAACAATTGATTTAACTCCTAAATGGCAGAGTTAAGCAGTGAGACTGCAGAGGCATGATCTATCTAAACTTCTTCATTAAGCTAAAGCGGTTTTGGTGACTAGTGTCCCTTTAATTGGTTCTGCTCTTTCAACATATGGACTTTAAAAACTGCAGGGCATCACACTTCACTTGCTGCTCATTGCATGAATTTGTATCCAGGAAAACATGGTAGATCTTACAACCCTGTTCTGATTTGGGGCATTTTAATAGCAAAAATAAATCTCAGAATCTGAAACAACTGAAGATTCTTAAAGTGCACAACCGAATGTGACAATCTAGAACAGGGGTCCTCAAACTCTGCCCCCCCGCCAGATGTTGCCGAACTAAAACTCCCATGATTCTCTGGCTATCTATGTAATTCAAACAATCATGGGAGTTGTAGTTCAGCAACATCTGGGGGGCCAGAGTTTGAGGACCCCTGATCTAGAATTTATACCAGATCTCCCCTCTGAGCACCTACAATGTACTCTTTACACAAGGCTGACCTTTTGTCCCTTATGATTTTTACATGGGCCAGGTTGATGAATCCCATTTCCCTCTCCACATTCTGGTATGGAGAAAATTCTTCCCCCACTCATTTCAGACTTAAAGCTACAGATCTACTCTGAGCTATTAATTGTATATGCACTATGCCTTCTGTTTTCCAGCTATGCCTATGTTGAGTTTGCTTCGAAAAGCTCTGCCGAAGCGGCTATAGCATTGGATGAGACGGTGTTCCGTGAAAGAACGATCAAGGTGAGTTGTGAGGTTCAAGAGTGAACTGGAAACAATTTAAACAATATCTTAATTTTGGTCAGCAATTGGGTAATAATGACACCAAACCAGAGGTTGCTTATTCCAAACTGCAGTGCAATTTATAATTTTATTAGCATTCACCCAGCGATGCAATAATGGCATGCAGTGTTTCAAATTGAACTGCTGCACATAGACTCCAGGCACCGTGACCACTTCACATTACTGGGGGTTGGAGTAACCCTTTAACGAAATATTCCAAAGGCTTTAAGCACTTCAACTAGCGGAAGTAGTTGGCAGTGTCCCCTTATTCTTGCTTTATAAATACTAAAAATAGAAACTCAGATTTTTATGAAGCATCTGGGTTGCAGCCTACCAGTTTTGTAAAAATTTAGGGGGCGGCCTTACTTGCGCACCTTGAATGTTTAGTTGAGGTCGAACTGAAAGTTCCTCTGAGAAACGCAGCTAGCGAATCACAAAACTGCCTTCCAACACTTGTGCGGAAAGCACTGGATTGGTCCGTGATCTCCCAGAAACTGAGGAGCTATGCAATGGAATGTTCTCATCGCTGGATTTGTTTTTGTGTATATTCAATCATTTTATATCCTGTGTAATGTAGGTACTGGCAAAAAGAACAAACCTGCCTGGGATCAGCAGCACGGACAGAGGAGGATTCAGAGGCAGACCCCGGGGTCAGAGAGGAAATTGCCAAAGAGGACAGCGAGGCCGAGGCAGACCCTATAGGTTAGTATGACCAGATGGGTGCTACATGAACTGTTTTGTGCTATAGAGATGAGTTTGTAAACTTCTGCTTTTGGCATTAATCTGCTTACAGCTGCATGCTGCGTTTATCCCTTTCTAACAACCTCTCCTCCCCATCCCTGCAGGATAGAGGCTCTGCTTGCATCTAGTCCTTTTTCACTATAAAGCTTCTTTAATACTAACACATCTGATGGAAATATCACTGATCACAAATGGTGTTCCAGAGTTCAAAACTTTATTAACTGCGATGTCTGTTATAGCTCACCTACCAATGTCAGGGCAAACCACGTAAACGGGAAGCACATGGCAGTGGTTGACAGTGATCTAACAGATGTTCAGGTAACTATTGGTTAGGGTTATACACTTGGGCTACTGAATACTCTACCTACAACCACCCCCTGAGAGTATTGGGAGTTAGAGTACTAAATTCTATGGGATAACTGAAGATATATACCAACCTGCCTAAAACTAACTTGCTCTAGGTTTTAACTATCAAATCGAGGTTTCTATGAACAAATCTCCCAAGGTAACGATTAAATTCACCGCGCAGTATCCTAGTCAGAAATGTTTTGTTATTCTTCCAGTGTTTGATTTTATTCTGTTTCCCAGTAGATCGTGGAAGGAGAGACCAATTGAATAACATAATGGCACCAACCACCATCGAGGAGGGTGTCTAACAAATGCACTACATGGATCTGGAGTACTTAAGTCTTATCGGGCACTGAGGGGGTGATGTCTTTTTGGCTCTTCAGCACAAGAGGGAACATCCTTTCAGGTCATCTGCCATGAAGTGATTCCTTTAATTCTAGAAGAGTTAATTAAAAAGAAGAAAAACTGTAAATAGCACAGGGCATTGTAATGAACTCCTATTTAATGTTGGCGTGAGTTTATGTTTGTTACATAATAAACCAATTTGTTGCCTTCAGGAATAGACTGTTGCGATGTCTAAGTTTTACAATAGTCCTTAAAGGGACTCTTCAGCAAGCTGAACTGTTTTAGACGTCTGATGTGCGCTATGTGTGAAGTGTCTAGAGCTTGCCTCCCCCATTTAACAAAGTGCAAATATCCATAGAAAATGGCACTTTTACAAGTCTTGTTACAAACTCTTCGCTTTTCCAAACTGTCTTTTTTAGATAGACTCCCAATTAAAAAGGCATAATTAAATGCATTTTTATTTATTTTTATTCTGAATATATCCACTAAATAGTGTCCCCTTTTACAATTAAACTGTCTAGATCCAACAGAGACCATACAGCAGTCATACCAGAAGTTATTTTTCACAGTTTGGAACTTCAATCTATTTCTGTAAAGATAATCTTCCACCATCACACCTGCCTGTTGCTAAACTTGAAGCTCTTCTCTAAACACTGGCTCCTGTTCTGCTTTCTCAATCATGATCACATCACCGAGTGGAAGAACAGTGTTTTCAGGGGTGTGTGTGTATGTATAATTTTTGCCCTAAATTCTTTTGGGTTTTCAGTTCAGACCATGTTTGGGGGGGAAAAAAAAACATGGTTAAGGCTGCTATCGGAGAATTTTTTTTTATGGGGGAGCAAAGAACTGACTAGTCTGACTTGGAAAATCTCTATTTTGGATGTATGTTTCAAACTCTAACCCCCACCCACCATCCCATGCTCTTTCACATCAAGCATGCCCTTTTCTCTTTTAGAATCTGTTCTTTTCTGATCTAGTTGTCTTTAAAACAAAAGACTAAGTAGGGGCTACTTTCTTGATGTATTTTCCAACATTTGACAAAGAGTGGAGCTTAAGACACATTCTATCTGTTGCCTTGATAAGCTTGTCTTAAGATCCACCCTTTGTCAAGAGAAGGAAAATGCATAAGACAGTGGTAGCCCCTACTGTATCAGGAAAAATATTCTGAAAGGGGGAAATAGGAGAAACAGAAGTTTGAGGTGAATTAGAAAATTAGTTATATTGCATGAACATGGGTCCGTCCGGCCTTTATGCCAGCCGCGATACCTCCTATGAACGGCTTTACACATCTGCAAATGCCACTCACTCTTTGCATGGGACGTAAGACACAGCTACTGGGTTGATTTTTCAATTTTTATTTTTTTATTTTTTTGTGTAGATCCGTAGACATGCGGTATCATAAGCAGTCATTGCATTATGTACAAGTGTGCACAGCGTAAAATACAATAACTGCAACGTGTTACCAAAATATACCACAGATCAAGTTTTTTTTTTTTTTTTAAATGAAACAAAACTGAAGGAGCATTAACGCAGAGGGACATGCATCCCCTAGATCAGGGACTAATTTAAGTAGGAGATGCTGGCTCTGTCAGTATAGGGTGGAGCCTTCCTTACTATAGGAAAATAATAAAACTTACGAAAACAGAAATGCTAACTTTAAATAGAATAGCAAAGTGAGTGAGGGGTACATTTACGCCTCTTGGATCTGACTAGTGATCCTTAAAGGACCACTCTAGGCACCCAGACCACTTCAGCTTAATGAAGTGGTCTGGGTGCCAGGTCCAGCTAGGCTTAACCCATTTTTTAATAAACATAGCAGTTTCAGAGAAACTGCTATGTTTATTAATGGGTTAAGCCTTCCCCCAAAGCCTCTAGTGGATGTCTCATTGACAGCCACTAGAGGCGCTTGCGTGCTTCTCACTGTGATTTTCACAGTGAGAGCACGCCAGCGTCCGACGGGGCGGAACGGAGGAGAGCTCTCCGTCCAGCGCTGGAAAAAGGAAAGTTTAAACCCCTTTCCAGAGCCGGGCGGGAGGGGGTCCCTGAGGGTGGGGGCACCGTCAGGGCACTATTGTGCCAGGAAAACGAGTTTTCCTGGCACTATAGTAGTCCTTTAAGTGACTGAAATGCCCTGAGGTGGAGGGGGCAGGGGGATAAATTGTATGAATACCAATCGGTCAGTAGGGAAATTAAGCAATTGGGCCACTTCACATTTAAAGGACCACTATAGTACCCTGAGGGTGCCCCCACCCTCAGGCTCCCCCTCTCGCCCGGCTCTGGAGAGTGGAAAGGGTTTTCAAAGCCGGGCGGGAAGCCCTCCTCCGCCTCCTCTTCTTCGGCTGAAGGTTAATCCTAGAGGGACCTGGCACCCAGACCACTTCATTAAGCTGAAGTGGTCTGGGTGCCTAGAGTGGTCCTTTAACTAAACTGGCTAACAACAAATAAGTGATACAAAGTAAGTACATTTTGGGACCTACGAAACCCTACATACATGAATACTGTTGTCTATAGGTTCAAGAGATGACTGCAGTGTAATGATCCAGTGTGGACTGCTGTGGGATGAAAGCGGTGATCTGTGCCCTGTAGGTCTTAAATGGAATGTGTAGTGTCTCTGTATTGAATGAGTGTACAGGATAGACCCATTGGTTAGGAGAGTTCCTTCTTAGAGTGGCCAAGACCGCTGCCTTGACTGGTCCTGACTGTAAGTGGACCACCAGGTCTCTTGGAGCAGTAGCTGGTTTTGTGGAAACTTAAGAGCCCGTCTAATGTTATTGCCTTGGTGTGCCACGGTGGCTGTAATGCCACCAGCAAACACTTCAGAAAACGTGGTAGAATGTCCTCTGAGACTCTTCCCCCTTAAATTGTTGAGACACCATCACTGGAGAGTAAACTGGACCTGTCTGGTTCGATTATGGCTTTGTCGATACAGGTAGTCTCTCCTCTACTGCTTTATAGGATCGTTCATCTGAGAAGTCTGAGCAGCCTCCACAGAGAGAGGCCATCTTGGGCCCAGCTGTGCCATCTGCCTGCCTCCTACGTCTCCAATTGTCAGCCTCGTACCTCGCTGTTCTGTATTGATTAACGCTCCATGATGGTTGGGCTATCTAGAGGGGGACCCCTAGTGCCTGGTTTGAGCATGTAGTAGGGCTCAAAACCCTAGATTAAACAGCCAATGCTGTAGCACCAGAAACCTGTGAGTGTTCGCTTCTGCAGTTTAGCTCTGCCTTCTCATCGCTAATGTTTTATATACTCTGTTTTTGATGTTTGTGTGCAAATTCCTTGTTGAATATTCTCTAACAAAAAAATAACAGGATAGAATCTGCTGAAGATACTAAACAAAATCCAAGATCAGGGAGGGGTGCAGATGAGGAAAATAATGGATTCATCAGTATGGATGTGGACAAAATGAGAACTAGACATCGCTTTAAATCTCATTTTATGAATAATATATATTTTGACAATCTTTACTTTTTTCCAATAACATACAGAGTTCAACTACTGGAACTAAATTCTTTCCATGATCAAGGAGATAATGTAGATGGATCTTGGGGAGATAGAGAGAAAGGAGGAGAAAAAAAAAAAAGAATGGAGTAAGGCAAAAATGGTTTAGTTGGATCCTAAACTAGGTACCTTCCCACCTAAAACCCTTGTAAACGATGTACAGAAAAAAATGACAAACACCCTTTGTCAGGCAGTAGATTCGGGCAAATCCAGCAACTACCTGTACCTCACCCACCAACCATTTTCTGGGGCTGTGGTAGGTAAATGCCAGTTATCAATGCTGCGTTCAATTAAGTTTCCCATCACCATCCCACCTCACCCTTTGCCAAACTGAGCCTGTATGATTCGCCGTGGGCCGTAAAAAAAGCCACTCCTTCCCCCATCAAAGTTGTTGGTACCTGGGACCTCGGAACCCAACCTCCGCCATCTTCACCTAGTTCCCAGTATCTCAGAGTGCACAATGGCATATATGGTATGGCCATCTTGTCATGTAAGTACCCTGCTTGTGTACAGCTCATTTGGTCTTTGCCCACCACCTCAATTGTGTAATGTAGGGTCTGCCCTGAAGTGCTGACTGTCCTTTGGCAGCATTGTGCCTGTGATTACCTAACACTAAAGGACACACTATGGGTTAAGCCACCGCCATTGGGTCCCCCCCCTCGTGTTAGATGTGTGTGACACTTGACAATTAATGGTCCTCAGAACCGTCCCCTTATCATGGATGCATAGCAGGGTGTACCCACCCTGGCCCCCGCCATATTCTCCAGCTGAAACACCCAAGCCTATTGCAATGTACATCCTGTTAGTGTCCTCAAGCCTGACCTGTGGTCAAGATCCATTAGCATCCCCCCCCAGCCATGTAACCATCCGATGAGGGTCCCTCATCGACACCTGCCCAGGACAAGTGAAAAGTAGGTCACTATTCCACAGGTGTGCGTGTAGACCCTTGCACACAACCAGAATAAGCTGCTGTCACCATCCTGCAGTGGACTGTGCCATGGCAGCAGAAACCAGTCTACCCATTTCCCTATTACAATGTTAGCCATGGAGTAAAGCTCACAGCAGCAATACAAGTTTAGATCGTGAGCCTAAATGGTTCCTAGCCATATCTCCTATACATGCATGGTCGTTTAGCTATTTAGCATACAATATGGGGATGAAGAAAGGAAAAAAAAACAGAGTGATCTTCTTGGTGTGTGTGGATTGGGTCACACACAGTGGTGAACAAAAAACAACCCCAAAACAAAACCCTTTTGCAGTGGATTTGGATCCAGTTCAGCACGACAAAAACGTGCCATTCATACACCCGGCTGGGCTGTCAAAATGTAGAACTAGGTGATGAGTAATAATTTAGTGTCCCACTGTAGAGACATCCACAATCTGTGTTTTGTCCACACAATTTATTTACAGGTTCCATTCTGTCCCCAACGTGTTTCTCATAGCCATACATAAATAATAAAAACATGGAGGGTCCTCAGATCAGGCTTAGCACACTGGCATCATCATGGACGTAACTGCATTATCGAAGGCCCTGGATTACAGAAAAAGACGAAGAAAGTAACTTAGAGAAGCAAAGAAATATCAGAACACAAGATGAGCAGTATACGGGAGTTTAAAACCAGGGAATGAGTACCAATCAATGATTTAGTGGATTCTATAAAGTATATGGAATGGCCTTAATTAATAACTGCCCCATACAATTTGAGCATGAGTAATGCTGGTACCGGTCAGACTCTACTGCTCTCTGACCAACCTAACTTGCCTGTTGCTGTGATTGTTCCATCTCCAACAGCAGACAAGTTAGATTGAGCATCAGTTGGTCCGATAACAGCAGAGTCTGACCGCACATGGCTGCTCAGCCATATAGAGAGGAGACGAGACAAGTTGTTCAAATGCTCACCTTGACTGGATGGGGTCTCCTGGGTTGTAAAACGGATTACACATTACATCTGTGTAGGAATTATGGAGTTTGCGGAACATCTGAAAAAAAAATCACGTGGAAGACTTTATACCAAATATAGGTTATCTAAGGCCTAAAGAGTTACTGAAAGCCTGTCGAAATACAGTTGCTACCTGGCCAGTTGTGCCACGTCACAGAAACATTATTTAGGTTGTTACACCTAAAAATACTTAGGAATAGGCTTATTTCTGCCATTAGAGATAGTTCTTCACTATATAAAATGTATTTACAGAAACCATTTATTTTCAAGATTCTAACTTCAGCTCAATGTAAAGGTTACGTAGCCTAGAGTCTCTGGGCTCTGTCCCCTGATTATGTCAAGCCATGTGAAAAACGGGGATTTCAAGGACACCACACCTGAATAACATCCACCTCCTCAGCTGCAGCTAGGTAAAAAACAATATTTTTTTTTTATAATACAGACATTTTAAGGGGTTATTCCAAGCACCATAATCACTTCCACTTACTGCAATCGTTATGATGAGAGGCGTACCCTAGTCCATTTCCTCTTAACTTGTTCTTGCCCTGTGCTGGTCCTGCTGTAGGGTGCCGTTTTCGCCAGCCATTCATTGGCTGAGAGAATCAGCTGATAGCACTCAGCCAATGGATGCACAGAATAGACATAAGCCAGCCCATGCACTAACGGAGTGCAGGAGTGACATCACTGGCAGTCTCAGTACGTGTAGCGTTTCATTGTGGAATGCTGCACATGAAGACTTGAATAACCATGACCACTTCAAATAACCCTCTAATTTTCCTCTTATTCTTACCTTGTACAAACAAGATTTTTTTTTCACTAAAGTGAGAATTGTCTGGAATTCGAATTCCCTTTAAATCCCTGACAATTCATAGTTAAATGAACCACTCATAGGATTGCATTACGGTTTTGATAGTTAACAGATTGAACCCACTGCCAGGGGTTCATGAAGCCAGTCTAGTAAAAGGTTTCTTACTTACACTACGGATCTCATTGTCTCTCAGACCAGTGTTTGAGGAATCAACAACCATGACAAATTTGACCTTTGAGTTGGTAACATATCCATATCTGAAAGAGAGTTAAGGAGTATGCGTCTCACAGAAAGGGATATGAGATATACAAACAGGCAATCTAAATATTCACACAGTTCTAAACAGACGCAAGCAGGTCTCACTGTGCTTAGAGGGGTAATAACTGCATCACATGGATGGAGCCTCGAAAGGGCTGAATGTTGCTGTATCTCTTGTACAGACGGGATCTGCCTGGCATTTCATTTCTGGAAAAAGTCTGTTGTACAAACTATATAAATTCCATTTGTAATGGCAGATGAGGGCTAAACGCTGCCAAAACTCTGAGTAGGGACTAAGTAAAGGGCAAGCTATTTGAGCTTTTATTTGTTGTTAGTGTTCTTTGCCTTTAAGGTTTACTCCAAGCACCATACCCAATTCAGTGGTTTTAAGTGGTCATGGATTCTGGGGTCTGTATGTGCAGTGTTTCGCTGTGAAATGTTGCACATACAGAGTTTAGCCTTCTGCTGCTTGAGGTGTAGCTCCACTACCTGCAGCATTACTAGAATATCGTTAGCCAGCCCAGAACTAGACTGTCATTAGACCTGCCCAGAACTAGACTGTCATTAGACCAGCCCAGAACTAGACTGTCATTAAACCTGCCCAGAACTAGTGTCATTAGACCTGCCCAGAACTAGAGTGTCATTAGACCAGCCCAGAACTAGAGTGTCATTAGACCAGCCCAGAACTAGAGTGTCATTAGACCAGCCCAGTACTAGACTATCATTAGACCAGCCCACAACTAGAGTGTCATTAGACCAGCCCACAACTAGAGTGTCATTAGACCAGCCCACAACTAGAGTGTCATTAGACCAGCCCACAACTAGAGTATCATTAGCCAGCCCACAACTAGGGTATCATTAGCCAGCCCACAACTAGGGTATCATTAGCCAGCCCACAACTAGGGTATCATTAGCCAGCCCACAACTAGGGTATCATTAGCCAGGCCACAACTAGGGTATCATTAGCAAGGCCACAACTAGAGTATCATTAGCCAGCCCACAACTAGAGTATCATTAGCCAGCCAAGAACTAGAGTATCATTAGCCAGCCAAGAACTAGAGTATCATTAGACCAGCTCACAACTAGACTATCATTAGATCAGCCCACAACTAGAGTATCATTAGATCAGCCCACAACTAGAGTGTCATTAGACCAGCCCACAACTAGAGTGTCATTAGACCAGCCCACAACTAGAGTGTCATTAGACCAGCCCACAACTAGGGTATCATTAGCCAGCCCACAACTAGGGTATCATTAGCCAGCCCACAACTAGGGTATCATTAGCCAGCCCACAACTAGGGTATCATTAGCCAGGCCACAACTAGAGTATCATTAGCAAGGCCACAACTAGAGTATCATTAGCCAGCCCACAACTAGAGTATCATTAGCCAGCCAAGAACTAAAGTATCATTAGATCAGCCCAGAACTAGAGTATCATTAGACCAGCTCACAACTAGAGTATCATTAGATCATCCCAAAATTAGAGTACCAATAGCAAGCCCAGGCTTAGAGTATCATTAGCCATCCCAGAAGTAGCATTCTAGTTTAGACTGGATCGGCTTCTTTAGCTCTGCAAAACCCAGAAGTCCATCAGCCGACAAGCAAGGAGCGTCACAGCACGGCAGTGACCCAGGTAAAAAGGCAAACTGTTACTAAATGATTTGCCCCATTACTGTGGAACCAGGCCAGGGTTCTTATCTGCATCATAACCACTACAGCAGGCTGTAATGGTTATGATGCTTTGAGTAACCATTTAATTGCAAGACAAACACAGGCAAACTCAATAAGGATACACCTTGTAGTCTTCTGTTGGGTAAAGGAGTCCCAGGTACAGTTCCCTCTGGTCCACCAGTGCCTTCCCCATGGCTGAAATTTTTTCATCCACCACGTCCAAGGAGGTATGTACAGTGTAATGGAATTTTAACTCATTTTCGGTAGGAATACTTCGTATGTATAGTGGATAATTCTAAATCAAGCGAGGAGGGTACAGGAAACAAAAATGTTAAAGTTTACATAAGAAAATCTTAAAATAAGTGAATACATACTGCTTCTCAACTGATTTACTATGATGGTGCTTTAGGGTAGATTGTCTGTACATTAGGTGTACATACCATTGGTGTGTGTATTCATTTTAGGTTGGGATACATCAAAGATAGATTACAGGGCAAACAGATCAGGAGTAAACCAAAATGTATTTTCAGCAACACCTCCGTGTCAGTATATTCCTCAATCCCAACCATCATAATTATTATTTATTCTGCATTTATTTTACAGGTTTGCAAAACTGAGATCTTGCATATAGGCTTTAATCCAATGTAATCCTAAAATGGGTGCCAATTATAATTTCAGTACTGAGATATAGAATAGAAATCAAATTTGAAAAGGTATATTCTTCTACATGGACTCGAAATTTATAGGAATTGACTAATAAAAAATTGACCATTTTTTTAATGTATTATAAAGATAAGGCATTAAATACTGCCCCCCCAAAAATAAAAAAAATTCACTCATCTTTTAACAGTTCCCACCGTAGCTTAGTGGATCTGCTGGAGCATCTCATTCAGTAGTACGGGAACAGATCTTGTCTGCTCTGGGTGTTCCCCCAAAGAGCAGTTCCAGTCGTTACATAGAATGATTGGAACTGCTCAATAAATTGATGACAGCCATAATGCCATAATGTGGTTGCAATCAATTTATACACAGCCCTGATCACTATTATGTGAACTTGATTATGTTTTACTATTGGAAAGCTGCAGATTGGGCAAGCTAGCTCTCTATTGTTTGTCCAGTATGCAGTCACTGCAAGCACTATAAGAATACATTTGACATTGGCAACCTGGGATTAACATGGCAGCATGTAGCTTATGCTACAAAGCACTCTGAAATAGCAGAGTGAGCGCAGAGTTCTCTAAAGTATTTTGACCTTTACAGTAATGGAAAGTGCTTAGTTTCAACTTTTAAATCATTGCTCTGCAACTCATGTGCCGCAGCGCTATGCTAGGCGTGCCGCCGCATGGTTGCTGAGAGCAGTGTCAGATGTGTCACCATCACGCAAGAAGGTAAAACGGTTAGATCTAGCACTAGGGACACACAGTATTCTGAATGCATTTACAAATCAGGAAAATAGATCAGAGCGTTATTCCCAGAAGAGGAGCTATGAGATAGATATATATATATATACACACACACATACACACTCGTGCGGTGGCCCAAAAGTAGGTACACACTATAGTTGTTTTTAATATATGTCTTACATCAATGTTGCATTCAACCATTCTTTCCAACTGTCACACTGTTGGGGGGAGGGGGGGTGTATATATAATCTGACAAATTTAATAGATTCAACTGTATCTCTACTTTTGGGGGGTGGGTGTCTGGTCTTGTAATTGCCTCGGTGCCGACTCCAGCCACAATATAACTGATAAAAGTCCAAGGGGACTGAAACTTCAACTTGAATATGAGCTAAATAAATGCATCAGTTATTTATTTCACTAGAACTCTGAGTGCACTCTTTTTGGTGGATGTGTTTAATTCATTTATTTTGAATTTGCTTGTGGAGTGCCATGGAAAGAGAGTTGTTGTGCCAAAAAAGGTTGATGAGCACTGCTTGAAATGACACAGAAAACAAAACCAGATTTTCTAAGCATAAAATGTACACACATACCCCCTATTATTAACTAAACCTGGAATTGTAATTAATTAGTTTACTGAATTCTGAATGGTGGAATTCAGACCAAGCTGCAGTTGATTAGGAGAGTCCTTCTAAAAATCCCCTGGTGTTATCTGAATATTGCCATTCACACTGCCAGTGTCTCAGCCTCCTCTCAGCCATGTGACCAGATCAGCTACTCTGGCCTAGATAGTAAACTCACATTGAGTTCCCTGTAACTAACACATTAGTGGACAAACTCTGTTAGAGTCATGGTGACTATGACAGGACTGACAACTGGTTTACCTCTTTAGCAATAACAGCCACACACACCGCCATATTGGTCCTTTTCCTGGTACGCCGTCACGTGACTGCGTGTCACGCCTCGCTTTGGGTTCAAGGTAGCTGACAGCTAGCCTAGTCTGTTTCCCCCAGTCATATGACTCCCAGCCGGAGTTCTAAACACAAGAGACCCAAGCCCACAGACTAAACTAGCTCTAAAAGTGTTCCAGACGGACATCTATGAGGAAGTTCCATTTGACTAGACTGTTATTTAGCTGTCTGTGCATATAGGCTTAACAAAAAACATTTTTTTTTAATGAGGAAGGGAAGTTTAGTTGAGGCTCTTGTGTTTAGGACTCTACTTTGAACAAGCCCTCTGATGGCGCTGGTGTGGGCTCTTGCTGGTATATGGGTCCTAAGCCCTGTGTTTGGATCCCTGACAGTCAACGGGACCAGACCCAACATAGTTCTGCTGTTGATGGACGATGTGAGAGCAATTACCAGTGAAATGCTTTTTATTTGGTACCTTTGATAGCAGTTGTGTGACTGGCCCACAAAGCTTACACTCTAATTGTAATGCTAAATACAGATTGTGTTTGTTTTTAATGCTACTTTATTTATAAAATATTAAACCAGGAATATTATTTTGAGATTTGTTTCCTCCTCAAGTAGGTCTAGGGGAGCACATAAGAAAATTTATTTTAAATTGTCTTTAAAATGAAAATTCAGTTTACCCCTTTCCAGCATTCTGATATATTTAAGTGTATATTGATATATTGATCGCCTATATAGTTATGTGTATGTTTATTCTTTAATATGCAATAAGATTTGAAGAAAAAAACAAAATGAATAATATGTAGATGTGTGTATTCTTAAAATGATGCATTCAACATATGTTGCAAATTAAATATATAGTAGTTCAACTATAATAATTATTGGGATGGTGTTATATACTTTGATATATAATTTTTCTACCATATTTTTACATTGTGGTATAAAACATGTTAAACCTTATCTTTAAAGCTGGAGTCTGGCTGAAGATTCTGGAAAATGTAGTCTAATACAGCCTTAGTATCAAGCATTCATATGCTACTTTGCCCTGTATGTGTGTTTTTTCTTGTACAGATGGGGTGGGGAGACCTGGGTGTGTTTGGCCAACCCTCCAAAGAGACTCCTAACTTGGACAAGATGGCTTCTGAGGGCATCCTGTTTCCAGATTTTTACACTGCTAATCCCCTGTGCTCGCCATGTGAGTGTGACTATCATGAGTTCAAGACTAGTTCTAGAGAGTTATCATGTAATAAAAGTTACTCCATCCCAAAAAAGTGTTTTTACCCCCCAGCCAAACAATACATTTTTTTAAAGAAAATACCTAAAATCTCTGTTTCAGCACCATGGTCAAGTTCTCCCCTCACCTTGATAATCCACAGTTGATGTTTCTCCCCTCTCTGGAGGAGAGGACTGGGACAGAACACACATGTGCCATAGGTTCACCGTTGCTAGCATAATGCATTAAATGTTCTACTACTCCTATGTTTCCTACCTGTCCTACAGAAATAGATTAGGTAGCTGGAATGTTCAGGTAGTGTTGATAATACCTTGATCTAAGTAAACATGCGTTCCACTGCTGTCACATAGGGGGAGATTTATCAAAGTGTCATATTCTGAAAACTGTTCAAAGTTCCGAAAGTGGGACACAGAAGGTACATTCTGACTGATGATTTCTAAAAATACAACACTTAAATCTCGTTTGCGGTGGCAAGAAAGTGGCATGTCAACCTGGCATGGATTCTGTTGGGTTGCCAGCAAGCCAGTCATCCAGACAAGGATGCTTAATACAGACTGTTCTCTCAAAAACTGGACACAAGTGTTAAATTAGAAGGGCAAAGGTTTAAAAATATCAGGAAGTATTACTTTACTGAAAGGATAGTGGATAGTCCAGCTGAAGTGGTAGAGGTTAACACCGTAAAGGAGTTTAAGCATGCGTGGGATAGGCATAAGGCAATCCTAACTTTAAGATAAGGCCAGGGACTAATGAAAATTGGGCAGACTAGATGGGCCAAATGGTTCTTATCTGCCTTCACATTCTATGTTTCTACATGGGATTCCAGGACAGATAGGAACAGTGTCTCAGTCTAGACTGACACCAGATCTGGGACACTTGGTAGGTATGTTTCAAATGAATTTAAATAGACGTGACCGCAACATACTTATTTGAAGACTTGTCAAGTCTGGAAAAACAGAATCCAGGGTTCATACCAGCATAGTACACTGGTCCTTGATGGTATCAAGAAGATCAGTAGCCTGTAATTTTCAGTGTTTTAGAAGAATTGGACTCTTGTTTATTTTACTGGATTTAAAACTGGTTCAGTTCAGTGCTTTATATATCTTTGTATAGAAGCTAATGCAAGTGTGTGTGTGTGTGTGTGTGTGTATATATAATTTTATTTTTATTTATTTTTTGTCGTTGTAGCAAGAGCAGCTTTGCTTACTGGTCGTCTCCCCATACGAAATGGCTTCTACACCACCAATGCTCACGCCAGAAACGGTAAGAGGTTTAATGTCATCACTGGATTATTTTATCAATAACTAGCTGAAATAGAAATATAATATCTCCCAGCATACCCACAATTGTAAATGATCATTGATACAAAGACTAAAATAATCTCCCTCCCCCCTCCCCCCCCAAAAAAGTAGTTTGTACCTAAATCTAGCTAAAGGCAAACTAGATTATATTTTTGGGATCACTTTTTCTACTAAAGCTTTCTTAAATATCTTTGTGCATGAATCTGTTATCACTGTAGCTCAGCCATTTTCTTAAAATAGAGAAAATATATGACAAACTTACCATAAATTTTCTTTTCCTGGCTATTTCTCATGGCAGCATCACTTATGGGTAGCCCCTTCCTTAGCAGTCACAGGACACAAATTAATTAGATTAATTAGACTGATAGGTATAAAGAGTACCTCCTCCCCTAACACCACAGTCCAATTATAAAGCTGAAAAAAAAGAGTGGGCGGGAACCCTGATGCTGTCATGAGAAATATGTCATGTCATAAATTTTCTCTACTCCTGGCTAATCATGGCAGTATCACTTATGGGTAATACTCAAACTTACAGAAATATAGGGTGGGAATAAAGAAACCGAGAAAAATACACTATACACAGACACTCATGCTGCAAAGAAATCTATCAGTGGGATAAAGAAACCGTAGACAGAACACTATTCCCAAAGGAGGTGGAAGAAGAGGCTACGTCCAGTTTGTAGTGTTTTATGAATGTCATCGGGGAAGACCAGGTGACTGCTCTGCAAATATCATCGTATCGAACCTCTGCCCAATTAGTCCATGAAGTTGACAATGCTCTGGTAGAATGTGTTCTTATCTTGATTGGAGGAGACTGACCTTTAGAGACATGCGCTTTCCTGATTATTAGCGAAATTCAACGTAGATAAAGAAGCTGCCTCTCCTCTTCTCGTTCTTGAAGGTAGAACAAAGAGTTGAAACTGAGATACCACCTTAGGAAAAGGTTTTGGTCTCAGACACACCCAATTGTGATAGATTTGTAGGCAGAAAGTCATGGTAGAAAAGGCTATAATCTCTGAAATTCTTCTTGCGGAAGTAATAGTCACCAAAAACAAACTCTTGTAAGTCAGAAGGGTAGTATCCAAATTTTCAAGAGGAACAATCAGATCATCAGTCAGTGATTTGAGAACGAGAAAGGTCCCAAGGAGGGATACCGGCTCTGGAAGGAGGTCTCAACCTTAAAGCTGCCTTGAAGAATCTTGAGATCAAAAGATCCGAAGCTCATATGATTTTGCATAATGCTGAAAGAGCCGAGGTCTGAACTCTGAGTGCTGAGGCTAAGGACTTTGTCTGAGTATTACTGGGTTGCAAGAAGTAGATGCCCATTCTCTGAATATATTCCAGATTCTATGGTAACACGAGGAAGAAGAACCCTTCCTAGACTGCAAAAGGGTATTAACCACTGCTTCAGAGAGGCCTAAGTGATGTAGTCTCTCCTTTCAAGACCCATACCCCCAGCTTGAGGTGTTGTGGATGAGGATGGGAGATTGGACCTTGACTCAGCAGATCCTTCATTTTTGGGAGAAGAGGTCGTTCCTGACTCAACTTGATTAAGAGAGGAAACCATGGCCTCTTGGCCAGACTGAGAGAATAGCAATAACTTTTTTGCCTTCTGTCCAAACCTTTCGCAGAAATCTGGGTATCATGGGTAGGGGAGGGAACGCATACCCCAGATCAAATGACCGAGGAAAAGAAAAAGCATCCTGGCCCATTGCCCGATTGTCTGGACTGAGAGAGTAGAATTTCTCTACATGACAGTTCCTGGAAGTCACCATCCGGTCGATCTGGACTATGTCCCACCGATTGGCAATCCATGAGAAAGCCACTGCGTTCCAGCGCTCGAAATGAGGAACCTTTGGCTGAAAAGAACAAAAGACCCTAGCGGTCTAAACCAACCCCCTCTCAGGGAAACACAACACAAAGCTACTGCTCAGGTAACCTAACAGAGGAAACAAAGTCCCCAGAGGGCTCCCTCCAAGGGAGGACTCCCTATACAAGTATGGATCCCAAAGAGCTGCCTTATAAGAGGGGATTTTTGTCCCCAATTTATTGGGGTAATGCACAAGGGGAATTTTTAAGGTGGTCCAACCCTCCACCATTTACCTTGCAGACGTGTTTCCCTCAGAACACCATATATATCTCACGTAGCAGTTTGGTACTTACACTGAACCTAACCCAGTTAGTCCTGCTCGTGCAAGCGGTTTACTGGGTTCATCAAATGAAGAGAGGCTGAACTTCATTTGGAAAGAACCCACGACAAACGCAGGAAGGTGGCCAAAAAAAGAACAGTGTTTTTTTAAGTCCAGTAGAATCAGCTAAGGACAGGAAAAAAGACTGTGGTGTAAGGAGAGGAGGGACTCTTTATACCAATCAGTCTAATTAACCTAATGCCTGTCCTGTGACTGCTAAGGGTGGAGCTACCCATAAGTTATGCTGCCATGATTAACCAGGAAAGAGGAAATTCTAAGTAATGAGTTTTTCCCTTGTGCAGCTTACACGCCTCAAGAAATCGTGGGTGGTATCTCTGACTCTGAGATTCTCCTGCCTGAGCTGCTGAAGAAAGCTGGATATGTGAATAAGATCATTGGCAAATGGTAAGTCATTAGTAGGATCCGTACACATTTAAAATCACTTCCTTCTTTGAGGTTAACATGATACAGAATGAGGTGACTGCTAAGCTCTCTTCCACTAGGGAGAGCATCAAGGCACAGCTGCATCTCTTAAGAATTAGGAAAATTTGCATAATATCACTACACCTATGCTGCTGCTTAATTAACTGCTTCAGACCCACTCCTGCGTATGCGCCTGCAGCTCTTTGTCCCAGGTGCACGGCACAGGAAATCTCTTATCGTTGTTCAATTATCCTACGATACAACATTTTAACTATTCACATTAGACTGGTATATGAGGGTTGATCAATGAGCATCACTGATAATGCCCAAGAGGTGCAAAGGGTCATACCAGTCCCAGCAATTTGGGCTATCTGTACTTAAAACTGGAAAAGAGAGAAATGCTATGCTCTATGAGAAGCCTGTGATTGGACCACTCACGGCCCCAGTGACATCTCTATAAATCGATAGAGGGGGACCTGCTCCACAGTACCCAATAGGGCATATTACACCAGAAAGGGATAATGGTAACCCTTTAAGGTCTACTCTGCTGTGTTTCTTTACACAGGTTGATCTCTCATGTTACTGCTGAGACCTACATGGGTACCCTACTACAGGTGCTTGTCGAAGTAATGAGTCTTATTGGACCTTGAGCGCCCAGCACTGCCATTGAGATCCCATCATAGACCATAAAGAAAGATGATGAATGGATGTTGATTTATTTAATTTTTTTCTGGATTTTCAACCCTGAGTCATTGTGTTACTTTTTGTCTCTGTCGTGTGACCCACAGAGCATTCTTCCATCTCTTAGCTGCCAGGACAACCCTGAGAGCTAAGCTTTTGCTTCTGCAGACAGGTTTCACAGCTCTTACCCTCTTACCTGCCTGGTGGGACAGAAGCCTGAGGCTCCAAAGGCCTTCGAAGTGCAACTTTTATTTTGTGGCCCTCCAACCTTTTGGATCTTGGTCATCTAAAAACAAAGTACCAGGTCAGCCTCTGTCTTTGCCCCATTCTCAGGCATTCCACTTATGCATGTGCTTTGGTTCCGTCAAACTCCACAGTCATCTCAACAATTATTCGTGGATGTTTGTTAGTAAAACTGCTTTTTGTTTTTTGTTTTTTTCAGGCATTTGGGCCACCAACCCAAGTTCCATCCCCTTAAACGAGGATTCGATGAGTGGTTTGGATCGCCCAACTGTCACTTTGGACCTTACAATGACAAAGATATCCCCAATATACCATTATATAAAGACTGGGACATGGTTGGCAGGTATTGTACCTACGCTAAGATGCAAAACAATTTCTTACAGCACCAATGGTTTCAAACATTGAGATCTTTAAATCTTGGTGACGTGGGCATGCTTTGGCCTTAACATTTTACTGCTGGTGAGTGATGTTTTGGAGCACAGTATATATGTGAGGCTAACTAAAATGTTCTCTTTTTTTTTTTTTTTAAGATACTATGAAGATTTTATTATCAACCACAAAACTGGAGAGTCCAATCTAACTCAGTTTTACTTACAGGTAAAACATTGGAATAATCTGCAACATGAAAAGAATCAAGGTTCAAATGGGGTCTGACGTGTAAAAGTAAAGAGAGAATCTTTGTTAGCTGCACTTTTTATATTTTCTTGATTTTTATCAGGCCATTAATCATTATCCCACAAGACTCAAGATTAGGGCAACAGTATTTTATATTTTAATAATGTTTACATAACTTAATGCAGGTGCTATTTATAGTGTCAGGTATCCAGTTCCAAAACCGGTATAATGTCATTATTATTCACTGCATGTACCAATATTTGTTCATCTACAAGTAAAAAAAAAAAATCCCAGTGACCCCTGCTAAATTTGCCTCATTAATTTGTAACTCCAGAGGCAGTTAGATTTGCCTCTAGATCAATATTATATTATTACCATGTTATGATTTTTACATCTATATAAACATGCTTGAAAATCCCCCATCATGAAAATAAATGTTGCATATAGAGTTATCTTGTGTTCTCTAGAATAAACGGTCATTTTAAATTCAATGTCATAATCATTATGTCTTAAATCACAGGAAGCGCTCGATTTCATTAGCAGGAAGAGGAATACTCAGCAGCCGTTCTTTCTATACTGGGCCATAGATGCTACTCATGCTCCTGTCTATGCATCCAAACCCTTCCTGGGAACCAGCCGCCGAGGACTGTACGCGTTCTTCATATTCTATCATGTAGTGTTTGTTTCAGCATTCTGCTATACAATATTCTACTGTTATGTCTTGATTTCATTGCAATATTTGATCGTACTGTGATTTCTTGGTTTGATTGTATTGAATTACTGCAAATTTGGCTCTTGTTATCCTTGTATGTTGTGATTTTACTGTAATCTCTTGGTTTTGTTTTTGGTGTGATTGCACTGTGATATTTTGTATTCACTGTGATCTCTTGGTGTGATTGCACTGTGATATTTTTCTATTTATTGTACTGTGTGATTGCCCGGTGAGCTCTTTGCTGTGATTTCCCAGATACGGAGATGCAGTACGTGAGATTGATTTTAGCATCGGAAAGATCCTTGGGACGCTAATGCAAACTGGCATAGCTAACAACACCTTTGTCTTCTTCACATCTGACAATGGGGCAGCACTTATCTCTGCCCCAAACCAAGGTGAGCAAAAAAAAGAAACCACATTTAAACCTGTCAATGGTAATTCCAAGAAATTCTAACCATTACCTCTATGTTTGATCCCTGTGTAAGACAGGTCATTCCCCCCTAAGACAGCATGCTCTCTTTCTTAGTTCACTCCCATGTGATTCCCCTGCAGGTGGTAGCAATGGCCCCTTCCTGTGTGGAAAGCAGACAACATTCGAGGGTGGCCTGAGGGTGCCAGGCATTGCGTGGTGGCCAACACACGTGACTGCTGGTCAGGTGAGAGAATATTTGAAATCTACTACACAATCGCTTATTCTTACAGATTATATATAAATACATATTAGTCTATTAAATAAAGTCAATTGATTATTACAATGAAATCAGGATGTGTTCTTCTTGATTTTAAGACCAAATAATTCTTGTCAGCTAAAGGTTTTCAATAGCTGAGGATCTACATTTTCGCTAAATGTATTTTAGAACTCTTTCGGTTGGGTATTTCTGGTGATAGAATATATTTGTGTAACATTTATCATACAGAAAGTGATTGAGCTATTTAATACTGTTCCCAGGCAGTGAGTGAGTGAGCTATGTACTGCCAGCCCCAGGCAGTGAGTGAGTGAGTGAGCTATGTACTGCTAGTCCCAGGCAGTGAGTGAGTGAGCAATGTTCTGCTAGTCCCAGGCAGTGAGTGAGTGAGCTATGTACTGCTAGTCCCAGTCACAGAGTGAGTGAGCTATGTAATGCTAGTCCCAGGCAGTGAGTGAGTGAGCATGTACTGCTAGTCCCAGGCAGTGAGTGAGTGAGCTATGTAATGCTAGTCCCAGGCAGTGAGTGAGCTATGTACTGCTAGTCCCAGGCAGTGAGTGAGTGAGCTATGTACTGCCAGTCCCAGGCAGTGAGTGAGTGAGCTATGTTCTGCTATCCCAGGCAGTGAGTGAGCTGTGTACTGCTAGTCCCAGGCAGTGAGTGAGCTATGTACTGCTAGTCCCAGGCAGTGAGTGAGCTATGAACTGCTAGTCCCAGGCAGTGAGTGAGCTATGAACTGCTAGTCCCAGGCAGTGAGTGAGCTATGAACTGCTAGTCCCAGGCAGTGAGTGAGTGAGCTATGTAATGCTAGTCCCAGGCAGTGAGTGAGTGAGCTATGTAATGCTAGTCCCAGGCAGTGAGTGAGTGAGCTATGTACTGCTAGTCCCAGGCAGTGAGTGAGTGAGCTATGTAATGCTAGTCCCAGGCAGTGAGTGAGTGAGCTATGTACTGCTAGTCCCAGGCAGTGAGTGAGTGAGCTATGTAATGCTAGTCCCAGGCAGTGAGTGAGTGAGCTATGTTCTGCTAGTCCCAGGCAGTGAGTGAGTGAGCTATGTTCTATGCTAGTCCCAGGCAGTGAGTGAGCTATGTACTGCTAGTCCCAGTCAGAGAGTGAGTGAGCTATGTACTGCTAGTCCCAGGCAGTGAGTGAGTGAGCTATGTTCTGCTAGTCCCAGGCAGTGAGTGAGTGAGCTATGTACTGCTAGTCCCAGGCAGTGAGTGAGTGAGCTATGCACTGCCAGTCCCAGGCAGTGAGTGAGCTATGTACTGCTAGTCCCAGTCAGTGAGTGAGCTATGTACTGCTAGTCCCAGTCAGTGAGTGAGCTATGTACTGCTAGTCCCAGGCAGTGAGTGAGCTATGTACTGCTAGTCCCAGTCAGTGAGTGAGTGAGCTATGTACTGCTAGTCCAGGCAGTGAGTGAGCTATGACTGCTAGTCCCAGTCAGTGAGTGAGCTATGTACTGCTAGTCCCAGTCAGTGAGTGAGTGAGCTATGTACTGCTAGTCCCAGGCAGTGAGTGAGCTATGTACTGCTAGTTCCAGACAGTGAGTGAGTGAGCAATGTACTGCTAGTCCCAGACAGTGAGTGAGTGAGCTATGTTCTGCTAGTCCCAGGCAGTGAGTGAGCTATGTACTGCTGGGTCTAAGCAGTGAAGAATAAGAACCAGTTTCTTTGTGCCTGTATCACAGTGGAAGTAAAAAGCAGAAGGAGCTCCTGGGCAGACTAGCGTGCCTGTGTCTCAGTGATAGTATCCATATCTGATTGTCTGCTATAATTTATTCCTTCCGATACAGACGGCTCCTTTCTAAACCATCTCCATAAAGTGAAAAAGAAAAGGTGTTTTTATAGAATAAATGTTATCTGCTTCCGTCTGCATGCACGCTTTGCATTATGTCAGCGTATTCCTCCTGTGGATACAGTGCAGAGATCAGACCTGTCGTCCCTGGCTGATATCAGTGTGGCGAATCTCTAGCCTTGTGTGAGGACAGACTGATTGCGCCTCCTCTGTCTGGAATACACTGCGTGCTCTATACTGTCTGCTCGTCCTCTGAATGCCAGACTAACTCTCTACATCACTGTCCAAGGTGATCAGAGGGGTCGGGAAATGTTGAATTTTTTATCCCATTTTTTTAAAACTTGCTCATATTTAATAAATGTATACAAGGGTTAATGACGGTGATCACATCCATTCAGATCCTTAGGGATAAAAGGCAAAATCTACCAGCTAATGATCCCATCTAATAAATGATCAAATAATTTGAGTTGTTTTTAAATAATTTACTTTATTAAGTGAGAAATCAAAAAGCATCTTATGCTACCTTTCAAATCGCTAATATTTCACAAGGCTCCACTGTTTAAGCATATAGGCTTTATTTATTAAAGGGAGAATTCAAAGTGAAATTTACATTTCAGGCCAGATTAGCCGAACTGAAAGCGTAGCTGACTTAGAGAATTTTTCCAGTTTGGCTATTTTGGCCTTAAATTTGAAATTTACTTTGTATTCCCCTTTAAATCTGACTTTAGTTAATAACTCTGTTAATGTCTTCGCAGTCCTGACGTGTTATCACCCGCCGCTGGTTTTATTCACTAAACAGCGACCTGTAGTGAATTGAAAATATTATTGCTACACTTAGGCTGAAATATCCGATCTGTGAATATAGCTGAATTGGGGAATAACGGGGATTTACCTAAAATTAAATAGCACAAGCAATCACCTTGTTTATTGTGCAGGATTAAATAATTTAAAGCAAAACAAACAAAAATTGTTGTTACAAATTTGGCCGATCTGTTTCCAAAGAGTTAGAGGAACTCCAAAAGACTCCTAGTACCTAGCTAATTAAATATTTATTCCTTCTGGAAATTTTCCAAATGTGCCAACTGAGTGGTATTTTAAGTCCCCTCTACAGGCTGGATGGGAATATTTTTTTCATAAGGTCAGCCATTCACCATAAAAGGGGCACATAGTGGGTTAATAAATCCCATCTGTTTATATCAGCGGATCTAATGACCTTCCAGGAGGACACAGCAGACAGCATGTCATTTTAGCTGCATTCTATGTGTTTCTAGAGCTCTTACTAGATTGCAAGCTCTTTACTGCCTCCTACATGCTGTCCTACTGATATAACTATCAGTTGCTTGATACCCCGTAAACACTCCATGTCCAATGTGTTTCTGCCCTATAGATCAGCTACCAGCTGGGCAACGTTATGGATCTGTTCACCACCAGTCTGTCCCTGGCAGGACTGGATCCTCCTGGCGATAGAACAATTGATGGCCTTGACCTGTCTGCAGTCCTCCTGGAGAGCAAGGTGATGGACAGGTGAGGCTTACTGCTCTATAGACTGCTCCTGCCATCTGCTCTATACAGTGAGGCATCCAAGGGGGCATTATGGCTAACTAGAAGACCTGAGTAAAATTGCAGGGTTTTTTGTGTTTTATTTTTTTTCCCCACAATCTTTATTTGTTAGATTTTGACAGAGCGATACAGTACAATTTTAACAGAAACAGACAAAATGTGATCAAGGCAGACAATACAAACATGTCAGTTGAGACACATACAACGTGATTCTCGCAGGGTAAGTATTCCTCATAATCTACAAAATACACAATCCAGCGCACTTGCTTATTCACTAAACAATAATTTCATATCTCACAAAAAAATAATAGGGGTTGGGGCGGAGCCTAACCACAGAGCCGAATGGACGCTGCTCTCCACGGCTCCCAAGTATCACCGAGCAATCTGCCACACATCTCAGGTACGGGGGACCATCGGCCTGTGAGACCCACAGCTCCAGGGCTACCCACCAATTCCCTTTTTATATACAAACTCAGGCAAAAAAGGCATCCGCAAATCTCGGGCCTACCTCGCCCTCCAGCCAGCATCACAACTGCCAGCGTTGTCCTTCCCGAGCCCCGAGGACTGGTATAGCCTGGGGGCCGACTACCAGCAACGAAATGGGGAGGCGATCACAAAAGCCACAACAAGCTGCACCCAGGGACTCACAAGACATAGGGGCCCTACTACAGCGCACTGAAGGCCACAAAATGGCGGCCGACCAGGAGACTGGCTCCACAGGGACAGAACAGCAGACACAAGAACGCAGAGTAGACCGGAGATCTGAATCCCCCAGCAGCCCACCAACAGAAAGGGATGACTCCGCCCCAGCCACTAAAAACGATATCCGACTCTTGCTACAAGAAATGAAGCAGATGTTCGATGTTGATTTAAACCTAATGCGCACAGAAATGCATGCAGTGACAGCACGAGTACAGGCCTCTGAAGAGGACATACTAGACCTCAGACAAGAGGTAAAAAGTATGGGAGATACCCTGAAACACTTACAGTCGGCGAACACAGTGCTCTAAAACGCTCTGGACGCCATGGAAGACCGCAGTAGGCGCACACATATTAAGATGTCTTTTTCCAAGACATTACGCGGAAAACCCTACTCTGGAGAAAGTCCTTGAACAACGTAACGGAACAACTGCAGAAAGGGAAAGTGGAGTACAGATGGCTGCTGCCGAGAACCTTGGCGGTCATCAGCGGAACGGAGGTCCTAAGACTCACCTCACTCTCAGAGGCCCCTGCGCTCCTCCAAAAACTGGGACTGACACAGAACACCTCAACGCCGGGCACAACAACAGCCCCCCACTCATGGGACCCAGGGAGAACTGTTCCATTCTTTCCCAGGGGCAACAGGAGACAGCGACCTGAACACCACATAAAATGTATACCACAAATTTCCATGCTCTGCTGTTCTCTTCTCTAAGTTCACCCTACTACTCTCTCTGCACCCCAAGTTTGACTAAGGCCACCCCCTACAAAGACCGAGATGTACACCCTCCCCCCCACCCCCGTGACCCCCTTTGGTTAGGGGTCGACACTACCCACTGTACCACGCGTAGCATACCCGACACACAACCTACACCAAAGCACTGACAGAAACGCATGACCCACACCGAGGCATACACGCCACCATAAAAGGGGATAAACGACAACTTAACCACCTTATGCCTCCCCCAAACTGCCAAGGAAGGTGCTAATCAACCATTTACAAGACTCTACTACCATACACACACTCGAAATATTCACCCACACCCAGACCACCCTATGGGTACCAATAGCATGGGCACACTTGACACACAAGAAAAAAGAAAATGTACAGACGCATTTCCACTATGTTCTCCCTGACCACATAGGCACAAGCTAACTCCTTCGACCATTGAACAGAAAGACAAACACAACATAACTGCTACCTACTCTTAGTTCCTATCAATATGCACCTGTAAACGTATTGCCTAACTTTGAACAAAGCTATTAACAATGCCGATTGCCAATTTGTCTATGCTGATAAGGCAATGCAAGTATGTAAGTCACATAACTGAATGCACTGAAAATAAAGAATAAAAAAAAAAAATATATATATATATATATATATTAATAATAATAATAATAGGGGTTTAGTATCCTGGAATGAGGCACCTGTGAAAAAACCAAGGAGTTGTCCTGGCCTCCTAAATATATAAACCTGAACATGCATACATTATAGAGTGCTGCTGGGGCCAATATATACAAAATACACAATCCAGGCCAACTCCTTGGTATTGTGGCAGGCTTATGCAATACATGATCATATAATGTAACTAAACCCCCATTATTTTCTGCCTAGGTGAGGTAAGTTACAGCTCTCTGCCAGCCCCCTTCCTACACAGTGCACACCACTGGACCACCAGGGAATGAGAGCCCCCCTCCCTGGCCAGCTAACAAGCAGGGAGGGGGAACGAAAATAAATATAAATAAAGATTTAAATAATAATAAAATAATATAATTTTTTTTTAAATTAATATTAAAATAATAATTTAAAAAATTAATAAAAATGCCCACCCCCACCAAGGCTCTGCATCACACACACACACACACTGCATTCATGCACTCATACACACACACACACTGCACTCATACACACACACACACACACACCGCATTCATACAAACACTCTGCATTATATACACACACACTGCATGCATACACATACACATACACACTGCACTCATACACACACACTGCACTCATACACACACACTGCATTATATCCACACACACACTGACAGTCATACACACACCACATTCATACAAACACACTGCATTATATATACACACACTGTAAATAAATATTCCATTAATATAATTTTTTGGGGATCTAATTTTATTTAGAAATTTACCAGTAGCTGCTGCATTTCCCACCCTAGTCTTATACTCAAGTCAGTAAGTTTTCACAGTTTTTTGGGGTAAAATTAGGGGTCTCGACTTATATTCGGGTCGACTTATACTCCAGTATATACGGTATTTTTGGCTATCCCCAGGATTGTGTGTATAGAATTGTATACGTATGTTCTGTCTTTTCTATAGCTGTTTGTTCTAAGATTTGTGTGTGAAGTCAGCAGCTCTGCAGAGTTTGTTGCTGCCTGTCTACTGAGCTGTGTTTATCTTGGTTCACACAGGCCAATATTCTATTACCGGGGCAATGAGCTGATGGCAGTCAGACTAGGCCTGTACAAGGCTCATTACTGGACATGGAGTAACTCTTGGGAGGAGCTGTCACAGGTAAGTACTAACCTTTTCTGCTGAGATTTGGCTGCTGTAGATCTTGCCTAGCAAACTATTTATGGGTCGGGATGTATTTTTGCATGAAAATTACTCTTTGTATTCTCCAATTGCTTAAAGGGACACTCCACTGCCCAAATACAAAATAAATAAAAATCACTGTTTAGTGTATATACCACCAATGAAAACATAAATGCATTTAAGTATGCTTTCTTTTTTAATTTTATTTTTTTATTGGGATGAATCTAAAAATAGTTTGCAACACCTGTAGTTCTCCTGTTTGCTGCCTTTGAAAGCCCTCCCCTTCCAGTCCCACCCAGACTTTCTGTTTCTGTCCAATCACAGAATTCCCAATACAGCCTAATGAGCAGTCATTGCAAGGCAGGTGTTCTGGGCAATTACTGCCTCTTGAGTTTAGCTCTACTGAGCTAACCAAACCAGGAAGTAACAGGACCAGTTGTCTGATTGAAAGCCAGGGGTTGTAACCACGCTAATTTATAAAGTGTCAATTTCTATAGAATCTGCACTTTTTTGCAAAATGGAGAAAAGGGGAAAAAAAAGACACACTCTTCACACCTAAAACATTTTAGCTTGCTAAAATGATTTAGGGGTCTGGTGTGTCCCTTTAATCTAGTGTTCTGAACACATCTGTGCTTCCTAAAATGGCATGCTAGTGTCATTGATTCAATATGGCTACCTCTAGTGCTGCATAGGTTGTATCTTGTACGCAGTATGTTAATGCACCAATTGTGGTACCCTGTGTCAAACCACAGGGATGTACATTGTTTTCCTGGCAGGGTTAGATCTGGCTCTAATAAAAAACAATTGCCCCCATTGCAGAAAAGTACTATATAAAAAATGTTAATGTATATATTTTATTTTAATTATAATTAGGCAAACTATGACAATCATGACACATAATGATATTGTTGACCTCAAGACGTTTATCATTTTATATTTCTGTATAGAAATTTTTCCTTTTTCGTGTTAACACATAAATCATAGTCCCAAATGTCTAAATAAGGGATTTTCCATTTCCGAAGCTGTGGATTAGGATCCAGAGCACGGATGATGTAATCTGAGGTTTTTGCAAAAATAGAAATCAATCCAGCTGTTCCCTATGAGCAAACTGTACTCCATAATGATAATGAGTATATAGATCTAATGTACATTCACACCCTGCTAATCCAGACTTGTCAATAGGCAGCTCGGGGCTCCAAGTGACCCTTACTGTGACTGTCCTTTAACGTGTTAACTTCTCTCAATACTTACAGCTCTGTGTCCTGACATCCTTTGAATATAAACTGTACATGTAGCTTGGACATATACTGTTAGTCTGGTGGCAGAGGCACTTTAATTAAAAAATGTAATATAACCACTTTAAGGGCAAATGTTTGAGTGACATTATCCCTTTATTTCATAAAAATAAGGATCAGTACTTCTAAAGTACATCAAAGCTAAATGCTAATCATATAAAACGTAATACAACATTCCCTAAATCTATGTATAATATATGTGCGCAATTGTTGCCATGTGTTTGTCCTCTGTATTTGTTGATTGTAAGACTCAAACCACCCTGTGTATAGGTTACAGCAAGTGAGGCAGATTGAAATATAAATGCAAGATCACCTCCTGGAGACTTGTTTTTATTCAATATATATAAATACAGCCGTACAGATAGTCTGCCAGAACCTTGCTGTTGTACAAGACTCTTAAAGTCCATTAGTACTTAGATGGCTGATGGGTAGATCTCTAACTGTTGTCAAACTACAGCTGGCATGATACCTTGCCAGCCTTAAGTCTGGTAAAGCATCATGGGACGTGCAGTCCAGCAACATCTGTGCCACCTCTGCATCAAAGCAAACTATTCTAAACCTGCCTAACACAAACTATCTTGAAATCCATTGCAGAGGTTAAAAACCAAACCCTGTATCAGATAAATGGCCCAAACACTGCAAGCATGGGCGTGCATTCATTTGAGGAACACGGCTGACATCTCACTCAGAGGGCAGCGCAGATTGTGCTACCCCAGGAATGCGTGCCCATCACTCTGCACAGCTGATTAGGGCCATTGCATAAAATGCTGCAGGGGATAATCTCAGATCTGTCTGGATAACTCTTTGCACGGACACAGAATCAATGAAGCGATTTATCTCCAGGGGATGAAATGCAAATCTCATTTAGACCTGATTTGCCCCCTCTCATTCAGGCCAAGGAAAATATCGAGCATCTCCCCCATCCCCCTCCAGTCCCCCTGTCCCTCCTGAATTTTAGCTTTGGAATCTGAAGCTGTGTCTATGGGATTCAAGCCCATTGCATTTACTGAGATCTGTGTGTCCTTCTCTCAAGCACCCATCTGTAAAATACCAGCCATTCCCCAGGTTAACCTTCCTCCAGCTGTGATCATCTTCTGTCTCCACTTTAAAACTCTTTGTATTATTTAGAATATAGGCACCTACAAATCTAGTGTCCATTTTATTTTATTTTTGTATTATTTAAAATATAAGCACCTAAAAAGTCATATATTTTTCCCCCCAATAAAATATATATTTTATAACTTAGTTTAAACATCCCACCCCCCATCCTCTAGCCACAACTATTAGTCGCATCATGTTTTCAGTTAATGGCTCTAATATTAAGGCAAAACTGTCACTTTTCTGGACTTTACATCTTTTGACTAAAACATTGAGAATCACCTATAACGTAAATGTCTGTTAGTCCACCCTTTGTACAGCGCTACGGAATCTGATGGCGCTATATAAATAATAAAATAATAACTTGCGTTAACCTGGATTGCATGTGTTGCTGGTTTTTTTTTTTATGTATCTAAAAGATTTAGCAAGTGACGTCCCAATCCGGTTCAGTACAGGCACATATTTACTAAACACAGCAATATAAGTAAAATGGTATTAATATCCTATGAAGTGTTCCTCTTGAAGCCGGAAGCTCAGAGTTGAGAGAATGTAAAAATGTAAAGCATGTGCTCCGGGTCCGGTATTGCTGTATGAGTACAGGTCCTTGAAGGGGACAAACAAGAAAAATAGATTTTTAATTAGATGTATATTTTAATATATGCTATTTCACAAAGCTGTAATTAACATAACCATGTTGTTTAACATATATTAGGTTTTTAATCCATCCTTTAGACTCTATTGATAACATCATTAAAAAAAATATCAGGGTGCTCCCAGTGGTCCATACAGTTAGATTGACTGCTGTATGTAGAATATTTAGGAATCACAGCAACTAACTAATGGCAATTAACTAGGAACAAATGCCTCCATATTGATTAAACAAAAAGACTATTACTTTACAGAGCAGCAAATATTAATCAGTTCTACAATATATCAAAAGTTAAAGGACCACTATAGGAATCCAGACCACTTATTCTCCAAGGACTGGTCTGGGTGCAGTGGCCCTGTAGTGGTAGATACAGCAAAGTTTATATTACCGAGTTAAATACACCTCTAGTGGCTGTCTTCCTTACCGCCACTAGAGGGTGCTGCAGGGGCAATAACTGAGTTTGACTTGGTTATGTGACATTCAGCGTTGAACATCTTAAAATGCTAATCATAGGGAAACAGTGGGTTTAATGTTTCCCTATGAGAAGCATTTTATTGGACACTTGCCACTCATGCACTTCTCATCCCCAATGCGCCTCTGCAGGAAAGATTGGATGAGAAGAGGTAGAGATGCCAGTGTGACATCGCCTTTCAGCGCTGAAAACAAAGTAAGTATATTTAATTAGCATTTTTCTGTACACAAGGGAGTGGACAGAGGTCACGGTAAGAGTAGGGAACATGTATATTGACAAAAAAACTAAACTTATTTTCACAACTGGGGGTTCCCTTTAACTTGACAAATGTGATGTGAATGAGTTGTTGATAAATAGAACTGTGACATTTGTGCCAACATGATTTGGATTACATTACAGACTTGCATAATATTGGAGTATTGTATATAACAATTATCTTCTTAGAGAACCCGATCTATTAATGGCAGCTGATCGCTGGGGCCTTGATATAATCTATAAATTAGATGGGGAGCTAATTCATGTGCTTGGTTTCAGGGTATTGATTTTTGTCCAGGGCAAAATATCACCGGAGTAACGACACACGATCAAGTGGAGCACAGTATCAACCCCCTCCTATTCCACCTTGGGAGAGACCCCGGGGAGAAGTACCCTATAAGGTGAGTCTAGCCACAATCCACCACTGGATGCCAGAGCCGTGACTGAGAGAGTGCTTGTAACCAGTGACAATGACTGACAGACAGTCTAATCGATCCTTACCCTGAATGCAGGGACTGATGGCTCATTGCAATACAAGGTGACAGTGATGCAGATAAAAGCCAGACAGGTAAAGAGGGAGGCAGGATCTCTGCACATGGATTGTCCCTGGCACATGTGACATGCAACCAGGCCCCGGGTCCCACAGGTCTTCCTGGCATCAGGAATGTGACCTTGGTGTCTTGTAACGCAGCTGCTCCCCGTACCGGAAACGCGAGCAAATCACCAAAGGGGCAATTAGAGTAAATGAAGCGAGCTTTCTGCACACCTGTGCTCGCAGGCCCGGGGGACTGTGCAGGCAGGTTTAAGAATGAGGTGGGGGGGGGAGGGCATAAGTAAGTAAAATGACTCCCAGAGCAGCCGATGTATTCTCTAAACACAGTCTTTTCTGCATTAAAAGTACATTGCTCTTTTACTCCTCCCTGTACCTCGTTGTTTCGTCTGCCCTGCCAGGTGTGTGACTTTGGCATTTAATGGATTAATAAAGTGCAAGACCCAAGACTGGCTAGACTCTAGTCTAAGACAAGTGGGTGGCTGTATTGGCCAGTGTTCTTCCGCAAAGGAAACACATATTGGGCTACCCTGAGCAGGTGCATGCATTGTTGACCCTTGCAGTGCAGAGGCGCTTGCTGTCGTTTAACACTCTTTCCTCCTGTTTTGTAGCGTTCTGAGTGCAGAGTACCAGGATGCTGTTATCAGGATTTCCTCTGTGGTTAAGCAGCACAGGGACACAATGATCCCCGGGGAACCTCAGCTCAATGTGTGTGACCTGGCTGTCATGGTGAGTACATTTGTGTCTCCAGATGTCACTGGGACAGCAGTTGTTAAAGTCGTGTCTGCAGAAAGGGCCTACGAGAAAAAACACATAAATATATTATCATACCACTGCCTTGTAAAATATAAAAAAAATTGTGATAATTAGGGCAGGAATAAAACAATCTGGGAGAAGAATTTGGGGAACACCGGGTTATGCAAGTACTCGGTTCAGGTAGCTGAGCTGGAATTATAATTGAGTTTGAGTTTCAATCACAGTTTGATTAAACCCCATAACTGCTCCTAGAGAGTTTTACTCCAGATCTCGTTAGGTCCAATCATCGCTCATAATTTCAATGGCCAGATCTCCTATTGTGAGCTTTGTCTGTCTGTCATGCAAGCCAGCAGTCATTTTGAGCAGCTATGTCGTTTTACTTTGCAGCAGAGAGAAAGCTAGCTCACTGTCCGTCACAGGAAGACCATCACATAAAGATTGTGTCCAATTCATTCACACACTATTCTTCCCTTCATTTTTTTAGTTCTTATTTTGTGCACTTGTCCCATACGTCCCTCTAGAACATGGTTATTCTAATAATAATCCAACACTGATCTACTTAAAGGGAAATTAGTGCCAGGAAAACAATAGATTTCCTCTCTGTCAAGGCCCCCTCCCGCAGCACTGAAGGGGTTAATAACCCCCTTCAGTTACTTACCTGGGTTCAGTGCCAATGTCCCTCGGCGCTGGCTCAACTCCTTCCACGCAATGGCCGTGCTTACATTAGGATCTTTCCTATGGGGAAAATCTGACGCTGGAGGTCCTCATGCAGAGCGGGAGGACGTCCAGCATCAGGTAATGGACCAAAAGTCTGTTTCAATTCCGGAAGTCCCTCTAGTGGCTCTCTGGTAGACAGCCACTAGAGGAGGAGTTAACCCTCAAAGGTAATTGTTGCAGTTTATAAAAACTGCAAGGTTAAGGGTGATGGGAGTTTGCACCGTGACCACTTCAATGAGGTGAAGTGGTCTGGGTGCCTGAAGTGTCCCTTTAATTCACTCTGCCCGAAACGCTGGAAGTGACTGGCAAAAGGTCCATGGGAGTTGTGGCGTACTAATAGCTGGAGGTCCAGTATTTATTTCAAGAACATATACTAAGTTGCAAAGCTGTAATGACTATAGCTATTTAGTTTTAAAGATAGGATATTGAATTCTTATTAATTCTCCCTCCAGTGTGAGCTGCTGTGTTCCTGGAATATTGTTCAGACAGCAGTCAATCTAACGTAGCTCTGGCCAGGAACTGTGAGGTATGTCTGTAGGAGAGGTTGTAGAAGGTAATATCTAAAATATTCTAAATTAAAGAAGCTATGGCCATTATGACTTGCAAAGTAGTGTATAATAATATATACCATCAAAACAGAATTTATCGTGGTAGTCTCCCTTTAAATACTCCAGCTCTAGAACAGTCCACCATCAGATATCCATATCTAAGCACAGGTGTATGAATAAAAATGGCTGATTCGAAAACTGACATACCTGTATTCAAACATGCCTGTTCTTTCGTCTCTGTCTGCAAACTTTGTCTGTCGTTGTCCATGTCTTATCTAAACTGGCCTTTAGCGCCCTCTCCTGGCAATAGCTTTTGCTGCTCCGGCAGTTTTAATATTAAATGCCTGTATAGGAGGATTGTATTGATTAATGTTCCGTTCTTTGCTATACATTAATATTGTAGACGTGGCGATCAATAAAATGTTTACTCACTGGCAAGATGTGGATTTGACATCATGGTCTCCACTTGGGAATCCCTTCTTACTGCACACTGGCCTCCCATTTGTCATTTTAATTACAATGTGAAAAGAGATGAAAATTATTACTGTGCTGTACGATGGAGCACAGATTGTGTCATGGGTCAAAGTGCTGTCAGATGTTACCCTTTAAAGGGAAACTCCACTCCCAGGAAAACAATCCATTTTCCTGGCACTGCAGGTCCCCTCTCCCTCCCACCTCCCAACCCAGGTAGCTGAAGTGGTGAAAATTGCGTCAGCCAGTGGGCGAGACTGATCCCGCCCGCCGGCTGAGGAAACCTAATGGGCATGCGTGGCAAGGCCGCACACGCGCATTAGGTCTCCCCATAGGAAAGCATTGAAAAAGATTTTCAATGCTTTCCTATGGGGAATTGAGCGACACTGGAGGTCCTCACACAGAGTGAGGACATCCAGCGACGCTCTAGCAAAGAAAATCTTTGCTATGAATCAGGAAGTGCCCTCTAGTGGCATTTTCTTTCTTAAAATAACGGTATAAACGTAGAGACTTCTTTATCTTAAAAGGAGTGTTAAGATTACAAAATAAATATTTTTGTATTATAATACATTACTAGAAACACACTAGGCACCATAACCATTTCATATTGTTGAAGTGGTTATGGCGCCTGGAGTTCCCTGCAGCTTTCCCTCTGTTCAGGGTTAAACCTCTTTTCATCAGTTTAACACTGATTGAGGATCCCGTGACTGCTAATGCAGAGACTATTTCACTAGATAGGGGGCAAGGCTGCTGGTGGCCAGGTACTCTTTTTCAGATTTAAACCTTTCTAAAACCACTAGGTAGAAGAGAGATAAGTGCAATCAAAGGGTGCATTTGGATTCCCCAACACAACTCTGCTCCGTTCGCAAAGGTAACGAAGCAGACAAGCGACTGATGTATCACGTTTTAGTAGAATTTCTACCATTGCATTGAAAGGCCATACACCTGGTACCTTCATGTCCAGTGCTGCCCTGTTTGATTACATGATGTGTCAGGTTTATGTAGTGCCAGGCAATGCCATTGAAATAACTCCTGAGAGCGTGTGGAATTGATAGCTATATGATAAAACCTGCATCTCCATGTCAATACTATCCTAGAATTTTTGATCTATTTCTAGAGATTTCGTCTTGCGAAAGATACATTATAAAAAGTTCAGAAACACTCACTAGAATTACGCAAGGTCTAATACATATTACAGTACACTGAAATCAATAAACATGTATAGCTTTGAGCAAGGAAGGGGTTGGGCAAGAGTTTTCGTAAAAGCATGTGCTGTTAGCTTCAACAAGGAGACATAGGCTTATGGGCTGCACCAAAAAATACTTCTTAAAAGAGTTGTAGAGTGCGTAACAGCCTAACAGCAGGGGTGGTAGGAAATATTACATCAGAATGGTTCAATAAATATTCTAAATTCACAAGAGGATGGCTCTCTTTTCATTTGCCATTTTTAAAATCTTTTGTTAAAGGTTTTTAAATGGGACATGTTATTTTTTTTTTAAAATACAGAATTATTGTAAGACGTTTAATAGTGAACAGAAACAATATCCGATTTAACGGAAACATCCGGTATTTTTAAGCTATGGACTCTGTCTGCCTCACTAAGCATGTGAGCTAATCTATTGGACAGATCCACGTGGGCTACATACACTCACATGAGGAGATACTGGTTTGTTATGAGCAGGCTGACTTTGAGACGTATCTTCAAATCATATCTACACAGTATTGGTGAAAAGTGCTATTTGCTCGAGCACACAGTGGTCCATATTTGATGTCCTGCTATGTTAGGGGCGCGTAATTCTAATTTGATTATAGCAATCATTATCCTCAATGGAAATGTTGTAAATGATTCCATTATGAGACAGGTTGTAGCGCCATCTAGTGACCGAATTGGTGGCCTGAATCAAACACACTTTTCAGAGATCATTTTTGACTATTGTTTTAATTTAGTTGTGTTTTTCTAATGTCTCTTTTCTCTAAAAGGATAATGCAGATTTTATTGTGACCTTTTCATGATTGTTTTATGTGACATTCTTCCAAACATCCACAGTAACCAAAACAGAACTAGGGTTTTCTTTAATACAGTCAGTGTCATGCAGGCTTGATAAAGACTGTTACAGGCCGAAACATTGCCAGATCCACAAATGGCACAAGAAAGCTTTGTGTTGTGAAATTTCTTTATTCTTTTATGCCATTTTCATACACAAGCTATTGGCTCTGTTTAAAATTCCTGTTCTAATGGAACAAAAATTTTCACTCAGTTAACCACTTGAGAGGTCTGAAGCACAGAAAACATGGTTTTTCACAGAACTGTATAACTTGGAAAAAAAAAAAACACATCCTGTAGATGTTCAATTTAATTGGTTTTCATTTGCTCTGACAGAACTGGTCCCCTCCTGGATGTGAGAAGTTGGGAAAATGTCTAACCCCACCAGAGTCTAAGCCCTGGAAGTGTGTCTGGCCTCACTGATTGATGGTCTACATGTGGTCAGGGTGGAGTGAGTAGACACTGAAGCTCTGTGCTACAGGCAATTATAACCAATGCTATGCTCTCTGAATTCTCCAGCAATCAAACTGCAGCTGTAGGGGAGCAAGAAGGACTCCCACAATTCCATGTTTAGAATATGCAGCCAGCATTGCTTTGCATCTCATGGATTCTTGGTGGGACACTGGAAATACGGTCATGACTGATGGAAAAGACTGTTGAATAGACCCGACACCCACAAAAACTGTTACATAATTAAAGAACGGTTATCCATTCCAGCCACTGTACAGCAATTCTGCAGAAGTAAAGAACGGTTCTCCAGTCTGTGTATTGGTTGCAGTTTTCTCCAGGATGTGGACAACCAGCGTTCTTCTGTATTCTCTTGAGGAGGTTTTTAAATAAAAATAAAAAATAATTGAAAACTTTTTTTCCCCCTGGTATCACAATTTGTAAAAGACTTCTGATCTGAACTCTTGTTTATTTACAATTGTGTAGGATCTCGTGTGTGTGTGTGTATGTATGTATGTATGTATATATAGCGAGAGAGAGAGAGATGGAAAAAGTGAGAGAGATCTAATTCTATATATCTCAATACAAAATAATATAAGTATGGTTTAGTTGAAGATGAGAGACAGGTCATTCAAAAACAGAATATATGAGAACACAGAATTTGGGTAAAAGCTCACTAAATTGCTCTTCAGTTTGTTCTCACTCAGGAAAAACACACCTCATCGTATATGTGCCGTTACAGAGGATCCTATACTTATCAGATTTGGACTGCCCTTTTGGAAGAGATCAGGCTATGTAAACACTGGCAAGTGGGGAGAATTCAGGACACTAATTTGGGTGGGGCACTGCCAAAAAAAAGGAGGGCATTGCACCCGAGAGCACCAGTAGTCCAGACACTATATAAAAAATATTTTTATTTTCATCCTCTTTATTAGCACAGCTGAGTGATATTGAAAAGACAGTCCTCAGAGTAACTGGCATGGTCAACCTCAGGACTGCAATTTCAATGACACTTTGCTGCGCTAATAAAGCTATATATTTTCACCTATATTCTATGTACCTGCTGGTGCTATCTCAGGCACAATTCCCATTTTTCTTGCCAGTGCCCCTATTGCCCCAAACTCTGCAACTTTATTAACAAGAGAGAACTGAAATATCACATTGACATAAGTATTCAAACCCTTTGCTGTAACATTTGAAATTTAGTTCAGGTGCATCCCATTTTTGTGGATAATCTTTGAGATATTTCTTCAATTTGTTTGGAGTCCATCTGTTGCAGATTCAGCTGAGTGGAGATGATTCGGAAAGGTACACACCTGTCTACGTAAGGTCTCATAACTGTAAACGTATATCAGAGCAAAGGAACTGCCTGCAGAGCTCAGAGACAGGAGGCACAGATCTAGGGAAAATACAACTAAAGATTTGGCTACATTGACAGTTCCTAAGAACACCGTCTTCAATTATCTTTATAACTTGTATTTATTGTGTTTATCACTATTCTTAATAGACCTGTTCACCTGCAACAAATGAATAAAAATCCTGTTAATCTATGCAGGTACGAATCAATTGACCACGTAAATCCCAGACAGATCAATTAAAGCAGTACTTCTCAACCTGTTACAGACCCCCGAAGGTCTAAAGATAAAATTCTTGAGTACCCCTGCCTCGAGAAAGTAATTTCTATTGATTTAAATTCCAATAGAAAGGTGTAGACAATGATGTAACGTATCGCCTGGCAAACGACTCAGTACCTCCATTGACGGATGCTCCTAGTGTTGCCTGAGGGCTCCAAGCACTCCACTAGACAACATAACCACAACCACCTGAGACCCCACAAACCGCTGCAGTCTGGTTGGGATCTCGCCCTCTTCCTCCTACTCTGGGCCCAAGACCAGGGACCAGCTTCCAGTAGGTAGACTTCTAAATCCAGAGAACAGGAACAAGCTCTTACAAGAGCTTACTCTGGGGAGTATAGTGATTATAGCAATCCCCAGAGTGTAGGTAATTCTTCAATCCCCCAAACATGAGCCGAAACTTCATGAAGGTACAAGATGATCTGCACAAAAGGCCTTTCTTTTATACACATTTCTCCACATGGTTACCACACACATGGACCTTGTGGAACACATGACACAAAGTTACAACAGCCAATCAACACAGTATTGTACAGTTAGGCACTCCCAGCTAATGTACACCAACCCACCCCTCTGCCTGTGATACAATTACCAAACACAATGGGCTAACTTAATTATCACAGGCAGAAAATATACAGTTTTACCCAAAGTCCAGAAACACCCCAAAACAACAACATATCCCCATACATCCATGGATAGCTCTGATCTGGGCGAACAACATATCCAAAAATCACCCAGATCAGAGCAGGGGTTCCCGAATTCCATGGAAGTCACATTTGACTGACCGCAAGCATGGCTTTCCTGCCCAAAATAGTTCCACAGAATTTTGCTGTGTGGCCGGTCTATTTCCAATAGGTTCAAACGCTAAGTTCCGTTCGAATGCACAAATATCCAATGTTAACGTGGTGTTCGAATATTCGAACACACTTCAATTTCTGTTAAAGTTTGGGGGAGGTAAAGTTCAGTTCGACTGAATTAAAATGTTCGTATGTCGAATGGCGGCCACTTCGACTGTTTCGGCTATATCCGAAGTGCCATTTCAAAAGTACAGATCCTTTCCCATAGTAGGTAAAGGGGCAGAAGCAGTGGAATAAAATCCAAAATGCCCAAATAACGCTTTTTAAGGGCAATACATCCCAAGGGCCATAGTCACAGGGAAAGAGGCTGGCAAGCAGGCTTCTCCAAATCCCAGTGACGAAGGTACTTTCATCACAAATAATATTTTATTTAATCTAATATTTGAGAACAAGCCTAATTAACGGTAATAAAAATATATGTGTATATGGAGGAGTGTATGAACTATTAATCTGAAGTACAAAAGTCACACAATGAAAGTATAATACACACATATAATAGTTACACACAGAGGACACGGACACACCTATTTACACACAGAAGACAAGGACACACACATTTACACACAGAGGACAGGGTATGACAAACTCCCGTGAGTTTGCCAAGAGCTCCTGGAGGAGCCTGCTTGCCAGTCTCCTGCCCACAGACTATGGACCCTGTAATATGTAATGTAAAAGTCTCCATTAGTGTATTTGGACTGTATGGTTTGGAAACGGAACAGCCGCACGAACCAGAGACCACTCGGGAGCTTGTTAAGTCTATTTGCTACTTTGAGTAAAAGGAAAATAACTGTGTATACCAAATTCCATGGATGGACAGATGGGAACACAGAGGTCAAGGTGGTGGTACCAGATCCACCATGCGGGCTTGTACCCAGAGAATTACTTAGAAAAAATAATAATAGATAAATGGAGTCTCAAAATAAAGATGAGACTCAATACTGTCTTTTATACACAACAGGGGAGAATAAATAATAAAGATATTGACTGTGACTTAGTAAATAATCAGCCCTGAGTGAGGTAAGCAATTTCCACCGCAGTGTTCTAAGTGTTCGTCTGGGTGGCCGCATTTCCTATGGACGACCACGAGGTGGCTGCCATCTTATTCGCATGAACACAGGCAGCAGGGTTTGGTCATTGAGTTCATGGAACTATTTTCGGACACTGAAACTCCCGAACACCGCTGAACTTCTATGATCGCCTGTGTTCGGTTTTATAACATTCAGGAAGACACTGTTCGGTGGAAACGTTTCCACGAACAAGGGGAACAAGCTCCAGGGTAAGAATATTGTTTGCTCATTTTTAAAATACTGAACTAGAACGACCGCTAGCCCTGATCTTGTGGAACTGTTTTGGGCAGGAGAACCTGGAACATACACGCACACAGAGAACACTGACTGACACAGACACACATAAAACACTGCTTGAATCAATCTGTCTGGGATTTATGTGATCAATGGACGCATACACATTCACTGACAAATTAGTATTTCTTTTTAAGCCCACCTAGTATCCCTTTTGGGAGAGCTGGAGTGGATCCTTTCTCTGGGGACTAGTGTAACTACTGTTATCTTCATGGTGGTCTTGCTCTGCTCCCTGGCATGCTGTTTAGGGATACCGGGGCCGGAGTGATGTCATAACCTGGCTCCTGGCATTACTGCAAGGCACTCCGCCTGGCTACAGCCCCCCTCCCTGGACACTGTATTTGGAAAGAGCAGGTACCTGCTGTCTGGGTCGGTGAGTGCCTACTCTGCCTAAGCTAAAAACTGGCCAACGTCTTGGTGAGCCCTAATGCGGCCAGCCGTCCTTTTGATGCACTCTTTAAGCAGCATTTGACAGAGAACCAAATGTGACTCGGTTCTCACAATGGTAGCACCTCTAGTGGTGATCAGGAAGACAGCAACTCTGCAATGGATACATTGCTGTTTCTACAAACTGGAAAACTTAACATTACAGGGTTAAAACTACATGCCGTCTGCACCTAGACCACTTCATTGAGAGTAAGTTGTCTGGGTGCCTGGAGTTATTCTTTAATACATTCACCTTTGGTAACTTGAAGGTGCAGATTGGAAAGTAATTTTTATTTAATTTTTTCTGTTTACGCTTGTTCTTCCATTGGATACTTTATATCAATTCATATCGTTCCTGTATCTAAAACACGGGAATCCTGTATGGATATATACACTATAGCGCACCTTTTGTTTTTTGGTTTTTTTGCCTTGAGGTGGCAGGTGAGCTTATACTGTAATGGCCATCGGAGTGATCCTGAACAAGTAATTTTTTTTCTTGGCTTTTACACGCAGATACACCAACAACATGGAGCTCCTACAAAAGAAGGATATTAAGATAGAAAAGAGGGACCGATGGAGTTAGGCACAAAACTAAGGACTGTCCCTCCTAAATAGGGACTCTTGGTAGTAGTGTATTCACCATTCTGTGTGTACTCAGCAGTCTGTGTATGTATTCACCATTTTGTGTGTACTCAGCAGTCTGTGTGTGTTTATTCCCAGTCTGGCCCTGCCAGCGCGTGCACTTTACCGCCGAATCACTCGTGTGACCTGGCGCACACTTATGCCTGCATTGCCCAGCCCTGTTACAGGCGTCTGGGAGCTGCTGTTGACAGGTACTAGTAGTCTAAAGATTGGGACATGGGGTATATGCTCAGCTATCTGTGTATTATTATTATTATATTTATATAGCGCCAACAAATTCCGTAGTGCTTTACAATGGGTAATACTATAGTGCTTTATATAATACATGTCTGTGTGTATAATATCCTGGGACCCTCTCAATCACTGTCTTAAAAGGGAAAGACCGATATGTCGTCCATGACCTGCAGGAGGCCCTGACCATGATACTAAAACTGGGACTCCCTCAAGATTCTATAGGACTCCCGAAGCCTCACAGAACCAAAGAAACACATCATGGATGGGACTCGGAAGAAGTGACTACTTTCATCCCACGACAATCCAGACCACAGCCACCACCTGAAACCCTGACGAAGGCACACAGAGTGTTTTGTTCCAATTATTGTTTTTCGGTTTATTTCCTATAACGTTACCCACTATTTGATTAGTTTTCTTTAGCCATTACATTGCCCCAACCCGAACGTAATTTGAAGCAACTCTCAAGCTGCCAAACAAACGGTCACTAGACCGTCTGATAACCGCCTGTGCCTGATACCAGCCAGCCATGGTAGACAAGCCTGGCATTGCCCTAACCAGGTGTAAAAACTTCACCTTACATGCACATTTCCCACTAGTTAACATCATAAGCAACGAAGATCTACTAAACAGTGTTAACATGACAGATATGCATTGTGAAGCTTACTGGTTATGCTAATCTTCAACTAACATAAACATTTCAAGTCACTACCTGCAATGCAAATTATATCCTTCAGTATTGATTTACCATCTCATTTATTTACTGTGATAATGATTTAATCTTATTTCTGTATTGTAACCATACTCTTGTGGCTTGATCCAAAAATAAAGAATTAAAAGAGAGATCTAGGGGCACAGTACGACCAGGAGGAATGGCTCAGTTTCATTCCTACTCTAAAAGGAATAACGCAGTGTTCCATTCACTGGGAAAACCACCTTAAAATAATATACAGATGGCATTTGGCACCACGTAGAATGAAGAAAATGAGCACACGTTTTTCGGGTAATTGCTGGAGAAATTGTGGCTTGGTTGGTCCTCTTTCACATATTCTCTGGTATTGTCCAAAGTTAACAAAATATTGGAAAGACGTTCATAAATTCATACAAAATGTTAATCTTAACATCTCCGTATTAACCTCAGAATTGGTTTTGTTGAAAAAGTTCCCAAGTTCACTTGAAAAATCATTATTGGACATATTGTCATTGCTGCCACTACAGTTGTCTCCAGACACTGGAGGTCACCTGCCATTCTGTTAAAGAAGATCTCAGTTCTATTCTGGAGAATAAAAGTTATGAGTTGGCCATTAGACAGCCTTCTCAGTTGCCCGACAATCTTACTTACTATTGGGAAATGTGAGAATTTTTTTTTAGAAAGGAATAAAAGCTTTAAATGTTTCTGGTTAATCTTATGTGGTTAATGTTCATGTTGTTAATCTGCCGTAGTCATGTGACTTATTTAACTTGGTTCTACTACCCAAAGTCAAGATAAAAGGTATACGACACCTTTAGAATTTTTAAATAAAATTTAATTTTTGTATATAAATATAATTTTTTTTCATAGATATTCCATTTATAATTGTTTTAATTACTACTTATTAACGCAATTGTGTGATAGATAAGAGTTATGGGCCATTATACAAATAATAGTATTTAATAAAACCTGTTTATTGTGAAATATTGTTTTTTTGATTATGTAAACATATATTGTGTTGTACGTTCATTGAATATATGCATAGTTTAATTTGTAAGTTGTAGAAATGTTTCTTAATAAACATAATAAAAATGCTGGATTTAAAAACTTCTCAAGGTCCTTTATTATTGATAAAGTCCTACTGGTATTTGTTTGTTCTTGAACTTTATTGATTTGCATAAAGTATCTGTGATGTCATAACGAGTAAACCATCAGTGATGAAAGGCAGCAGACAGGTCATATCACTGTTGTATGTCATTGCAGCAGGTTGCAAACGTTATTGATCGCAAAAATTGTAGAAAAGACAAAAAAAGAAAATATCATAGCACAGCAGGTGCACCTACATTGATAGGGCTTTACAGTCCATGTCGAAATTTGAGATGGAGCACGAGAGGAAGCGCCCCAAAAACTGGAGCTTTAATTACGGAGTGAAAGACCAACCACGGGAACAGCTTAACTTCCGGGATTCTTCACGCCAGATCCATCAGCATCTAGCTAAAAAATGTCGATTTGACCAGAACATGGAAAAAAGACGTTCTGTGCAAGATAAAATGGATGGATCGGAGAGGCAGAACTATCCCCAAAACTGCCAGTCCCAATGTGGAGGAGAGGTGGGAAGAAGGCAAGAGAAGAGAAAGATGCAGAATGTTAACCATGCCAGACAGGTGCCCAAAGATGACCCGCAGTTTGGGAGATCCCAACAGTGTAGAGGGAACAGCACCAAGAATGGTCATTGGTATGAGGTTAAAAGTGGCAGAGGAGAACCTGGCCAAACTCAGGTCAATGAAAGCCCAGTGATTCGCAGTCGTAAACTCAAAAGATGCTGGGAAGGTAAGCTCATTTTTTTCCTCCTAACCTACTGTTTCCGTTTGTCAAACGTGTTTTGTTAGAATTGTTGATGGGTTTTTTAACCTGTTGTACTGCACTGCAGAATATGTCAGCACTATATAAATCATTGTAATTGTTATTTAAGGTCAAGCTGAAGCCAAAAATGAGGACGGTTTTCATCCTAAAAGAAAACAGAATGCAGATATGGAGTACAGTCCTCCTAGAATGACATTAGAGGAGCTGGATAAAAAACTGGCAGAATACGACCTACCTACTCAAAGTCTGCCAGTTAAATCAACGGACCTTAACTATCCCCAAAATTGTCAGTCTCAGTTTGGGAGATCCCAACAGATTAGAGGGGATAGCACCAAGGATGGTCGATGTCCAGAAGTTAAAAGGGGCAGAGTGGAAGCTGGTCAAACTAAGGCCAATGAAAGCCCAGTGTTTCGCAGTCATAAACGAAAAAGATGCTGGGAAGGTAAACTCGTTTGTTTCATCTTCACCTATTGTTTCTGTTTGTCAAATGTGTCTTGTTAGAATTGTATGTCTTTTTTTTTACCTATTGTACTGCGCTGCAGAATATGTCAGCACTATATAAATCGTTGTAATTGTTATTTAAGGTCAAGCCGAAGCCAAAGATGGGGACGGTTTCCATCACAAAAGGAAACGGAATGCAGATATGGAATACAGTCCTCCTAGAATGACACGAGAGGAGCTGGATAAAAAACTGGCAGAATACGACCTACCTACTCAAAGTCTGCCAGTTAAATCAACGGACTTCAACTATCTCCAGAATTGTCAGCCTCAGTTTGGGAGATCCCAACAGATTAGAGGGGATAGCACCAAGGATGGTCGATGTCCAGAAGTTAAAAGGGGCAGAGTGGAAGCTGGTCAAACTAAGGCCAATGAAAGCCCAGTGTTTCGCAGTCGTAAACGCAAAAGATGCTGGGAGGGTAAGCTCATTTGTTTCCTCTTCATCTACTGTTTCTGTTTGTCAAATGCGTCTTGTTAGAATTGTATGTCTTTTTGTTTTTTTTACCCATTGTACTGCGCTGCAGAATATGTCAGCACTATATAAATCGTTGTAATTGTTATTGAAGGTCAAGCTGAAGATGAGGACGGTTTCCAGCCCAAAAGACAACGGGTCGCAGATGTAGATTTCACTTCTCCCAGAATAACACTAGAGGAGCTGGTTAAAAAGCTGTCAGAAATACGTGTTGAAAGCCGGCCAGTTACATCAATGGACGTCAACCATTCCGGCACACAAGACTCATCTGTTGAAGATATGGAAGTCGATTAGTTGACAGTTCTGAGTTTAGTGCGTAACCCTATAGGTGAAATAACCCCTATTGTGGTGAACTCTGAAAAAAAAAAAAGGATTTACTAAATAATTAGATTATTAACACACATTATTAGACACAGACAGGTAAACGTATCTACAAAAATGACCACCTTTAAGTATATTGTTATGTGACGAGAGCCACCTAGTGGTGAAAATGTACTGCTGTCTGTGACTGTCAAAATATTTATTGCAAAAATAAACGTATGGTAAATTTATAATATTACATTGTTTTATTCCTTTTCTTTGTGTCTGAGTCTTTGGTGTAATTTGTAAATATACTGAGAGATTTATTTACTAAACCTGGAACTGCATTTTTGAGCCAGAATAGCTGAATTTAAAATATGAGCTGAAAAAATGCTAAGTTGTAGAATATGTCGGCTTTTCTGATCTAATAAAAGGAGGAATCTGCACTCTTATCTGGTCCTGGTGTATCCGGACCTGGGGCTGGCTCACCCCACTCTAATGGTAAAACAATAAATGTAGTCCAGGCACTCATGATTACTTATACACGGCATAGTTGCCAACTGTCCTGTTTTTGCCGGGACAGTCCCAGCAAGCTGGCGTCAGTGCCGGGCAATTTACTATCCCGGGACAGTTTTGGATACTTGCTGGGCCATGTGGTTTTAATATTTTCAGGAGAGAGGTGCTGGGAGAAGCTGGGGGCTGGGGAGAGATGCTGGGAGATCCTGGGGGCTATAGAGAGGTGTTGGGGGCTGCTTGGGCCTGGGCCGGAGGGAGCACTCAGGGTCTTCCTTCCGATTTCCCAGCAGCTTCCCCTGCACACAGGCTCCTGCTCCTCCTCGCGGACGAAGGCTTCTCCCCCACGACGGAAGCTCCATGCCTGCAAGCCCCACCTCCTGCCACCAAACTCCACCCCCACCATGAAGCAGGAGACCTTGCTGCAGTTGGAAGAGGCCAGAAGATGGCTACCTGCTATCCCAGCAACAGCCTCCAGTGCCAGGTAGGCTTGATATACTCAACCTTGTGTGTTTGAGTGTGTGCGTGTATGTGTCTGCTAGTGAGAAAGCTTGTGTTTGTGTCAGTAAGCTTGTTTGTAGTGAGCTTGCGTGTGTGTGTGTCAGTGACCTTGTCTGTAGTGAACTTGTGTCAACTCACCACCACCAGGGCACAGCACCCCTGACACAAAGCACCCCAGAACACACACAGCACCCTCACACACACCCACACACACCACCCCTCACACACACACACACACACATATAGCACCCCTGACACACAGCCCCCCTCACACACACAGCAAGCTCACACACAGCACCCCTCACACACACTCAGCACCCCTCACACACATGCACACACACGCACACACAGCACCCGGCACACACAGCACTCTTCTCACACTTCACCCCTCATACACAACACCCCTACACACACAGCACCCCTAAACAAAAACACATACACTGCAGTCTGTGTGTATTCAGCAGTGTATTCGTGTATTCAAAGAAGTACTAACAGAATTTCTATCAAATGGGTTAGATTCTGGAATTCTCGATAAACATGAATTTGACTATTTAAACAACCTTTACCCTAAAATTCCAGTTATATATTTTCTACCAAAATTACATAAAAATCATAAGGAACCACCAGGCAGACCCATTGTGTCTGGAATCAACTAAGTTTAGTCAAATCTCTTGTAACATATAGACATCCTACTACAACCCTCAGTTAAACGGATGAGATCTTACCTTAAAGACTCCTTGACTCTTTTGCTTTTCAAATTGCTTTTATTATACAAGGTGTCAAAATAATTTTAACTAATAACTACTTTTGTTTTTTAGACTCTTTTTATATCCAAAAAAGGGTACAGCTATGGGAATGAGATTTGCTCCTAGCTATGCTAACCTCTTTATGGCCGATTGGGAATCCTCAGCCATTTGGGGTAAGCATGGCTGGCGGGCAAATTTGGTTTCCTATTTCCGTTATATTGACGATCTGTTTTTTATTTTGGCGAGATTCAGAAACAACTCTTAAACAATTTTTAAACCATCTTAACGACAATGACAGAGGCATAATTTTAACTTCAGAGTACAGTAAGGTATCAGTTAATTTTTTAGATCTTAACATAATGGGTCTATCCATACTAATAACTTCTTCAAAAAAGTATGTATGTACAAACACCATAATAGATCAATCAAGTTGCCACTACAAACCCTGGTTAGAAGGCATCCCAAAAAGTCAATTTCTTCGCCTTCATCGCAACTGCTCTCAAACTAATGATTTCGAAATCCAATCTACCTCATTAAAAAATAAGTTTATTGAAAAACATTACTCGTTATAAAAACTAGATGCAGTTTTAAACATGGTTAAAAACAAAGAGAAAAAGGAATTATTAGAGTATAAGCCAAAAAGTGATAAAAAAAGAAGATCCCCCAACAGTACCAATTATTTTGGATTTCAACAAAAAAATTATTATGAAAAAAATAATAAACAAATACTGGCACATACTTAAACAAGATGACCTTCTAAAATATCAAATTCCAGATAGACCAAGTATCATTTTCAGAGGAGCCCCTAGCTTTAAAAGTAAAAAAAAAAAAAAAAACTATACCAAAAAAAGAGATAACAAATACTACATGTTTTTTACCCAAGCTAAAGGGTTTCTTTAAATGTAATAAATGCAGTGCATGTAAAACCACAAATCCAATCACTAAATCTAAGACTACCCAGTTCTTTTCCACTAATACAGGTAAATCATATCCTATTAAAGATTTTATTGGATGCAATTCAAAAAACGTTATACATGTTGGAGTGGCCATGTGGACGCCAATACATAGGCATGACCAAAAGATGTCTGACAATCAGACTAGCAGAACACTGTCGAAATGTTATAAAAGGGTACGATAACCATTCAGTGTCCAAACATTTTGTCAAACACAACAAAGACCCTAAATTGTTAAAATGCATTGGAATAGAAAAATGCAATATCCCTTGGAGAGGTGGAGACATGAGAGAAATGAATTGAATTTTTCAGCTAAAAACTCTCTCTCCAGATGGTCTTAATGCAGAATTTGACCTTTTTAATTTGTTATAATAAATGTTTTAAAAATATATTTAGTACTTGTATTAATATTCAGATTTCTAAAAAAAAATAAAAAAAAATAAATGTAATTATCAAATTTTGTTTTACCTTCTTTTTGTGGTCCTGATAATATCACTTATGTTATCTTCTAATAGTTTTAATTAAGTTCTATTATTTTTCTCTTTTATCTTTTTTATGATTTTTCCATGCCTCCCTCCCTCCCTTTCATACTCCGCAACCAAGAAATGGTTTAAATTTTATTCTAACCTGGTCATCAAGAATATTGGAGTATTCACTCACAAAAGAATTCTAGGTGGGGATTATACCACTCACGCTATCATAGTCAGCAGTATATCCTGTTCACCTAAATGTGAGTATAATACCTTTTAAATTTAACATTTATATAAATTTCATACAGAGAGCACTATTTCTGTTTTACCTCTCTCCCTATGCTGATAAACCTACACTTCTAGCAACTTGTCATCAGTTACCACCTACATCCTACCTGTGGGAGATCAATGCCACTGAATGCCAGTTACACCTGAGCTTGTATTAGCTCTCTAATAGGTGAGTAGGAATACTACTGCTATTAAGTTCCCTTTTGCTTGCCTGATACATATTACACCATTGGAGTTTCTTCTTTCATTTGCATGGACTTTGAATAATCCCACTATGTCAGGACTTCTTCATATACAGATCCACATCATACCGAAGTACCTCAAATAAATCGGACCTTCATTTATACATCTTAATACCTGGACTATTTTATATCTCAATTTGACTTCTATATGTAAGTATATCATTGGTATTATAGTATCTTATTGTTTTTACTGCGGTGCAACCTAATTTGACCTTTTTATGTGTTGTTGTTTGTCTGAGGCAGTGGCGGCTCTAGACTTTGCGAGGCCTTAGGTGAAACTCAAACGTGAGGCCCCCACTAACACCAAAAGTGAAAAAATAAGGGTTGGATTGTGTGTGTTTATAAACTACTGTAGTTATATTGAAGGGTGGGCTTGCAGCGCTGCATACAGAGAGCTAGTCTCTGTATTCAGCATTCAGAGGCTTGCAGTGTCATGGCTCCCTATGCTGCTGCATTGTGAGCTCTATAATGGTGGTTATGGCATAATTTGCAATTAAATTAATTTGCAATAAACAAATTTCATTTACAATTATGATTTTTGATTCTAGCCAAAAAATGAGATTCTCCTGATTTTTTCCTTTTCTAGGGGATAAACCAAGATTTATATTTAGAGGAGCAAAACATTTTAAAGAAATGTAATTAAAAGTTTTATAAATGTTTCCTACAACAAAAAGTACTATCAGAGCTTGGGACACTGTGTTGAAAGATGTGGGTCTTTCCTCTGGGTCGTCACGGGCAATGCCGTTATCTATTCTAAAATATAATTTTCCTCAAATTGATTTTGAACATTGGCATTCATATTTCATTTAAGATGTAGATGCTTCCTTTCTGAGCAATACTTTGATGTTTATTGGAAAATTTATAGAAAAATTTGGCCTACCTGATAATCTACAGATAGAATACAAATTAATTATTAATAAATTGACAGAAAAAAAATGTTCTTTTCCTAACTTAGATCAAACTTATAAAGAATTAGCACTAATCCTGAAATCAAGGCCCTGGCAGGATGAATAGGAGCACTGAAGGCCACCTCCTGGAGGCACTATTTTACATCGCGGCATGTAAAGGCAATATGCCTCGATGGCCTGTTCCGAGTTCCGAATCCAGCCATAGCCCCCAGCCACGTCGCCTTGAGACCTCAAAACGTTTCCAACGTTGCTAGCAGGTCAAAAAAAATGTTCTTTTCCTAACTTAGATCAAAACTTATAAAGAATTAGCACTAATCCTGAAATCAAGGCCCTGGCAGGATGAATAGGAGCACTGAAGGGTGCACATCTTACT